CCTTTTCCCGAATGCCCTTTTTTCACCAACGCTTAACCCCCCCCCCCCCAATATTTTTAAAGAGTGCCCTTTTTTTTAACTAGTGCCTTTTTTTCTAAACGGGTGCCCTTTTTACGAAAAAGTGCCCGTTTAAAAAAAAATGTACCTTTTTTGTGCCATCGGCCGTTACGGGTGCCTGAAAAGCACATGTTCATACTGTCAATAATCGTTGGTTTTGAGCAGCGCCCCCATCGACAGAGGGTACCAGCCCAGCACCCCCCCCCCCAACAAAAATTGATTTTACGGAGGCCAAGTGTCCCAAAAGAAAACGGTGTCTACATTTCAGCTAGGATGTGCGTCCTTTGTAAGAAATGTTTACTCCGCCCCCCCCCCAACTGACCTTGCTACGCCCCTGCCACCTTATGAAACTGTAATATTACATCCAATACAAGTACACAGATAATCAGATAAACCGCAATCATTTCAAACAACAGTCGGCACGGCTTTTGTCTTTAATTTAAAAGAGTTTTCCAGGAAAGCAGCCCGACAAATCTTTCAAAACCGCCCACAGAAGGACACAAACTATCGTGACCAAAGAACTCAAAACCAAAGCTAATAGAAGGAGACTATTACGCGCATTGCAACGCCAACTCGTTCTCCCGCCGGAATTTATCAATGCGGGAAAAGCCTTGCATACAGACGGGTAAGAGCTGGTCAAGTTCGTGGTCTGGTGCCAAGCTATAAGAAAGTGAACGACAGAAATCTATAATTTTAATTACCAGGATACAAGGGAGGTCGGTACTGCAGTAATTCGCGTATTGATGACCGTTTTATTACGTGTAGAAGGATTGCTCTCAAGGTCCGGGTGTAAGGCTTGTACGACTCAAACCGATCGAATACAAGTGTCTCGAATTCTTAGTTCTTGTCAGGATCGAGTGTAGGCGTACAGCGGAAACGCACAGGACATGTTACGGCGGGTCGATGCGTGCAATCATGAAATGTCGTCTGATGATGTCCGCTTTTATTCATCAGACTTAACCGTCTCATTCGCTCATCACTTAATCTTGTACCCGGCCCCGCGCCCCTTCTCTCTGACCAGGATGCCCCGCCCCTCCCCAAGACGGATTCAAATTCTCCACCCAGGAGCCCAAAGTCTAAGAGCGCAGTGACCTGGGGCATGGATGCCTGGGTCCGGCAAGAGGGTTCCGATCTCTCACCCTAAACCTTTCCAGTGAATAACTAAGGGAGGGGGCCAGGGGCATAGAGGCGCCCCTGCCCCACGCATGGCTCCCCGTACCCAGTTTAGAATTTCAGGAAGGTAAAATAATATTTGTTATGATTTTATTATAAATCCCCATTGAGTGCCCCTTCCAGTGAGGCCCCTATAATATCCCCCTCACGGTAAGTTGGACCCCTACTACGCCATAGAGAATTCCTGAGAAAACTCTTCCAAATACAATTCAAGATGAGAATATATGGTTCACACTGAAACGTACAATCAAATACTAACCCACCCCTCCATTCCCGCCTCACTTTCAATGTCTTTGCAACATGCCTAAGTAGCCAGCCGCATACGATCAGCCCGGATACCGGTATCGATTCTCGGAAAACTCGCTTCACTTAAGTTCCGCATTTTTCACTAATCGATCCAAGGACCCTTTACGTTGCGTGCTGTTTGGTATTAAGGACGGGTCAGCCTTTGCCTAATTAAGAAAGCGATCAATAAAAACCGATATGACAGGCCTCGACGAAACAGCTGATCCGAATAGAAATAAGAAAACACGAAGACGAAGAGCGACAGCTTAATGAACTCGTGTATTTATTCTACAAAGCTGTTCAGACTTGCGTATGATTTTTATTTTTTCAAATAATGGAACCTGATAAGTTTTCGTACATGAAGCCCTTCACTTCTTCATAACTGAACTGAAGATTTAACACGAGTTTTCAGGGTACAGGGGACATTTTAAAAATCAATTTCGTCTATTTCCAATTATAGCTGGATCGATGTTTATATACAAAAACCGACTGCCTAAAAGCAATACAACATACTGCTTATAACAAGGAAAATGTAAGGTCCAAAGTCTTTGTTTTCTTTGTTTTCAAGGCACCTGTTATAATAAGGTAATTTGTGAAGTCCCAAGGACCTTGTTATAAAGGTGTTCGACTGTATTTACATGACCTCGGTGATTAGCTTTTATTTTAACTGAAATATATTTACAAACACTGGCCGTATACGCGTATCATACATAGGCCTACAGCTTCATTTTCTTTCACTGAGTTTCACTGCATATGATGATAACTCAGAGATGAAAAGAAAACGTATTTCCATTCAATGTACACACGTTTTCTTATAAAAGTGCTTAAAAACTAGTACTACAAAGTACTATACATTTTTAAAGCGAATGAACAGCGAAATATTACACTAAAACCCTGTCCCTAGTACTATAGTAGCCACATGTAATTTACTATCCGAACTGTTCATTTTGTTGCCGGTAAATATCAGTGAACCGACAATAACAGATCAAGAGATGGCGCTATTCTAAAACAAAAAGTAACTTCTCACCGGCGCCGCCAGGCGCGCGCTGTAGCTATACAGTCCGGCCTAGTAATCAAATTAATTAATTTCTCATAAAATTGAAGCGCGCCCTCTATTGACGGTTTGTACAGAATTTGACAGACCAAAACTTGTCTTTGTTTTTTTTAGTGAAATAAAAGTAACATTTTCGACCACCCCTGGCCAGCCTCAGCCCCCCCCCCCCCCCATATAAATGCTGTTCAGGTGACATTATCAAAAACAAACATGACAACCATCTTGCACTTAGTATAAATAACTGGCAAAAGTTTTGATGCATTTAAGAATGCCCAAAGGATTTTAAAATGCCAAAAGAATTATTCCCACCCATTTGCCTCCCCAAAAACACTTACAAATATATAATGCCGCAATATTTTTTTTACGATCTACTGTTTACAATATACACTATGCTATGTATTTCAGGGACTTAATACAATTAATTGGGTTCTTCTTTAATACTGACACGCTTCATATGACGGTAGCACACATAATTAAATGAGAAATATATAACACATTTAATTTTTAAAATAAAATAAAAAAATAACAGCGTTGCTGTTGAAACCCCTCAGCCAGAGTCAAGTTATCATCCGGAAACCATTAACCTTTAACTCACGTGGTGACCTTGACCTTTGGCCTTTGACCCCAGAACCAGTCCCAACATGCCTGTACCAATGGGAAACCCCCTACCGAAGTTAGACACCAACATTTCATTTCTAACTCAAGTTATCATTCGGAACCATTTACATTGAACTCACCACGGTGACCTTGACCTTTGACCTTTTGACCCCAAAACCAATCCCAACTTGCCTGTACCCAAGGGCAAACCCCTACCTCAGTCAGACACCAAAATCTCATTTCTAACTCAAGTTATCATCCGGAAACCATTTACCTTTAACTCACCACGCTGACCTTGACCTTTGACCTTTTGACCCCCAAACCAATCCCAACTTGCCTTCTCCCAAGGGGAACCCTCTTCCAAAGTTAGACACCAAAATTGCATTTCTAACTCAAGTTATCATCCGGAAACCATTTACCTTTAACTCACAATGGTGACCTTGACCTTTGACCTTTTGACCCAAAAACCAATCCCAACTTGCCTACTCCCAAGGGCAACCCCCTACCAAAGTTAGACACCAAAATCTCATTTCTAACTCAAGTTATCATCCGGAAACCATTTACATTTAACTCACCACGGTGACCTTGACCTTTGCCCTTTTGACCCCAAACCCAATCCCAACTTGCCTACTCCCAAGGGCAACCCCCTACCAAAGTTAGACACCAAAATCTCATTTCTAACTCAAGTTATCATCCGGAAACCATTTACATTTAACTCACCACGGTGACCTTGACCTTTGACCTTTTGACCTCAAAACCAATCCCAACTTGCCTACTCCCAAGGGCAACCCCCTACCAAAGTTAGACACCAAAATCTCATTTCTAACTCAAGTTATCATCTGGAAACCATTTACATTTAACTCACCACGGTGACCTTGACCTTTGACCTTTTGACCTCAAAACCAATCCCAACTTGCCTACTCCCAAGGGCAACCCCCTACCAAAGTTAGACACCAAAATCTCATTTCTAACTCAAGTTATCATCCGGAAACCATTTACATTTAACTCACCACGGTGACCTTGACCTTTGACCTTTTGACCCCAAACCCAATCCCAACTTGCCTACTCCCAAGGGCAACCCCCTACCAAAGTTAGACACCAAAATCTCATTTCTAACTCAAGTTATCATCCGGAAACCATTTACATTTAACTCACCACGGTGACCTTGACCTTTGACCTTTTGACCCCAAAACCAATCCCAACTTGCCTACTCCCAAGGGCAACCCCCTACCAAAGTTAGACACCAAAATCTCATTTCTAACTCAAGTTATCATCCGGAAACCATTTACATTTAACTCACCACGGTGACCTTGACCTTTGACCTTTTGACCTCAAAACCAATCCCAACTTGCCTACTCCCAAGGGCAACCCCCTACCAAAGTTAGACACCAAAATCTCATTTCTAACTCAAGTTATCATCCGGAAACCATTTACATTTAACTCACCACGGTGACCTTGACCTTTGACCTTTTGACCCCAAAACCAATCCCAACTTGCCTACTCCCAAGGGCAACCCCCTACCAAAGTTAGACACCAAAATCTCATTTCTAACTCAAGTTATCATCCGGAAACCATTTACATTTAACTCACCACGGTGACCTTGACCTTTGACCTTTTGACCTCAAAACCAATCCCAACTTGCCTACTCCCAAGGGCAACCCCCTACCGAAGTTACAACCCCAAACAACATTTCTAACTCAAGTTATCATCCGGAAACTAAGCTGCCCGGACGGACGGACGGACGGACGGACGGACAGACATACATACATCCGGACGGACGGACGCCCTAGGCGATGACAATACCCCTCGAGCCTCTCGGCTGAGGGGTAAATATGGCCATTTAAGAGTTTTGTTATTGGGGGTTAATCATATTCTAAAGCACATAACATATTAAAGCACACAGTCTTTTATTAAATTCCTATTAAAGAGGTATGATTTTTACAAAAGCTGTAACTGTCATTATATCGTCACTGTCATTGTGCCATTGTCTATGTCATTATCATCAGCTGCAATTAGGCAAATAAAAGGCACACGTGATTTTAATATTTTCCTTATGAGGGAGTCGGGTTGGCCTAGCTGTACTTAATTTCCTCGCCGGCACTGCTGTGACCGGGTTCAATTCCTGCCTTGGCACACATGTAGGCTGGGTTTTCAGTCCCTGCCTGATTCTGTGGGTTTCCCCAGATATTCAATTTGTAATTGTTCACATAGTCTTCTCTACACTTGGCCCCATGGGAGACCAGTAGATTCCACTGGGTAGTCCACCCAGTTCAAATAAAAATTCAATAAATAAATTTAAACAGAATTTAAATTAGCTTTCAGTTTCTAAACTTTGGGTTTTTTGCAAAAGTGATGTTTTGCAGAGAACTAAAAAGATAACACAAAATAACCCTGTTAGGTGAATATAAAACGATTAAATTAGACTGACTAATTAAGCTGCACTCGATGACATTTAGACCTATCACAGCTATGATTGTGGGACAGTGTCCGAGAGAAGGTCCACAAATGCCTGCACTTGTGTATGACCTTCCTGTCTAGAACAGCATGCTTCCAAGAGGCGCAAGGGTTACTGCCCGACGCGGGCCGGGCTTCATGATTGGTCTATTAACGGACCTACCAGTATGTTATGATAAGATGCTCTATCTTAAGATGACTGATGACTGCTGCTCATCTCTCTCTGGATTGCAGACGACCCTCCATCTCTGTCTTCCAAGAACACATTGTCATCACCTTCCTCAGCGATGCTTGTCCCCTTGACTTCCATTGTGCTGAAATCCAGAGGATCGTTTTCTGGGGACGACGGGATGCCACTATCACCACTCTCAGAGCGGTCAAACATGGAGGTCTTCGGGTTTAGATGGACTGCAACTAAGATCGGTTCTAGACCGGTGGATGACTGCAATGCAGTCTTAAGCTTACTCACCTCAGACCTGTCTTGCTCCACTGATGTCCCACTAATGACAGCAATTCCTGGTGATGAGACAACTTGGTCATGGTCTTTCTGGAATTTCTCGCTACTCTTACAGGACTGTGTATGGAAAATGAAGCGAAAAAAATAACTCAAAGCTTAAATCTTTGTATATTTATTCAAAACGTATCAAGGCCTGCTGCATCGATCTGGACCGAAAATTCTGCCGATAATGATTATCTATACGAAGCCTGCCAATCAGCCAGTCAGTCAATCAGTAAGACTCGATCATCGGAGAGTTGGGGAGTTGGGGGGGGGGGGGGGGGAGTCGGGGAGTCAGTTGGGGAGTCAGTCAGTCAGGTTGTCAGTTAGTCAGTGACTCATTAACTCAGTCGGTGATTCAGAAATTCAGTTGGCGGGGAGGCCGCGTCAGTCAGTCAGTCGAGCAGTATGTCTTGTATCAGCCGGGGAGTCGGGGAATCAGTCAGTCACTTCGTCAGTCAGTCTGTGACTTATTGTCACAACAGACTGGCCCTATGGATTCAGCAAAAATTGAACTCAAGTTTGAAATGAAGTTTACAAGTATCTCAATTAATCTGACTTGCCTTTTGCTTCGACAGGTCTTCTGAGGCCTCAGCAAAGATGTGACGATACTGCCACACACAGAGGCCAAAGATGCAAAGACCAAGTACGATAGCGATTGGAATGACAATAGCAAACAAGAGAATGTCATGAGCTGGAATGAAACAAAACATTGACAAAACTTAAATTCCTAGGGTTCTGAGTTCTTCCCATAATGTGGTGAAACACTCGGCAAAAGAAAGGCAGAATTTAAACTTGATTTTCAAAATACATTTTTCATTGCTATAACGAAAGAAGGAAATTGAACAAGTTTAATGGAGGAAATCAGTTCCTTGAAATTTCCTGCCACTGGGGACAACAAACCCATCAAGTAAGCTATGGGTTTACAGCCTCTTGCACCTAAGATCATGTACAAATTCCTCAGCTAAGGCTAGAAGTAACAAGTCTATGGAAATTGGCTGCACTGAGCCACTTCCATAGGAACATGTGTAATTGTAAGCCCTAGCCATAATTTGGATGTAGGCTGACTCACTCGTCTTTCCTTCAACAGGCTCCGAGTCTGGTCCCACGCCTACCGCAGTGTAAGCTGCTATCCAAATGAGATAAGATGTTGATGGCCCCAGATCAGTCAAAGTTTCAGTGACTGCATCTGGTCGGCTCAGGTTCCACTGCAGAAGGTTATCTACCATACACAAAGAAGGATTAGAATCAAGTAAAATCACATTTTTAAAGAATATTGGCCAATTATGTCACAAAGCTGCAAGAAATTTGCATATTTGCTTTGCAAACACACTGAGGCTGCCAGCCACAACATCAGCAGATTATGTTGCTGTTGACAGGTTTGTGCTTAGCACACAAAGTTGTTTGCCATAAATTATTATTTAGCAGCTTTTGGAGAAGATTTGGGGTGTGCAGGCCAGTTAATAGGCATAAATTCCCTACGCCGGCCAAATCACAATTGGAATGCCCTCAAATTCTCCTGTATTAGAGCATTTTGAGGGCCAGACTTGAAGGTTTGTTTAAAAAAAAAGAAGGGTGCCGGAAGCCATGCACAGGATGCGAGCTTATATTTCTGTTAAATTCATATGACATTGGGCCCTTTAATTGCCTTATTTTGCAGTGGAACACAAGTATCATTTTTTTTAAAAGCTCTTGGAAACAGGACTACTTTTAGGGGCAATTTTTTTTGGGTGGACGTTTCTCCCAAATGTCATGGGATAACCCCACAAAAACTGAGAGTGACAGATGATGACAATTATAAGCTTTAATCTGATGTGTGTCTCAAACACCTAGGAGAGTTGCGAGTAATTTCCCTTCTCTCTGACTGGGAGAGAAGGGTTGAACAAAAGCGCATCATCTTATGCATGGCATAAACTGAAAAGAACCAGTGTGCTTGCTGCCACCAAGATCGAGTCCAAAGTCTGCCATTAATTGGCAACAACCAATAGGACGTGGCTTCAGCGCTGCTTCCACAGGCCATATGTGTTTCTGCAGCCTCGGACTTCACTAACCAAAAGGGATGTACACAACTCTCCTACCTGAACAGTACTTTGTTTTCTCATTATCAAGGCTCCTCTTGCAGAATGAGATCACATATCCACGAAGGACACCGTTGAAGTTTTCAGCAGGCGGTCGTTGCCATGACAACATCAATCTATCAGGATAGTTCTTGACAGGCTTGACTTCAACGCTGGTAGGTGGCGCATCTGGAACTGTTAACCGATGTCAAATAGGCTGTTACTAAATGCAGACGGTCACAAACTGTATCATCTGTTCATTTGGTATTTTTTAAATAATAGTCCTGCGAAACTATTTAAAATTTCAATATAGCATTGAAACAGAGGGATATTTCCTAGACGTACCTCCCTCCAATGTGCGTGCCCCGCCCCTTACAGATGTGACTTCACTCTCTCCGCGAGAGTTCACGACCTTAACGCCGACCTCATAAAGAACATAGGTCACCAGATCGTTGATGACATAAGAAAGCTGGCTTGAATCTGAGGTGGTGTAATATTTTCTGCAAAATGAAGAAATCAGTTGTGAGCTAAAACACAAAGTCTGGTTGTTTCCTCAAAATATCTTTAAGAAAATAAACATATCTTGGTGTTTTCTCCAAAGCTTTATCCAGGCTTCCTGTTTCTCCAATCGCATTGCAATGCTCATGTTCATCTTTACACTATGCAAGCCTCAGCGAAAAAAAAATTCTCGCATGACTTTCTTAAAAGTGACTAGAATATTTTATACCAAGTCCTAGTTTCAGGAATGTACATACATTTCACCATTACTCCTCCCCCATTGCACTGTGTAATTCTCTATGTAGCCATTAGGTTGACTTGGCTCCTCCCACTCAACAAAGATGGAGGTCGTTGTCAAGGCAACAGCTCTGACCTCATCAGGAGCACCCGGTGCTAAAAAAAATATTTCATCACTGTTACCTCATATGCCTACAAAACAAATGTGATGCGATCAAGCTAAATCAGCCGTTTGTTGACTCCGGTCAAAAACAAACTTATTACAGATTTGAAAAGAGCACAATCTCAGCATTACTGATGTGAACACCTCATGCTGATGATACCATCTTTAGTTCAAAAATTATGGAAGTTGGAACACCAAGAGATGTATTTTGGCCTGAATCTCCAAATGAAAATTCTCGATAAACGACTCATGTAGCTTGATCACATCACAAATAGAGTTTACAACATAAAAATGCTGCATCTATTTATTATTCCCAGAGACTCAGCAATTAGTTCAAATATTGTTTTCTCTATTGTCTAGCTTTATTTGGGGGAAATATGTAACAAGTTTAATTTAAAGCAGGTCATTTACTGTTCCATAGAAGTTTAAAAGACCTCAAAGTAAGGAAGCTTTAATTTACAACCACCTACTGCATCAAGCATGTGTTGACAAGAGTAAGAAGACGGTGAAGTGTGATAAAGTGCCTTGCCCAAGGACATGCCACATCACATAAGTTTGAAGGGAAGGATTTTAAAATTTGGTGTGAAAGACCTACCTCTTGTTTGATCTTCAATCAAAATTGACGACCAAGGGCCAATGCCGGCGCTGTTACGGGCAGCAACTTTGACAAGATAGCCTCTGAACTTCTCAAGGGGACCTGCAAAAGTTATTGTCATGCATGAAAGAAATTGTCAAGTCCTGCCTCTCAGACTGCAAGGCTTAACACAAGAAGAAAAACACTCACCATTAATCGTAAAGAAGCTTCGGCTGGTGTTATATTCTCGTCGTAATTCTTCTGTGTCATCTGCCTGGATGACTACCCTATAGCCCAAGAGGCGCCCATGTTGGCCTTCTTCTGGCAATTTCTGAAAACAGAAAATATAACCAAAATGATGACATTGTTGACATTGTTGTAGTCAAGTCCATCACAAGTCCACCACAAGTCCTTCACAAGTCCATCACAAGTCCATCACAAGTCCATCGCAAGTCCATCACAAGTTCATCACAAGTCCATCACAAGTCCTTCAGTCTCAAGTCAAGTCACTAGCTATTCAAATGAACTGTTACAGAAACATTCCTTTGTCATTAGTCACCCCTTTCTTGCGACCGGACTTGTGAAAGGACTTGTGATGGACTCGACTACGTCACTGCTCCTTGCCAGACTGATGTTCTTACTTCACAGAGCCTACAAGGTTGTCTTGATTGTTACCAAGATAACAGAGCAACTCCCAAGTCACTAATTGATTGACATTAGAAAAGTATAACACCCTTAGAATGACTGCTCAATGTAAGTGAAAGTTACGATATCAAGGCATCTCATCATCAAGCATGGCGGTTGACTTACCGTCCAAAATATTCTGACATTCCTCTTGTAGACTGGGTCAGCTTTGTTTGGGGTTTCATTAATTTCGAGGCCTTGTACAACTTCTAGAGGTGCTGGATTGATTACAAAAAAATGAAAAGCAAAGCTTTATTAGGGAAGGCTACATAGGAGGAGTCAACCTTCTCATTAGACCATAGTGTCTGGTCTAGTGGTCCACATCAGCCTAACGAGGTTACAAAAGCCGAATGTATCATAATGTAGAGCAATTGAGCCACACATTTGAAGATATTTGAACACTACCAATATAAAGTGAGCATGCTTTAAGGTAACATTTACTTTTGCTGTAATTTTCAGAAATGGACAGGTTTGGGAGTTAGTATTTTATAGCAAACTTGCATATATTCACTAGCTGACCTGTTCAAAAGTTTGTGTTCAATAACATGCTGTCCTTGTAGCCTGGTTTCCTGGCCTTACTTTAGACAAAAGGGGGCAATTTACAGACATCAGGGAATGTTCAGGTCAAGGAACCATACTAGCTAGGGCTGTACTGGCCATTCCCAGGTGAACAAACTAAATGTGGTATGTTAAGGGGGCAGTATTTTAAAAACGTTAGTTTTCTTCCCAAGGATGGTCAGCCCACCATAATTGGAAATTGATACCAAATATTCCACTTTTCTTGGAAATGACAGCACACTAGGGTGCCATGATTTCACAGGATGCTTGAAACTATTGTTATCATACACTTATGGTCAAGTAAGTTATTTCAAACTATTGTTGGTTTGGTTTTTTTATGTTTGCAAATGTTGTATATATAGTTATCATTAAGTTATGTCACATTAAAACAGCAATCTGTTGACAAAAAGTCCTCAATGTTGCTCTTTGCTTGACTTTGACACTCACTTGTCTCACGTGTGATTGTGGTTTCAACCTCAGTCCACTCACTCCAATTCTCTTCCCTTGATTGGTCAAATCTGGCTGCGACTTGAACATCGTAGAAAGTATATAGGTCTAGTTCCCTCAATGTAAAGGATTTAGACCTCACATCTTGAGTCTGTTGATGGTTTGAAGAATGCATTATGTGTTAATACCACCATTCTCTTGATTAAATTGGATGCACACTTACAATTTTGTGAATCATCAGGAGTAAAATTTCATATGGGTTGCGAAAATTCCTATTGCAGCGACAGCATTGTGAATAATAACTGTCATCAGGACATTTTTTTCAGAACTGTTACCACAATTACTCTGATGATCAATGCATTACTTTCCTCCACTTCTTAAGAGAATTATCTGAGTTTTACCTCTAACCAACAGCAGCATGTGTGATTAGCCATCACACATTCCTCCTTCTTGTATCTCAGTTTGTACGTCAGAGATCCTTCTCTTGTCGACGGCCACTCATCAGGAACAGACCATGTTACTCTCAGCGATGTCTCAGTCTCCATCTTAGTGACTGCAACATTGCTTGGACTATTTACAACGACTAAAAAAAAAGTAAAAAAGAAGAGATACTCAACGTAACCATGAAATTCTCAGTCAAATGCACCAATCTAGTTGTGCAGAGCGACAATATATGGGTAAAGTGCCCTGCCTAAGAACACAAAGCACAATGACAAAATTGATTGTGCAGGCCTAGATGTGTCCTATCTACAATTCTTTTTCAAAATCTAAATGCGAAACTAAAACTCTAGCTTTTTTTATACCATCGTTGTAAGTATGGAAGACTTTCTCGGTTGTAGCGTTCCCCAGACGGTTGGTTGAGGTGACTCGAACGTGTTGAATGAGGCCAGCGCCAAGTTGTAGATTACAAGTGTTGCGCCCTGGTGATGGACAGTCTTCCCAGCTACCACCACGTCTGAAATGAAACCACCAAAATGGCTGATAAACCCAGGCCTCAAAACTTCATCCTATATAGTAAACCTAATCTAGCAGTTTGAATCTCTTGTCTCTTAATTGGTCTCTGACGGTAGCAATACATGGGAATATGCTGATGATATTTTTCTGATATTCATTAACAATGTAAGCACATTATATAGTTCATGCATTTTCTATAAAAGGCATCACAGATTTAACTTCTATCTGGTATGTGACTTACTTGAACATAAAATTGTGCTGGGTTTGAATCTGTGTGTACGTCCCGTCCTCCCAGCTACACCGATATGCATCAGGAGACGGTATGACGCAGGTTAGAATAGGTGGCTCGGGCTTCCCTTGGGCAAAATAACAATCAAAACAAAACATTTTAAAACCAATTAAACACTCCAAACCATCTTCTAACCCGGAGAATATATCATGTGACCTTATGAGATTATCATGTGACCTTTCTGTCAGCTTAGGGTAGTCTATGGGTTTTCCCCGTGAAAATCATCCGAGTTTTCCTGCCAAGGAATCCTTGGTTTCATTGCCAAAAATAACATAACAGTACAATGTACAGCGGCAAATTCTTGTTGAGATTCCAGAGAGGGGCATGACCAATTGTCGGAATACATCAAAGTGCATTTTAAGTAATTTTTCCTCATTAATGGAAGATTTAGGCCTATGTAAATATTTGAAAAAGCAAATTATTTAGAAAGTTAGAGAAACTGGTTAGGTGACTTACTTCCAACTGACACCTCCGAGGCATAACAGCTTTTGAGCCGCCCTAAGTGACAGTAGTACATCCCCCAGTCACTGAAGGTGACATTTGTCAGTGTCAATTGAGACACTGTGTCACTGAGACTGGTGTACCTGTCTGGTGGCAACTTGTCGCGATTGTGTTCCCAGATGACATCTTGAGATGTACGACCGTCATTGGACGAGTCATCAATGGTACAATTCAGGACCAGGTCTGAACCAACTTCAATGATGGGATCAACTGGTAACAAACAACCTGTTTAAAAAGGACAATTTGTATTGAAGCATAATATCCCAGTTAAGATGATTCAGATGTAACTTTAAAGGAAACTGTCCCAAACAATGTTATTTTGGAAATCAGCCAACCAAAATATCTGCAAAATGATCAAACAATGAGCTGGCCCATCAACTGGTCAACTAGCCAATCAGTTGACAATCAACTGGCAATTACATGTAATTTGACAAATGGTCACCCAACTGGTCAACTGTCAGGACAAAGAACTGGACAGCCATCCTGACAAACAAACAATCAAGCAGCTAACCGATTAACAAACAAACTGATTATTCATCTGGCAATCAAGCAGTATAAACTTGAGATTCTCATGGCCTGTTCCAAAACCTTTTTTTTGGAAGGGGGGCCAACATTTGTTTTTTGTTGCAAAAAAGGTGGGTCCAAACAATTTCCGCCCAAAATTTAACATGAAAAGCAAGGGAAGGGGGTGCAAATGTATTGCTTTTGTTGAGTTTTGTGGGTGGTGTACGCAATAGCTGCTTTTTTGCGATGCCCCCCCCCCCCACCTGGATCCACCCTTGTTGACACTTACCTTCAAGATAGCCTATCAAGAAAACAACCAACGTCAACAGGACACAGTTAGTACCAGCCATGTTGTCCACAGAAATGCTGATTTGTTGTCACAATCCTGCAAAACGAAAACAGGTTTCTTGCATTTTTATTTTTGTTCCTATATAACCCCTAATCACGAGCCCCAAAAGATGTTAAAAACATAAAAGTTGAAACAGTAAGTCTTTCAAACTACATGTAGTATATAAACAGAACTTTGGACTAGTTACAAGCAAAAACACTGCCAGCACATCTGATGTCTCCAAAATAAATAAACAAAACACTGCTCTTTATTTTTTTTGTCAGCCTGACTCACCAGTACTTTAACTCGATCCCCAGTCACCAGCAAACTGACTATCAATACACCAACTTCCTTTTAAAATAGTGATTATGATTTCCTTTCCCGAGATAATATTTCAAAACTTCCCCGCACTTCCATTGTGCACATAAAGCAACCTTCCTTTCACTTTTGACGAAAGAAGGAAGTGGAATATTTTGAGGTCACAAAACTGTTGCTAGCCACACCAGAGACCCAGATTTTTTTTCATAGTTTTAAGAGCATGCAGCACCTGGATACTGTAACAGAAGATTTAAAAAGAACTCAAAATCAAACTTCTTATGTTTGCAAAAACCTCGGAAAACACACATTCAATTTAAGAGTATTAAAGCTCTGTGTGAGAACTCCGGATATAAGCTTAAATCACAGTACTTTCACCCACTAGAATGAACAGTCTTAAAATAATACACATGATGGTGTATTCTTTTATGGCTTCATCCTGTTCCTGTCCTGCTGATGATTTCCTTGAAAAAAAATTGTTTTTAGAACACAAAAAAACAGAAAGATACTTTGTTATAAGCTACCCTGGGGATATAAGAACACCTTTGTTTGAGACATCAATGGGCTGAAAGAAAGACTGAACAGTTTAATTTTTGTGGAAACTTGGCTTCTGAAGAGGACATTTTTGTCCTCTTGGTCTGCAGATGTGTGGGGGTAGTACATGGGGCTTCTTGATAGGAGCGCGTGCCAAAAAAACCCCACAGTTGTTGAGTTACATGTAGCTCCATGCATGTACACAGTAAGGTTTATCTTGAAACTAAACATCGGGGTAATAAAATCTCCTTCGGTGATTTGTCAAAGTTCTCCTCATTCTTGCAAGCAGCTTAAAAAGTAGCACACTATTTCACTTTCAGGTAAACAATGCTTTTGAGGTTGTTGATTATAAAGTGACGCATTCATAAACTCAATCAAATTTACAGTTTCACTTTCTTCGAGGTATAATGCACTTAAATTTCTATTTGCCATAATTTCAGAATTGAAAATGGATAAACAACCTGTTCCACAGGCCATAAAATGTGCACTGATTTCTTGATACAATGTAACTGAAAGTATTGAAAAGACTGAAAAAAAAGAAGAGAACAATGGTTTTGATAATAAGTTGTTTCACACCTGCTTGCCCACACGCAAAGGGGCTGATGATGAAACTTCACCATATTGACCAGAAGGCTTGCTGCACTTAACTTACTTAGGTAAGAGATAGTGTTCTTCATTTTATTCATTAAATTACCACTGAGAGTTTCATACTTTATTTTTCAAACGAACATACTTTCTTTGAACGTAACGTCCCATAAAACACACAATAGATCTGCAAAATGAAAAATACTCTAAATTTAACATAAAATGTACCCTTGACAGTCACACAACAACAATGGGAAAAGGTTACATGTAGGCCTATACCTTTCAAAGCACTTTTGACATCTTACTGACCAGAATAAGAGGGTTCACCAATGGCTGAACTTGAACTGGTTGATTTAACCCCAAAAAACGTCTGTTTCCTATTTCCTGGGGCAAAAATGAAAACAAAATGAAATCCAGATCTCAAAAAGGTAAACAGTCATCCAACGACATCCTCCATGCCACCCACCTACACCTCATTTTTCAACCCTCCATCTGCTCTGATACATTTATCACCAATCAAAGGTCATCAGTTTTTCACATCAATTCAATCAAACTTTCTTATCTCTCCAAACCAGGCATCTCTCCCGCAAACTTTAAGAAATACCGCATGGTTTTGTTTATACAATTTTTTGTTGGCACTCTGCCAAAAGTTCATTCTGTTCCAAGGGTTGGGATGTGGCTTGGCTTGCGGTGATGGACTCTGCGTGAGTTGTGTGTTGTTACAGTTTCAGTCTCAGACTATCGCGTGCCACTTAATGGTTTGAGTCATGTCGCGTGAGGCACACGCCACCAGCAGACTATCAAACTTTATGTATCATACATGATTGCTCCAAGAAGACAAACCACTTGAAATTATAGAAGATAATGATAGTGTTTGAAAGTTTACTCAACAAAAGAAATCACATCAAAAGTGAATCCAAACAATGGCACCATTCACTGCAAAAGAAAATAACTGCAGTTTTATACAGAATTGACTATTTTTTGTCACATACTAAGAAATTGAACATGGTTTATATACTTGTATTATACTCAGACTCAATGACAAAAACACAGGGATTACTCACAGGTATGAATTTATGCCACAGTCATGTGAAACTTTTTTAATTCATTTCATTTCCAATTCTTCCATGATGATTGGGCAAACCGGTCACACATGGGGCGTACACACTCCCATGATTTTGAACACTACTGAGTGATCAATATACAACCACTGGCACCTCAGAGTGCACAGACCCAAGACTTAGCTGGGTACAGAGCCGAAGCTACAATACAAGGTACAAAACACAGACCCAAAACTTTAGATGGGTACAGAGCCGGAGCTACAAGGTACATGCATGTACATGTGTACATGTAAACCAAAACAAGTGGTTATAGGCCATATCTATGTCCATCATTAAGACGTAAACATTAAAAAGTTGCATATCCACTTATGTAAAATTCAGTCAGAAATCTAGCCCCCATGAGACTCGCGAGCGCTATTGATAAAATGAATTACATTTCTTTATTTGTGTTGAGCAATATGCAGGGGCGGATCCAGGAATTTTCGCAGGGGGGGGGTTTCATCAGCAAAAAATTATGAAAATGTATGAGGTTTGACTTATTTTTTAGGAATTTGTATGATAATTTTTTTTTTTACAGAGCTGGGGGGGGGGGTGGTTTCACACCCAAAATCCCCCCTCTGGATCCACGCCCGAAATGCATAATATTGATCCAAACATGGGTGTGATGAGGGATTGGGGTCGACCCCCTTCAGGCCACCCCCACCCGTACCACCCCCCCCCCACCCCCCCACCCCCACCCCAAAAAAATTGAGGGGGTTATAATTATTACTTAAGGGAAATTAGGAAAAAAAGACAAGAGGCCCAAGGCAGTAATACAGAAATTGCCAAAAAGGCACCACTTAAGAACACCGCAGCTCCTGTTGTAAAATTTAATACCATTCCCCACCCAAAGATCAGTTAAGCTGAGGCATGGACGATATCTTTCCTCATGGAGTTTGAACAGTCCGCCAAGCCCACACAGGATACAGACCAATTAGCGACCCTGGCTGACCAGCAAAGGCATGGAGGCCTCCCGCTGCGGCCCGACCCACTGACCGACAGATTTACGACCACGATATTAAGATCCCTTGTGCCGTGGAGGAATAAGAACCTTAAAAGTAGTAAGAACCATGCACGGGGTTTGGTGTGCTTGTATTCCAGTAAAAATAGCTCCATGATCCATGGGTGCAAAATAATGTCCTGTTACTACTAATACTACTGTAGTGTCATGACAGTGTTAGTTCCTTACTCTATGGTTTTACTACAACGTGCGTGTATAAACGCCGCCAGTATTGGCCGCCTTACCTATAAAAACTTTCTCTTCGCTTCATACTTGTTGCTTGTGGACGACGTCATGTTTGGATGAGGACGTTCATGGTCCAACCACGGAGGCAGAAATGGTCCACCTTGCTCTATGATGGTCCAACGCACCAGATCGAAGTCTTCATCATCTTCAACCCTGGAAACAGCGGCGCTGCGCGTGGCCCGCGCGCACCATCAATCAAGATAAAACAAACACGTGCCAAGTTTTGACGTGTCTAAAAATAGCGCGCCGGAAAACCCCTTTCAAGTTTTGTCAGCACGCGGCGTGCATTGGCAATGCAGATTGTTGCAGAAAGATGTTGGTAAAACTTCGTGGTTATGTTTTCCAGTTGTTTGTCACTTGCACCTCCTAAAACCAGGTATGTTCATACTCATAGTGGTCATTTCCAAAGCAACTAGTGAGTGTACGTCTTTTTGATTTGATTTACTTGTTGCTTGAAGAATGTAGCTCTTCTACGATGTTCGGTGAGTGAAGTTTAGTTTAGCTCCACCATGGAGGAATATTCCTCCATGGCTCCACATAATGGCGACGGTGTTTCTGCGCCGTACTGACCATACCTTCGCCACACGAGTCGTGGGCAAGGCTAGGGAAGACCCGTACCCGTACCCAGACAAATATACTGGCAATGAGGTCACTAGTGCACATATCTATGCGCCAGAGGTGACCAGAAGAGGGTCCTATTTTCCGAGGCCGGCTGAAGGCCCAAGGAAATAGGACCCGTACTGGCTCGGGTGCCTAGAGGTGCACAAAACATGCTAAAGACAGATAATACTAATATATGGCAGACTTTGCCAGTCCATATATGTGTTTTATAACACTTTTGTCCGAAATATAAAATAAGACAAGAAACTTTGCACTTTTCTGGGTTTTGAATTAACAATTAACTCATAAGCAATTCAACCATTAAGTATGCAATTAAACAATTAAAGTAACGCTTTTAGTTGCCCTTGATTCAGATTTTGAGTTCGACTGTGAGTCTTTGAGAGGGTGCTGTATCCAGTCCAAACGTCTTGAGTATAATGCCTGATCAGGCACTATACTCAAGAAATAAAACGCACAAAATGTCTTTACACGCGCCTAGTCCACGCTGATGAAAATTTCATGAACAAGCAGGGGCTTTCCAGGAATTTTTGCAGTAGAGGTTTTTCATCAGCAAATCAATGCTAAAAATGTGGTCAGTTTTTTTTGTCCGGACACTTGGCTCCGTAAAATCAATAGGTGGGGGGGGGCTGTTCAAATTCGACGATTACACTTTATTACAGCCCTGTATCCACACCTGTATCCGCACCTGACTAGCCTGAACAGCTTCTTGTCCCCACCTGCTTTCTATTTTCCGGCTGTTTCCTTTTCTCTTGTTTTTTATTCATGATACATTTGCGATATATTTTGCACATACATCTATTGTATTTGTTTCCAACAAATGTGTGCTATGTGGAAAGGGTTACAGCACCTTTGGACACAATTTTGTATCAGCAACAGGTCGAGAAAATGGAAAAATCCATCTGCCATCTTGAGAAAGTTGAAAAAAAAAGAAAAAAAACACTTCCATTTTTTTAAAAGGCTGGATGAGATGAAATTTTTTTTTTTCTTCATCAACTCGGCATAATAAATGATAGTTTAATTGCCAGGGAATCAAAGATGCTAGCAAACTAATGTTTACTAAAAGAAAACCAGTGAAAGACATTATACATGTATAACCGACATATATCCTTGTCATTTGATTGGTGGAACTCACATTACATGACATTCGTTATTACTCCCATTCATGCCGGGTCTCAAAAAGTACTATCTGCCCATGGGGAATGGGAAATACTATTGAACAGTTAGGATCAGTCTTGTTCCAAGACACGGTATTTGTGTGCAAAGGCATGCTGGTGTGCCTTTAGCGTTACAAAGAGCCAGCGCTACAGAGTGGGGTTAAAACATTTTTGTGAAGGGGTGGTTTGGAAGAGAGAAATACATTTCCCATCAATTTTGTAGTGAAATAAAAGTTCAAATATATCAAATGACAAGGATCTATGTCAGTTATATAAACCTTGCGATAATATTCCTCCCATTTCACTCTGAGCCACTCAATATTTGCATAATATCCACTGCCTAACTTTTATTGACTCCTTCAATTTGGTCAAACTCTGATAGTGTGCTTGAGTTTGTAAGTTTTAATTTTGTTCAGAACTTGTTATAGACTGCACGTTCATGTAGGCAGGTCTATAAATGGTACAACACAGACAACCAGTGGTTCAACTTATTTGTGCCCGGCCCGTTGCATCTGTCAACAATGAGACTCGATAAGATCAATAACGTCTATTCAGCCTCAAGGGCAAAGTGTAAATTCTGCATTCATGTTCATGCACATTGATCTGTAGTTCTGTACACTCCAACAGCAAAGCGCAAAATCATGGAGTTCAGTGGCCAAAAACATCCACGCTGTGAGCACAAATACAAAACATTTTACGCTGTCAAGTGAAGTCGTAAACAGGGTGCTGGCACACCCTCTATAGTGAGCCTGAGTGCAGGAACACAATGTTGCACCTGAAATTAAATCAGTGTTTTTCAATCAATTAATCTTAGTTATTAAAGTCTCCACAGTTTATAAGCTGTAGAGGCTGTTTATCATCTGATGAAATTAAGCTGAATGCTTGTAGCTTTACGGTAAGTACAAGTGTTTGTTAAGCTGATTTTTTTAAAAAGCAAAATCAAGTTTGTTGTAGGCAAACTGTTGTATTTATTGCTTACTCGCCCTTTACACACTCAGGTGAACTGTGAACTATTAAAGTTTGTATGGCAAAGAAATCAACAGCCTTTTTTAATTGTGTAGAGGTACCACAAACTCATTGCCATCTGAGGGAGCACACTTGTGTTTTTTAATATCTTTTTCTCATGTTCAGCAATAATTAGATAAAAGTGGAATGAAATCCAGTATTGGCAATATTGGCAGAGCTACCCAGGAAATTACCAGCATTCCTCAAGAGCGCTGTATTCAAGGTAGTGCACTACTTGGAATTTCCCAGGTAGCGCTGCCAATATTGCTAAGACTGGATTTGATTCATCATGTTGATAGAGACCTCCACCGCTGACAACTTAACTGCATTTGTCACGGGACTGGCTGCGAAATACCGGGTAGGGTGATAAAAACCCAGACTTGGACCAGGACTAGTCACACCACACAGCCCCACGTAAATGGTATATGATTAACTGCTCGTAAATGCCTTGCAGCAACTTGAACTTTGAAGGTTTTAGCAATGTGTGTAAACACAACTGGAAACCTTAGGAACTTAGTAGGAGGGCCAGGCCTAAGGGCAGAGAGTTTCCTGGTTGGAGGAGATAAGAACCTCAGATTGCATGGATGTTACAATCTCATGACTTGAACATTCATGGCTTATGAAATCACAGCAAGATCTCAGATCCATTGGTCGCTCTGTGTCAAACTTAAAATCATTTAATTCATGAAAGATTTAATGTACTAAAAAGGAACCAAAAACAAATGTAGACCTGTGCAAGATAACACTCTAACAATTCTTCTCCAAATTAGGTAAAAGTGTGCCAGAGTATGCAAATAGGAGTATGCAAATGACGGACACTTTCAACCAATAGGGAACCTCCTTTGATTTTTTCCAGGTGAATCAAAGTTTTAGCTTGTTTTTCTCTGTCACACAGCCATTGACTGGATACATTGTACAAGAAAGTTAAGCCCCAATTTCTCCAGTGAAATCAATCACAAGAGGGCCAGCTGGACTACTGTTACCATGGTAACACTTAGTCCCATTAAGTGGAAATACTCCTAACAAAGAACAGTTTGGCCTTGTCCATATACGGTAGCAACCACCCTTACAGAGTAAATACACACCAAGTGAAACCAAAAGTGAAAAATAGTTTACATGTTTCCTGAACCCTTTGTCGAATTTGAATGCACAGTAACTAATGCGTCACTTTCGCATTTCCCCTGCATACTTCAAATTAAACTAATTGTATATTTTTGTAATGAAAATGAGAGAGGAGTGTTTAACACAGATGTCAATATTAGTAATTATTTGTGTGAAGTGGTTACATTTGTGGTAACAGTTATTTGTCAGCAGTAGTTAGTCCAACTTTTCGGTTCACTGTTTTACTTTGTGAAATTTTAACCTGCTAGATTGACTACTTGAAAATGTAATTAAAATGAGCGTAGTTATGCATCAAAATGGCCAATGAAACTGGTAGAAGAGTACTTGAATTTCAGATGGGATAAGATTTTGTTGGTTTCTCTCTTCCACATAAAAACTAAGCCTTGCAATGCTTTGTTCAGCAAGGGTGTTTTTATAAAATTGTATTGGTATATTATTATTAAGTAGGACTAGGAAGACAAGCTTCAGCAAAGTAATCAGTCCTTATCCTAAGATCATAAAGAAACTTCCGCTAGTTGTTGTGCCGCCATTTTTTTCCAAGGAAACCATTTTCGCAAAATCGTCTACCGGAACTTCTGACAAGGTCACTTAAGTCTTTCACAAAGTGTGAAGTGATTTGACCGCGTGTATGCTTTTCTACATGAACTTGTCAGTTAGTGTACTTTTTTTGCAAATTTCAAGGAACATCAAGTGTCCTCATCTTGGCAGAGAGCCAGCACCTAAACTTCTCCCTTTTGTTTAAAAAAAAAAATACATAGTGTGGCCATTGCAATGCTCGATGTCATGTGTGAATAAGGAAAAGGTACATTGTGGTATTTTTAGTTCTTCGTCAATTTTGTATTTATTTTCAACACTGCCAATGGCCATGCTCTACAAGATGATGTCCCTCAAAATATATCCTTTAATTCCCTCCATGATTTTTTGTCACCTTTCCTGAGAATTTTAGGTTGTCAATCTGCACCGAGTTGGTTGCAGGTTGCCTTGTCAGCACCCTAGACCAGGCAACCTGTCCTATTTTGCAAGGGTTTGCTTGAAAAGATTGAAGCTTTTGTGAACAAATGTAACATTACTTTTTGTTGCAAATTTGCTGATTTTCTTTCAAATAACCATTTTTGCAGAATTCTGCCGGAAATCTGCCAAAAAACTCCAATCTGTCAAATTTTCTGTCAAACTCGTTTTATAACAAAAAAGTTAGCCGAAAATCAGCTAAAACGGTCACTATGTTTACAGTTTATACAATAGATTCAGGGAACATGATCTCAAACTTGCTTCCCTTAAGTCTATTGAACGTGCTGATCTGACCTGACACAGGAAACTTTGTGACTGGATTTTGCTGGCATTATGCCAAGTCCAGGTGTTAACAATCTGATTGCTTTGAAATACTTCCACAGTACATTTCCGATTGCGATAAAGATATCCTTCATTGTTAAAAGCTAAGGTCTTGACAAACAGATCAGAAAAAGAAAATTCATGTGGCTCATCCAAAACTGAACATTGCATAAAAAAACAAATACTTTCTCCTGATAACCTCTGATTCTTTTGGTTTTAGTGGGGGGGGGGGGGGAGAGTGTTAAAATTGTAACGTATTTCATAATAAAGTTTGGATTTATTTCAAACATGATGTGCTTTATCATAAAAGTTTATCAAACAGACTCATACACGTCTCTAATTTCCTTTGTCTAAAGATACAAACAGTGTTCCATTACCTTTAAAAATAAACATTGAATTATTGATATTAAAAAACTTATGGGAAAAATAATACGCGAGGCAAATCAGGAAACTTGCATTCATATAGGCCCTAATGGTTAATTCTTTGAATCAGTCTGTTTCTAACGACATTATTAATTGACACATATCCCAATATATTCCAAGATTTTGTGTTATTTGGTTTTTGTTTTCGCAAATTATGTCATTCAAATCTCACATTCAGTGTTTTTTCTCAGCAGGAAGCCAGAATTTCTGATTAAAAGTATACCCTCATAACCAAAGAAAGAAAATTGAATAGTCTTTCCCGTTCAGTTCTGGATAATTTATGTAAAAGTGAAAACCATTAACTTTAATGACGTGTATCCTGGTTGCAATGATTATTGAGGTTTTCCTTTTGTTTCTTGTGCCCTATAAATTGAAGTACGAGTGAAGAACAATATTATCGGTAGAAGTACCCTCTTAGTCTTCCGAAGTAGTTAAATTTAGTCTTTGTTTACTTTGCCACTGTTTGTTACAATATCGAACAAGAAATGAAACTTCCTGAGGTGTTTATATTCTTGTAGTTTTTATTTTTCTCTAAAGAACAGCATCTGAGTGGAAAAAGTGCACTCTTTTATCGGCCATTACAACTTCCTGCATTATGCTCTGGCAAAAGTGAAAGGAAAATTTAGAGGGAGTGAAACAGATATTGTTCTGATTATTCACCAGGTTAGTTGGAAATACAATGCCTAGCTGGGAAAAATCCTAATGTCTCTATAAAAACGGAGGAAGCTTAGGGAGACAGACAATATTCTTAATTGAGTTGACTTCCGAGTGCATAATGATGGCAGTTCTGATTAAATTATGATGAATTTTAAGCTTCTGATTTTGGAGACATTTTTACCTTTTTGCTGAATATAAATTTGGGTAAGTTGAATCAACAGTTTTTCTAAATATGGTACCCATTGTGCATTACTGAGTGGTAGGAATAGTTGTATCTTTCACCATTTTATGACACAGTATGGAAGTTCTAGATACCTCCACAGTATACAGGGGCGGATCCAGGAATTTTTGCAGGGGGGAGGGGTCAGGCCCGTCAGATATTTTAAATCAGCAAATCAGTGCTGAAATATACACAGGTTTTTGTCTGAATGTTTGGGACAGCCGGACATACAGGTAATTGATATTATAATTGTAAAAAAAAACGGGGGGGGGGGGGGGGGGGGGGTTGATAAAAGGATTTTGAAATCCGCTCAAAGTCCTAAGCTAACTCCGACCTCTGGTATTCACCCAACTAGTGCAGACATTCCACCAATTTTAATTTTATCCTATAGAGGTAGTAGACCTCTTCCATTACCACACACTTTCTTTGATATGGAATTACATTTGTCCTTAAATTTAGTCTTCATGTTAGAAGTAGAACAGTCACGACAGAGGAGCACCTTTTTTTTTATGACAAACGTATTTTTAACGATTAGCCTTGGTTACACGTACATCTGTTTGTGATCTGTTGTGAGTAGATAAATAATCTTATCTACTGTTAATTTTTTTTTGGGGGGGGGCCAATCCCTGTTTATCGATTCAGTATATAGGCCTATACAGGGCTGTACTGAAATTTACATTTTTGTTCTGCATTCCGATATTGATATATTTATTATTTTGTCTTTAATTGTGCTTTACATTTTTATCGGTGTCATAGTCATGAAAGCATAATACAGTTTCCATGTGTACGTTTCTGATCATAACGTACATCTATAAATATTCTGTATTATTTCGCAGGTTGTAAGTTTTAAAAGGTCGGTTTAAAATCCCTAATTCTTTTTAAATGAAACAAGTACTCCTGTGATATATTATTTCATTCAAATTATTATTCTAAAATATTTATGAAATTACCTAGCATTGCTTCCTTGTGTGGTTGTTATCAGTGTGTAAGCGCAACTCAACATCACTAACATGTACATGTAATGTTAACAGTACTATTGAAAAGCAATTGTTGTACCTGTACAGTTTGTTCAAGGACGTGGGTTCATTTCACTATGATCAGTCAACTGGGTAGAGTTGAAATTCAAGTGTTTGTTTGGGATTTCCCATGACTTTTAAAGTCTTTGAATACACATACCGGTAGCGTACACAATTCAGTTGTCGTGGAGTACAATTGCTGGGAATTCCCACAGTTTTATAGGCCATGTACGGTACATTGTACCCTCAGATTCAGAGTGCATTGTGTCCTTGTGGTTTGCCAAACTTTTAATCTTTTGCTCCCAACAAATCTGTTCATTTCAGCTGAGATCTGTGTGCAGTCTGGTAAGAATGTTGAGATAAGCAAATGCTTGTATGTAGATAATTCACTTTTGCTTTTGTTACCTATGATGTTGAACCAATTTGGATTGTAACAGTCCTTGTGACATGTATCCGTGACTTTACTGATACTGTATTTAAAAAAAAAAAATATGGACAATTATGCTAGAAACTGCATGCAAAGGGTGTTTAATTATATGTAATTGAACTGGAGTGAGAAGAAAAACTACAGACCCAAAAGGACCTCTACATGTTTACGCAGAGACCAGGTTTCAGCCCTGCCTTTTTATGAATCACACTATTGAGAGTGGAGGTTTTGTTTGGCTCAAAATAGCCCAACCCATTCAAATAGATTGTTCAATTTTCGCACACATGAATGCCGCCTCCAATGCTCACAATGCCTGCGTATGGTTTCGGTTCTCTTGCTAAATTATCCATGATACCGGTACATGTACATTACTTTGTGCAGGACTTTGCCCAGTTTGCCCAAATCCAGTTGTAAATTCACAATTGGTGTGGATTATTTGTGAGGGTCCTGGCAAAATGAGGCAGAACTGGGCAGAGATCCAAATGAGGTTTTGCCGGTATTAGAGAGTCAACTTCTCATTACAACACTGTTTACTGTTCCGTTAAATTGCTGTTTAAAGGTGCATTTATCATGCATTAACCAACATGTCCACAAAAAAAAATACTGAGAAAAAGGCATTGAAAGTTTCGAAATTTGTAGGTGAAAATGAACGATGCCAATTGTCTTCCTTTAAAACACTTTTATTCTACGATTTTTACACTTTTTGTATAAAACATGTGTAGTAGACATATTGAAGATTATAAAGATATAATTTTGAAAATCTAAATAAAATTACCCCAATTTTTTTTTTTTCCATTTTTCTCCACTATGGCCTGTGCCCAGTACCGTCTCATTTTGCCAGAACGCCTCACATATTATCTGAAAGCGACAGTCGTACATTATGGACTTAACTGTAAAACTCTCCCTTTTGTTTCATTAGATCTTTGATTGAAGCGAGCCTCTCATGTGCCAGTTTGACATCATGCCAAGAGCTTGTTGTGTGCTTGTCATTACTGGCGTCAGGCTTTTTATGCTGCTCCTTGTCACCTCAACAAGACCGGTAGCAGCCCTTGTCGGTAAATATTAACGTGGAATTTTCAAACATTGAGAAAGCCTGAATTTGTTAATTTTTTTTAACATTTTCGGGTCCCCGGCAAAAGTTGAAAGTACCTTCACAAACGTTTTTCATGTGGCTTGTCACCTCAGTTCGACACCCTCTTCCCTGGCCATAAAAAATGGTAGCCTTACTGTATAGAGTTATAGCACTCAGGACGAGTCATTCTTAAGATGGTAGGAATTAGCAAAAGAAAGAATGTGTAAAAATGATTGTGCCAACATTGTTGAAAAGTAAAGGTTTTTTCCCCCTATGCCCCTCCAACTTTTGGTCCTCCCGTGTCACTTTTACTGCCCCCCCCCCCCCCCCCCCCCCCCCCCCGTCTCCCAAATGTTTAGTATTTTTAGTAGAGAACTTCTGAGACAGATATTGCCAGTGTCTATTAACTGTGAGGCTTCTTTCTTCCAAACAGGAACACTGACACCAGTAATTCCTATCATTGAAGTGGGTTCAGACATGGTCCTAACTTGTACGCTCAATAACTCATCAAATGACGGTCGTACAACTCAAGATGTCATCTGGAAACACAACACAGTCCAGCTGTCACCAGACATGTATGCCAGTCTCAGTGACACAGTGTCTCAATTGACACTGACAAATGTCACCTTCAATGATTCTGGCAATTACTACTGTCTCTTTCCAGAAGATGGATTTTTTCAGAGGCTTGGCTTATTGGTCAGAGTTGGGAGTAAGTTTCACAGACATAAGAATAGAATTAAATAAATTCAGATAGATGCCATTTAAAACATTTCAGAGACACTTTCAGTGAGCAAATTTTCAAAATTTCATTAGCCCTTTACTGGCAAAACATTAGATTTAGACAACCTTACTTAGGAGACTTTAAACCGATCATAACCATATATTTGCCCAATTTTTTTAAGTTAAATACTAATCTTGTAATTTTGTTTATATTATATATAGTGAAACCAGAACCCCCATTACTAGAATGTTTCATTCGTAATCCCGATGAATACCGGTGCCGTTGGGAAGATGTGGTCCGTACCAACCTTCGAACGATGTCTACATTTGCCTTCTGGTAAGTTCTGACTTTTGGTAAACAGTATGTAAACATTTCTCTCTCTCTCTCAAGAAAATATTCTAAGACCATGAATGTGAACTACTAAAGTTGTACAAAGATAAATAATTGAACAAATATCTGGCAGCGCCTTTTTTTTGTCAATTTGTGTTTCAGGTTTGGTGGTAACTGGACTGACTGTCCCCCAAGCACAGAGGACAAAGTTGACGAGACATGTTTCATACCAATTGCATACAACACAGGAACGACACAGAGGGTTCGAGTCACTTCAAGGAATGCTCTCGGTGTTGCCTACACGGAGAGGAGTTTCAATCCTATCCTTGATGGTATAACCATTGGGCTGCATGTAGTTTGATATTTGTAAAGTAATATTGCAGGCCTCATTCAAAAGTGAGGACTTTTCTGTTGCTATGATAAAAGCAATAACAAAAAATATTGGGGGGATGAAATTGGAGAATAGAACGGATATCTTAAGAGCTATTTTTGGCACTCATTATAAAAGTAAAAGTATGTTTGTAACAAAATGCAAAATGATGGCATTACAAAGAAGCAGTAATGGTAAGGTAAAAGTTTATTTTAAAAAGAAAATCGAAGTAAAAAGGAAAAAAGGATTGGTGATTTCCAGACTGTTGGGTCAGTCAGATGAGGGCAACACAACAATTCGTTTTTTGGCCTAACAAACTCTGTCTGTCTAAATCCACCTTTGTTTCTTTCGTCACTATCTCCAGTCGTTGTTAACCCACCTCGGGATGTGCGCCTTCTCAAGATAGAAGATGAGACTTCTCTCTCTGTGACGTGGCACGTACCTAATGAGTGGCCTAGGATGAATACACCATTGGATTACAAGATTCGCTACAAGAGATCCAATTGCGGCATGGCCTATGCTACATGTTGGACTGAAGTAAGATATTCTCATTTTTTGCTAAATTTGTTTTCCCTAAGAATCTTGAAGACGTTGGCAAATTCATTGACAATTATTCTTCCACTTCTTGAACAGTTTTTGTAAGCATTTTATAAATACTTTCCGCCATACACTAACATATTTGTTCCTTTGACGAAGTCACCGATAAGAACATTATTTTTAATATTTTGTTCCTTTGATAGTTATTTGATGATTGGTTAAAAAAATATCTTTAGAAAAGCGTTCATGTCAATACAGCGAAATTATTACTTTCATTCTCATTTCATTTTCTTGTTTGCTTCATTTTCTGCTGGAATATGTATTGTGAATTGAATATTTTTTGGCAACAGGTAGAATTGATATGTTGCTTACAAGTTTATTTATTTAATTATTTTGTTTACAGGCAACACTGAGATCATTAAGGTCTGAATGGCTTGACCACACCCTGAGAGATCTAGCCCCGTATACTGTCTATGACATCCAGATTGCTGCTAGATATGGACTGGATGAAAAGAATTGGAGTGAATGGACAGAAACAGTGTCTGCAGTTACCAGGGAAATATGTGAGTATAGGCTTTGTCCGAGTTACTGAGCTGTGACTCGGCTGTGACTGGCAGGAACGGTGGCATCTATTGAATTATTCAATCATCGTTGGAATTATTTGGATACATTTAGGTCTGAATTTAATATAAATAAATATGTGCTTGGCTGGCATTGAATAAGTATGTGTTAACCCAGCTAGGAGCCTGGTTGCCGATAATGGCTCTCATTGAACCCATTCATTAAATACCTTTTGATCAGAAAGTCAAAACAAGTCAAAAATTATAAATTTCTGACGATTTTGTTCTACTTCATGTGTTGTGAACACCCCTCTAGCTGTGTCTATGGTATGTGCCTCATGTGAGTAGTACTATAAATCTTCTTATAGTGAGATTGGCGCGCGTGGTACGTACCGCGCTATGTGAAGCAAAACAAAGCGATGCTGGAAAAAAAATGGCTAAAACCAGTCGGTGTTTTATCAACCGATTAAACCCACTCAAGTGACGGGCTCTCAACCAATAGGAGTGGGTAAACAGTTGCATATATCTATGTTCCCCAATACCTATGTTCCCCAATACCCATTTTGAATTTTGGGGAACTTAGGTATTGGGGAACGATACAAGACTTGCCTATGAAGCTGAGCCTGCAAGTGTCAACGTAAGGTATTATTCACAGTCAATCAGTCTGTCTGTCAATTATTGACTAAGTCAGAGGAAAATAGAATTTTGAAATTCTGAAATCCCAAAATTCTCCATAGCACTACAACATAACATGCATTAAATCACTTGGACTAGTAGCAGGAAATTTGAATTTGATGTGTTTTCCCCTTCAAAACTGTACAGTGCCTACAGCCACAGTTCAAGGTCTTCAGGTGAACACGGATGGTGAAAGTTTGTACTTCAGAACGTTGCGTATTTTCTGGGAGGTAAGGTAACATAGAGATCATAACATGTCAGTGAAACTTCCTGAAACTTTCTTGTGACTTTCCAAGCATGTTGAAAATACTGGCCCTTCAAATGATCGTGTTCCAAAAAGTGTAAAGTTGCCCCCCCCCCCCCTTCACTCTGGTAGACTTAATTCTTTCAACTGATACATTGTTTGATTTCATGCAGGGTGTTCCACAAGAACAACTCAATGGAAAGCTTCATGTTTATGAAGTAAGAGTCATATCTGATGAGGATCAAACTTTGCAGCTCAACACTTCTCAGAACTCAGAGTGGATAACAGTTGAAGGTGAGTGCTTGAAGTTCAGTGCTTTCAAGTTGGGATTAAGGTTTGTTATTTTGCGTACTCTGTAATTATAAACTAGCACTCTTGACACCTTGTGTTTCATGATTAACAAACATGGAAAGTTGAGCATGCATCTTTAAGTTGGAAGTGATGACTCACAATGCCCATCTCTACAGATTCCAACTTTTTGAAATAAAGACAACTTTGCAAAACAATTTGTTTTGCTTTTCAAGTTTAAGGTCCCCCAACACACACACACACCCTTACAGATGAGGTTTATGGGGTACTTGCACTATGTTCTTCTTCTATAATTCATGATTTCCTCGGAGGGCACCATTTTACAGAGACCGTTGTCGGGAACCATTGTTCCCTTTGAGTAGGGCACCTCACGGGATGACTCTCATATATTAAAAAAAAAATATGAATCTGAACCTGAATCTTCATCCCATTGAACAAAATTCATTCTTTTGGCCTCTGAATATAAAGCAAAAATCAAAGGCAGATTTGTTTCTCCCTAGATCTTCAGAAATTCAAGGGCTACTATGTCAAAGTTGCTGCCCGGAATGGAGCCGGCTTGGGTCCATGGAAAACGGAATCTATCCCTGACCTCACCAAGGGTAAGCATTTTGCAGTTCATTGCTTGTCGGAGACACGTCATGGAATAAATTTAGCTGTTGAAAATGCTGAGTGATTGAACATTTTACAAATTGTATAAGAAAGGTCTAAAACTGTGAAACAGTTCAAATCTTTTGTCTTTACCTTTGAGAAAAATTCTGCCGAGTACCTAATTGTCAGGCCTGCAACTTTGGCAATATCAAATTTGTCAGGATGTTTAAAAAGATGGCACATGTGACGTGTATCTCAGGTGTATTCACTCTGAATTTCTTATTGTGTCCTTCAGCACCAAATGCTCCTGATGAGGTCAGAGCTGTTGCCTTGACAACGACCTCCATCTTTGTTTCGTGGGACGCACCAAGCCAACCTAATGGATACATTGAACGCTACACCATAGAATGGGGGACAGCTAACGAACAAAAGTATGTACAAATTGTCTTAGATCTCTAATGACCAGCTGCCGTTTCACATTTACTAAATGCCCAAATTTGTTGCCAAATTGAAAAAGCAAGTGAACAAAAGCCCAACGTTTCCAAAAGGAGAATGTCATCTTTGGTATTTGCGGCTTTGTTTTATTCCAGGCAATCTTACAGCACTCCTGATGCGAGAAGGAACCACACCATAGAAGGTTTGAAGACGTTTGCTTTGTATGAGGTCAGTGTCAAGGTCAAGAACTCACGAGGGTGGAGTGGATTCAGGTCTGTCCCTGGAGGAATACGGACAATAGAGGGAGGTAAGTCTATCAGGGGTATGAAATCTCAGCTTTAAAGCTGATTTCAACTTTTTTTGTTTTTTGGATTTCAGTTTTTTCCCTCGCTCGTTGTGTGCAAAGGTATAGGCGATTTCCAAAGATCAGCTTTTTTACACCTTTTTCAGGTGTTTTCAGCTGTTTTTATCAGTGGTCACTCACACCACTGTCTATAGATAGACTCAATTATGGGTGGGGCTTGCAGAGAGATGGAGGGGAGCATTTAGCACAGCTGTCACATGACCTTTTTTTATCAAAATGAGAAGAAGAATGTTACATTTTTGTTCTAATTTGGTTTGCTGAAGTTGAAATACAAGGTGATAATCAGTATGCTTTGGCAGTATTTGCAGACATACACTATTCATTGAAGGTCCAATGGTTTCTTTTTCAGTTGAAAAATATGTGGTTCACCTATGTGATCATAAAAAAACTTCTCTTCACATGGTTAAATCTTTAAAGCACATGCCTCATAGTTTCTCTTAATGTACATTTTTTGTATATTACTCTCTTTAGTCAGTCTAGCTCTACAGGGTGAGTAAAAACAAAAACCCAAATGTCGGGACTATTGTTTTAGTGAAGTTTTGCATGTAGCACTTTCAAAATCTAGGATATGAAAGCTCAATTCATAAGCTTTCTTTAATTACAAGAATCATTCAAATCACTCATGTGCTTTTCAAGTTGCGGACTTTTTAACACAACCATCGTTTAAAAAATTCTGTCCACGGATCACAAAACGGTAAGTGTTCTTACAGCAAAACGAAAACAAAACTGGGATGTGTGTGAATTGTTTTCGTTTTGCTGAATGAACGCACACCTTTTGTGTGATCCGTGGACAGAACTTGAAAATGGTGGTTGTGTTTAAAGTTCCATAACTTGAAAAGTACTTGAGGGTTTTGAATGATTCTTGTACTAAAAGAAAGCTTATGAATTGCTTTTATATCCTAGATTTTGAAAGTGCTACATGCAGAACTTAACTAAAACAATAGTCCTGACATTTGGGTTTCGTGTTTTTTTACTCATCCTGTATTAACAAACCAACAACGGATGATCCAGTTAATAGAATGCACCAAATCCACACAAAAAAAGTCTGTCCTAGTGCTGAAGAGAGAATATCTCTTCTTGTTGGTTTGAGTTTAAATGTGGCAATTAAAAAGCTCAATTTTTCCTTGTTTTTGGAAACAGTTCCAGATGCCCCACCTACCGATGTGGAGGTAAAGCAGGTCACCAACCAGCCAGAGAGACTGACATTGATGTGGCAACGACCACGAGCAGAAAATATCAACGGCAACTTGACAGGTTACAGAATCTCATTTTGTGAAAGCAGCCCTTTCTTTGATAAGAACACTGGAAGGCAGTGTGCAGGTACACATTTTCCACTTGTTGTCTGTATTTGTGTTTATCTTAAATTTGTTAATTATTATTTTTATTTTATTGGTTTTTTTTTACATGTTCCTTTCTCATACTTTAAATGTAGAATAGCTTATATATTTTTAATCATGATGAACAATCACCAAAGTATGGAGTGCATTTTTTCACAAGAAAATCCTTAACAAAAATGTTCGTTTATTTACTTTTAAGGTGATCTGAATAAACGAAACGTGAGTCGTCCAGATGCAGTGAGCGATACTTTGACGAAACTGGCACCATCAACGTCTTACCTTGTTTGGATAGCAGCTTACACTGCGGTAGGCTTGGGACCAGACTCGCAGTCTGTACACGCTGAGACAGCCCAAGAGAGTAAGTATGCAGCTGTGTACAAATGACTTGGCTATGGCTTACACTAACACTTGCGCCTATGGAAGCCGCTGCAGCCACTTCCCATAATGTCACTGCTAGCCGCAGCCAAGTAATTCAGACACAGCCTTGGTCATACTTGGCATTGTTCCTTCTATTTGGGTATCAAAGCACTTTATACTAATTCTCCTCCATCCATGTTGCGTGACTTTCACAAGTCTCTCTTCATTCTGAAACAATTGTTTTAATCTTAATACTTTCTTCACTTTTTTATATTTCAGCTAAGGGAATCTTGGTACTGGCCATCGTGGTTCCTATTCTCATTGTAACACTCTCCTTGATGTTGGCCATTTATATTTGGAAGCGGTGTCGTCATGTCTGCCGGCCTGTTCCTGACCCAAAGTTCCTTAAAGAGATTGACCTTTTCAAGAATGACGTGAGTAAACTTAGAAATAAATTGCTAAATTTTACATTTTGAGTTTTACATTTTGAGTCACTCTAAAGCTGGGTTTAAAAAACAGAAAGAAACTTTTAAAACGCATGGAAAGTCATCTTTTCAGCGTTACTCAGCGTCATGACACTGCTACACAACAGTAAGAATTATCACTGCGAATCAGCATTGATGATAAAAACTAAAGATGATAAAAAATAAAAAGGTAAGCTCAAGTTATTGGTCATTATTAATACCTTCTTTATACCATTTTAAACTTTACAGTCACAGAGACTCTCCAGGAGTAGCAGCCGCATGGAAGAGGAACACTTTGATGAGATCCTACCATCTCAAAATGATGCCATCATCATCGGTTTAATGGATGACAAGATTGAGCTTGCCAAGGAGGCTTCTCAGATGTGTCCCAAACTGCAGCTGAGTTTTGATTCAGTCAGCTTGGACCCCAAGACCCAGACAGCTAGATTCATGCGTTCTGAGAGCAGGGACAGCGGGGTACCTCCGTCTCCAGCAAGCGAGAGTCCGGACTTCAGCACAACGAGAGACAGACTGAGTAGCAGCGAAGAAGGAGATGACAATGTGTTCCTAGAGGAGGAAGAAAATCCAGTTGGCGCTTACACTAGGGTAGGTCAGTTCATACCCTCTAAAATACAAACTCCCAAAACTTCTCAATCAAGCCCTGTGAAATCCCCAAAGAAGGTCTCCTTTGAGATTCCACCTGTGAACGACAAGTTGCCACTAACTTCACCAACTCACAAGCTTACGGGTGTCCAGCAGAATGCTTCCCAAGGGAAGCAGAATCAACCTCACAAATCAATGAGGAGTTCATCATGCTCATCAATGGATGTTTCACCATATACCCAGATGTCTGCCTTAGAATCCCTTCAGTGCGCACTACAGCAGACCAACCAGCCAAATCTTAGCCAGTCAAACAGTACAGCTAGAACAAGTGTCCAAATTCCCAGTAGCTCTCCGTCAGTTGTTTCCCCTTACACTCAAATTTCAACACTGGCATCTCTTCCACATCAGCAGCAGCAGAACCGACAGTCAGCCATACAGCCTCCACCTCAGCTTCCTATGGGTGTTCCAGTTCCTCAAAGCTCACGTCCAGTTGTTGCACCCTACACTCAAATGTCAGCTATGGAATCCCTGCAGCCTAATCAACAGCAAAACTCAGAAGATGTCAAGAAGCTCCAACCTGACAGTCCTGACAAAAGCTGTCACACTCCCAAAAGCTCAACCAAATTTTGCTCTCCCTACACTCAGATGTCAGCTTTAGCATCACTGAAGTCTTGTCAACCTCCAAATTCCAGGCAACAGGAAGCTCATCAACCAAGACCACAGCCAGCTTGTGGCTCTCCTAACTCACCTCCAGCTGTCTCACCATACACAAAGGCTTCTATCATGGAATCTTCCAATCCCAGACAGCAGGAAGCTCACCAACCAAAACCAAACCCGGCTAGTGGCTCTCCTTCATCACCACCTACTGTCTCACCTTACACACAGGTTTCACTCTTGAAACCTCCTATTCAAAGGCAGCAGGAAGCTGATCAACTAAGCTCACAGCCAGCCACTGGCTCTCCCAACTCACCTCCAGCTGTCTCACCATACACAAAGGCTTCTATCATGGAACCTTCCAATCCCAGAGAGCAGGAAGCTCACCAACCAAAACCAAACCCACCATCTATGTTCTTGAAACCTCCTATTCAAAGGCAGCAGGAAGCTGATCAACTAAGCTCACAGCCAGCCACTGGCTCTCCCAACTCACCTCCAGCTGTCTCACCATACACAAAGGCTTCTATCATGGAACCTTCCAATCCCAGAGAGCAGGAAGCTCACCAACCAAAACCAAACCCACCACCTATGTTCTTGAAACCTCCTATTCAAAGGCAGCAGGAAGCTGATCAACTAAGCTCACAGCCAGCCACTGCCTCTCCCAACTCGCCTCCAGCTGTCTCACCATACACAAAGGCTTCTATCATGGAACCTTCCAATCCCAGGCAGCAGGAAGCTCACCAACCAAAACCAAACCCAGCTAGTGGCTCTCCTTCATCACCACCTACACTCTTGAAACCTCCTAATCAAAGGCAGCAGGAAGCTGATCAACTAAGCTCACAGCCAGCCACTGGCTCTCCCAACTCACCTCCAGCTGTCTCACCTTACACACAGGTTTCCCTCATTGAACCTCCTAACGCTAGCCAGCAGGATGCCCATCAACCAAGACCACAACCATCTGATGATCAGACTCTCCCTTCCAAATCTCCCGCGCAACAAGCTGTATCCTCCTACATCAAAATGTCAGAAAACGGAGAAAAACCAATACAGAATGAACCCATGCCGCCTTCAGCCATATCACCATATACCAAGGCAACAGACATGGAATCTATGCAACCAAGAGAAGACCAATCTGTTTCATCAGGTCAGCCTCATCAAATTTCTGGGAGGCCAAGTCTTCCTCCCCAATCTGTTCCATCTCACGCTGTGTCACCCTACACAAAGATGTCAGACATGAAGGCCTTGCATCTTAGACAAGAGCAAAGTGAGTCCTCAGCTCAGCCCCATCCGATCTCTGAGAGTCCAAGTCTTTCTTCAAGACCGTTTTCACCTCAGGCCGCATCATCCTACATCCAGAGTTTGGAAATCAGAGCCCCACAACCCGAACAAGACATGCAACACCAGCTTCCTTCTGTCATTTCCACTGTCAGTCAAAGTCTTCCTGAACCCATTTCAGCTCAAGCTGTTCCACCCTACACCAAGCTTTCAGACATGGAAGCCATGCAACCAAGACAGGACCAGAGTCCAAGTCTTTCTTCCCAACTTGTACCACCTCAAGTTGTGTCACCCTATACCAAGATGTCAGACATAGAAGCCTTGCAACCGAGACGGGATCAGAGTCAAAGTCTTTCTCCTCAGCACTTCCCAGTACCAACTGTCTCCCCCTACACCAAGATGTCAAAAATGGCACCACCTTCAAATCTCACTTCTTACAATGGGAGGTCAGAAATAGACGCTGTGTTGCAAAGCCAAAATGATGAAGATGCATCCTTACAGTCTCCCCCACCACATGTCCAGCAATCTTTGCAGCCTTCGGCTTCAAATGCCCTAGACATAGAGGCATCAGGCTACTGTACTGGAGCTTCAGTTCCCAAGAATGTTCTGTCTTCAGAACCAGGTTCCTCCAAGAACCGCCTCCAGAATCCTCCAAGACAAGACCTCAGTGGTACTCTTAATGATAACCAACATGTCACTTCAGCAGTTGATCCAAATGAGACATCTCCCGGCTTTTTGCTTACCTCTGGTTCTACCAATGGTCACTGCAGAATGCAAGAGACAGCTTCATCTCGAGGCTTCCCTTCCATCTCTCAACCTAGTCTTGAAAGTGATTCTGATTCTGATGATGAACCTTATGGTTACTCCAAGATGTCAGCAAGGTTACCGAACAAGAAAGTTCTTGGATCTGGGTCAGATCAATCAGTTAATGCTGCTGATCAAGCTTCAGATCCTGAAGTTACACCCTACTCTCAAATTGGCAGAAACGAAGAGCTCCAACCATCATCAGCACCACCACAAATTAATGTAACATCCACTCCACTTTCTGACAACCCCACTGTTAGTATGTTTGGTTATGTTGCTGGTACACATGATTCTCAAGAAGTGCAGTCCATTGATGCCGGGCTTAACTCTCAAGACGATCCATCAGAGGTCAATAACAATGTTGCTGATTATACTTTGGTGGCAGCAGTGGGATCCCAAATTGACCAGGCAGCTGTTAGAGATGTGTCTTCTGCAGACAATCACTCTGATGATAGTGGTTTTGACAACGAAGCAGACAACACTCCTCCCCAATCCCTCTTGTCTGACTATGTCCAAATCGCAGCTGGTACCCATGGCCAAGATGGTAACACACCTCTTCATCCAGCACCAACAGCCAATTCAGATATTGGTAATCAGTTGGTGACAGCGGCATCAGATACACAGCCTATCGCTGATTACGTAGTGACTGGAAGTATTAGTCACAGGACAGATAGCCAAGCATAATATGAGACTGATGTCACATTGACAAAGAAAATGATTATGTATTACAGTTCTGAAGTAATGTAGATAATCAAAGAATTGTTTTTGAAATAAAGACACTGTATAAATTTGTATGCCTTTTAATTGCAATTAATTTAAAAAGAAATTAAAAAAAATCATCACAACATTTTCTCAATATATTTGATGATAAATGACATTATGATGGAATGTTTCATTGATGTGGTGATGTAACTTTTTAAAGCTACAGTCCATCATTTGCAGCTATCCAAAAAGTAACTGATGATATTATTGTTGAAAAACATACTTGGTTGATAATGGTATGAAGCCCGGGAAGGGACAGGGTGGAATTTTGGGGGGGGATCGGATTTGCTAATTCGTTCGCACGAATTGCTAATTCGTTCGCACGAATTGCTATTTCCTTCGCACGAATTGCTATTTCGTTCGCACAAAATTGCTATTTCGTTCGCACGATTTGCTAATTCGTTCGCACGAATTGCTAATTCGTTCGCACGAATTGCTAATTCGTTCGCACGAATTGCTATTTCCTTCGCACGAATTGCTATTTCGTTCGCACGAATTGCTATTTCGTTCGCACGATTTGCTAATTCGTTCGCACGAATAGCTAATTCGTTCGCACGAATTCCTAATTCGTTCGCACGAATTCCTATTTCGTTCGCACGAATTCCTAATTCGTTCCCACGAATTCCTAATTCGATCGCACAAATTGCTAATTCGTTCGCACGAATTGCTAATTCGTTCGCACGAATTCCTATTTCGTTCGCACGAATTCCTAATTCGTTCCCATGAATTCCTAATTCGTTCGCAGGAATTGCTATTTCGTTCGCACAATTTCCTAATTCGTGGGAACGAATTGCTAACTCGTGCATCCGGGAACGCGTTAGTAATTGGTGGGAAAGAGTTGGTAATTGGTGGGAACGAATTAGTAATTTGTTCGACGAATTAGTAATTTGTGCAAACGAATTAGCAATTCTACCGTCCCTTCCCGGGCTTCATATAATGGGACTAAACTCCCTGTGAAATTATTTTCTCTGGCATGCTGTCGTTTTGAAGAAATCAACGAAAGAAGGCCTTGCCAACGGTGCGTTTAAAGACGCAAAATTGGAAATTTCCATTAGAAGTAAGGTTTTTATTCGGCGAAGCGTGCACATACACACGTGTCGGATCAGTGCGCAACATTGCGTAGCTGCAATCAGCTCAGTGAGAACGTGTCTCGGACGCTCAATTCAGGCCCAATTCAAAACACGATTCGGCAACTTTTGATTTGAAATCGAGATCCTAGAACGTGTTTTTCTTTGTTCAGCACCCTTCTTTAGATTTTAAGCATGTTTGTTGCTTCAAATGAACAAAATGTATAAATTACAAATGATGGACTGTACCTTTAAAAGATGGTTTATTAAATTTAGTAAAATTTAAGATGATATCTTAAGCATCATTAGGTTTAAGTAGAGAAGAGTCAAGACTAGAGAGTATATTTAGCAAGATGTTTATTTACTATATCTCCCATGTGCCTATTTTGTAAGTATTGTTTGTACTATACTCAGACTAACGTGGATATTCTGTGTTTTTGAGGTATCGGTATATTTCATATCATTATTTGATAATTGAAGCTCCGTCAAGTAAAAGTTGTTTAAATCTTCAGAATCACAAGTATGCAGATTTCATTCTTAGCAAAACGATGTGCCTTTGTGTAAGTTTATGATGTGGAATGGACTTTAGTGTTTTGAAAAACATTTTGGAAGGCTCAACATTAAACTTTATGTCAGATTGATTAATGGTTTCCTTATATTTTCTATATATACAAGATTTTTTTATAAGATAACATTTGAAATGAAAAATATATGTATATAATCAGAAGTTGTATGGTAATGTGGCAGTTGATAGGCCCTATATGTAAATGTTGCTCGTTCAAAGTATCAAAATCTAAATTGTTTGTAATATTTATGTTTTTAAATTTCAGTTTCAGATTTTACCAAATGACTGTGTTATCTTTATTCCATGGATATAAGAATGGCGATTGGAAGATGTCTATAACTGGCAAATTTGTACAAAACATGCAAAAGAGTTAAAGTTGTGTAGAGATCGGGGACGAATTTTAAACTTCAACAAAATGTGTTTATTTGCATCTGTCTTTGTTACCACAATAATAGAGGTGGGGGAATGATTTGTCAATTTGATTTGTCAATCGATAGTTGTGTTTTCAAAAGCTCCCTTAAATTAAGACAGAAAGGAACAGTTCAAGGGTAAACAACACACACACACAAAACCAAAAAAAAAAAACATGATAAAAAGATAATTCAGTTCAAGAGACCTCATTTTCCAGTCAATTCAAATTAAATTACAAGTAAATTAATAGTGTGACTGATTTCCCAGGGCAGCAGCATTTCAAATTCGTACACCCATTATTTTGAAGATTTGTGTAAAAAATTATCTGTTAACGCCTTATTCACTGTAGCGCCCAAAATCTCTCAGCCTATTACTCACCTGAAACCATCGAAGTATTGGTTTTACTGATTCTTCATTGACTAAATATAGTGTATTGCAATCTGGGTTAATTGAGGACAAAATAAATATTAAGAAAGATATTGATTGTTTGACGCGTAATATTTTTCATTTGTCCAGAAATTGAGTTGGAAATGTATTAAGGGCCCCTCAGGTCTCTTCCCTGCAACTTTCAGACAATTTTATTTTTCGGCCAAAATTGAACAAAAATGTTACAAACCTTACATTTTTTTATGAAATTTGACCAAAAGTGGACTTTTCTGAAAACAACTAAGAAAGGCCTTCTGATGCAAGAGGAGCATCTTTGCATATTCGTATACCCGTTACATGTATGTGGAGGAATTTGGTAAAAATCCATTAATTTGTGCGTTAGGCCCAAAAAAAAAGTCTCCGGTTTCTGGTATGGAGCTTGCCCAAAAAGTGGTGCGGCGACGCGGCTTTTTTTTTTTTACCTGATTTGTTTGCTTCAAATGTCGGCTGATGACAGCAAATGGTGTCCGATTAAACTTAATGCAAATATATGGGAGTCCAGAGAGGCCACATAAAGCTTATTCTCGACCATAACCCAATCTAAAAACACGTTAAAATTGTGCAGCAGCAGGATTCCAGTCAAACCAGTGAGTTTGGCGGTTTTGAGACATCATCTTTCCTTGATAAAAAAACTTTTTCATTTTGCCGACGCGCATGGCTACGGCGACGCGCGCGCATACCAGAAACCGGAGACTTTTTTTTGGCCTTAATTGAGGAACAATTTATATTTTTGAACTGATTTTCCCCCACTTTCTTAATGCATATTTTTTTCAGTTGCACATTTTTTTTGTCCAGAAATTGAGTTGGAATGTGTTTAGGGACCCCTCAGGCATCTGCCCTAAAACTTTCAGACGATTTCATTTTTGGCCGAAATTGAAAAAAAAATGCAAGGGGTTTATAGCTTTACATTTTGAACGAAATTTGGCCACAAAATAAGTTTTCTCAAAACGACACAGAAATGTCTTTTGATGCAAGAGCCCATTATTTAGGCAATAACTGTGTGATGACCCGGTCTACACTGCGTTCGGGGATGGCCGTTGTTAATTCTAATGGACCAAGCTCAACAGCGCGGATCCATGTCCCCCCCCCCCCCCGGTCATTTTCACACAGTGAAGAGCAGGTCCCCACACTGTTATTCCCATCAATAAATTTCTTTTAATTAATGAATTATCCTACTTCTGTGACGCCACTCTATTGTTCCAAGTGTAGATTATATGTACGAATCTACAATTTACTGTTCATTATTTCACAAATCTACACTTAACTGTCAATTATTTGTTACAGTTAGAATCTACAGGTTTTTGTTGTAAATAGTCTCTGCAAACAATTCCACACGCCGGACTTACAGTGCTTTTAGATAGATAAAGTAACAGTTGACCTTAAAAGCTGTTCTCTTAAAGATTTTTTGTTTGCCACGCTGACTTTTTTTACGGAGGCGAAATAAATTTTAACTTAAAGTCTAGTTTTTTATTTGAATTCTTATATTTGTACTTTTATATTTATTATCTTTTTGGGGGGTTTATTTTAACTGAATTCTTTATCGTTTGTCTTGAATTTTGCATTATAAAATTCAATGGATATCCCTTTTTTAAGTTTATGTTCACATCGATATACTCGTAATCCATTTAACTTTAGTTTTAACATTATTTCATCTGTTATTGAATAACTAGAACAAGCCTGTGCAAAAAGACCATTAACAGAAGGACAATCCGAAAGACAATAGACAAATAACTGAAGAAATTCAATGAAACTTACCCAAATCCCAATACTTTTCAAAATTATTTTCTCGTGACGGTGAGTGAGATGGTCATATATTCCGATGTGTAGTCCATGGGCAATGACATGCACGTGGTTCCACAAATCAAACAGCTCTATCATCCATGACGCACAATGCCAACTTCTTCTTATGGTAGGTGTTAAAAACTCCTCACATAAATCCCGTTAAAGATTGCATCAAAAGTATTTATTCCATAGCTGTAATGTGCAAGTATAAACTCCATTTGGCTTTGGGAGTAAGGAAGACGGCGTATTTGCACTCAACACCAAGTGATTGTGAAGGTATGTAACTTCCATAAGACTGCAAATTACTGTGCATGTGGTGAATGGAACAAAATATGTGCACCCCATCCGAAGGGTTAACAATAGGATTTTGTGTTGGTCCAAGCAGCGGGCTAGAAAAAGTTAAATAGTTTGTACAAATCTACACTTAATAGTCACAAAATATGTGGAGATTGTAGCAGTACCAGGGATCTTATTTGCATAAACTATTGTTGTTTTAAGAAATAGGTTAAGTCGGAGAATAGGCTTGGAACTGTAGATTTCGTGCAAGAATGGACAAGGCGAAGAGCACAAATCTACAGTTCCTCCATTCAAAGCTGAAATGCCCCGAATTTGTGACTTTTCTTTCGGCGATATTTGTTTCAATATTGTGTTCATGTTCAGGGGCCATACATTTATTTCACTCGGGTTCTCACGCTGATCATGATGTATGGGAGCACTTTACGATGTCTTCATTTCATTACGACTGTCCTCCAGGATATGAATTTCTGCTGCCATAGCCAAAAAAATACAATGTTTCTCCATATTTTTAACTGACAGATAGATGCTGAAATTTCGTGTCCAGAATTACAAAGATGCTTGGTTTAGAAAAAGTAAGAATGTCCGTGGGCGACGTGTTTACAGAAAACCAATAATTTTATGATATCCATTCACCCATGATGTTGAAGTTATGGGGAAAAAAATTATTTGATGAAAATAAGATTTTTGTTTGGTTTCCTGTTTTTTTTTATTTTGTCTTGGAATCAAGATGTAATGTTTTGAGGGAACTCTTACTTTTGATAAAAAAAAAAGCAGCTTTGATCCTTGATACCGTTTTTGTTTTCAGTGCCAGTAATTTTATTTTACAATTAGATATTTCAAAGCAATTTCCAAGCAATGTCTGAAGCTTGCTAATGGTTACAATGACGTCGTTTCTTAGAAGCAAAACCCTATTTAAACAATGAAAATAAATGCTTACATACTTTTGTCAAATACAAAACCCCCAAAAATATTGTTTCGTTCTAGTTAATTGAGAACACTGATAAACGTTTCGAAAAAAACAAGATAATATCCCCAAAATGATGTGCCTTGTTTTATTTTTGACAGGCAATGATTACCTCAAAACCTGTTACATATTACAATTTAAATAAATATCACAAAAATACAAAAACAAAAGCATAGTAATGCGGGAAGCTTTGGGAAATCCTACAAATCATTATTAAGAATTAAGGAATATTATTTCACGTTTCTTTCACTTTCAACTGAGCTACTGCTAGAGAAAACTTCCTTTTTTCTCATGTAACTTTATTTTGAAGGGGGGGGGTTGGATGAAATTACTCTATTTGTGGGTATTATCGGCAATGTCCACTAAAAAAACACAATATACATTCTATAAACACTATTGCACTAAATACCTTCTTAAAACAACAAGACGAGTCAGAATGGAGAAGCAAGCCAGGGTTGGTGGTAAAAAAAAAACAGTTGTTGGAATTCTATCTTTTTTATAGAAAAATCTGCTTTCAGAGCTTGGTTTGGTCAAATTGAAAAGTTATTATTTGTGTAAATTATTCGTATAAGTATTTCTACATGATTTTTTTTTTTATTGAGAACCAGTTTACAGGCAGAAATAATTTCAAACTTAGAACACTGCCAGTCAAAAAAGAACATATAAGAAAATTTTACTGACAGTGAAAATAAATGTAATCCAGCAACAAAACAAGTAGAAATGATGTCGCTTCCTTTCAAAAGTTACTCACACGTTTTGTGGAAAAAAATAAAAGTATTTCTGTACACGAAACGAAAAGGATACTGAGAGTGAAATGCACTCAGATATGTACTGTTGTGACCTTGTCAAGCCAGATAGCTTGAGGAAAAGCATACCATCACGAAAATTCCACAAAATATGAGGTAAATTAGTTGGAACAAGCATGGGAGGGAGGCTCCCTCCCCCCCCAAAAAAAAAGAGGAAAAAAATAAAGAAAAAGAGGCGTGAAGTCCTATTGCTGTTTAATTTTATGGGTGGGGGGAGGGGAGGCAAATGTCCTGCCCACCCTCGAAAAATGATCAATATTCTGGAAAAGTACAGAAATTTTGGGGGGAAAACGTGCTTTGCCCCCCTCTAGAAAAAATCCTGGCAACGCCCATGGCGACAAGAGGTTAAAAAAATCAAATTGCAAATGTTTTTCTTTTGAGTGATTATCTGCAGAACAGACCAAAGCTGGGATTGTTTTGTAATATAAATAAGTATTGTACACAAATACAACTTTCAATAGCAAAAGACACTTACAAAATTTCATGTATATGCAAAACAAAAACTGAAATTGCAGAAAAAGTGTAGGGACTGGTAAAACAAAATGAATTTAATCATAAAAATTAAAATAATGCTGTTGGTATAATATCAGCCATCTTTCTTTACCGGTGGATACAAAGCGAATTAATATTTGGTCAAGAAATTCAGTGTCTTCAGGTTCTTAAGACCTATAATTCATTACGGAGCTTTATTTGTTCTGAAATTCATCTAGAGCCATCCTGGTTATATAGACAGCAAGACATTACCTACGACTGATTTAGCCTTCAAAGCCTTAAACATCAAGCACAGCTGTGACTGGTCACAACATCATAGGGCTGTCTTAGTGGCTCAGTCTATTACAGTGTCTCGCTGGTTTTAATAATCTTGGTCATGGATCCTTTACTGCGTCTATCTTTCCTACCACTCTTACGCAGAGTTCCTCCACCCACCCGGCCAGGGTTGGTGATCAGAGGCATCAAGCGATCGGTAAAGCGATGATAGTTCCTCTCCAGTTCCTTCTGATATTCTCGCTGATCGTGGCAGATCAAGTTCTTGTTCTTACGGAGAGCATCACCACACCTGAAGAAAAGAAGAAGAAAAAAAGCCAGGATGATACAGAGTTGTAATCAAGTCAATCACCAATTCTTCAGTCTTGAGTCAAGTGACAATTATTCAAATTATTTGTGAATTTAAGACTTAAACGTGACCTGAATTGTGACCTGACTTCAATTTATTTATGATTGACTTGTGACTGACTTATGACTGACTTATGATTGACTTGTGACTGACTTACAATTGACTTTTGACTGATTGGAATATGACTCTGGGATGACAGTTTACAAACAAATAAATAAGAATTGACTCGTTTTTGCAAAAAAAAAATTAAAATTCAAGAAATTTGAAGGAAAACAATTTAAATGAGCTAAATAATAATTCATCTGGTTATATCTTGATGATATTTCGGTTACATTCTACTGGTTGCATTTTGTGTGAGGATAGAGATAATGTCACAATTCTCAACCATTTTGTAGTTAGATCAAAAGGATTAAGATGCAATCGAGACTTGAGTCACTACTATGAACTCACTTCTTGGAGAATTCCTTGAAGCATAATCGGAGTTTGTTGGTATGCTTGTCCAGCGGTCGTCCATCTGTACTGTCGTTAAGGAATGCCAGCGCTACCTCCATTGGACCCTGCAAAAACAAATCATCATTGAGCTAAGATTGCTTCTCATCTTGATCATTTTATCATCATCACTATTCTTCACTTTGACTACTTTACCCTTGCGCTATCTTTAACCTCATCAGCACACAACTATTGTCCGCATCAACGCTCAATCCTTCCTCTCATCACCCGCATCACCTTCATCAACATCTTATAAATTTATCATCTTTAACATCATTTTTACTCTCATCGCCAAATACCATTAATAACAGCTCCACTTCTCAATTTCTCTAGACTTTCTTCTTCATTTCCTTCATTGCACCTCCCCTATCTCCTTCAGAAAGTTCCTATCCATCCTCATTACCTGGTTAACAGTCGTCCCGATACATCCTTGTAGCACCATCTGCAGCATCTTGGCATCAGGAGGTTCTTGGAGAGTAGCTACCGTCAGCTCCTTGGTCTTCTTCTGTAAGTCTTCAATGCCAACTTCCACAGGAGACAACACAATCTGCACACAAAAATATGTCATCACTTACTCTCTAAAAACTATCATTGAACTTAAGATAATGACACCCAAAAAATATACAAATTATCAACCACCTTGGTGCAAAGGGCGGTCATTAGTGACCACCCAATAAATACTATACTCTGTGCATTTAATTCAAATAATATTTGCACCAAATGGTTAAACATCAGCAGTAAAGTATTCTATAAAAACTTTTCTTCCAGGCCTTTTGACGCTATGTAATTTGTATTTGTCATTTTTGTAAATGTGTTTTCACATTGAGTAACTACCTTGCCGTAATTTAGGTTAAGGGTATCGAGTGTTTGCACTGCCGCCATGTCCGAGGTATGTGCTTTTGTTGCACAGGGGTACGTATGAGTAGACCTGTCATGCATTCATTGTTACTGATTAATAATTACAATAAACACCTCCAAGATGGCTGCCGAATGCACAGGCTGTATACAGACTGATTGAAGTGTTCCTACCTCCTGTCTGTGGACGACAGATACTCGGGTCTTGATGTAAGGGAATGCCTTGGAGGTGGTTACAATTGTCTTTCTCTTGTACTGCTCACGGATGTCACCATGGGCCTTGCCAGACTTGGTGAAGGGCGTGGCAAACATGAACCTCCCTGATGTGGGGGGGGGGGGAATAGAGAGTATAGTGTGAAATCACGGAGGAATAAATTAACCTGATAATGCAAGGAAAGGGAAGCACTTGAGACAAGTATCAGTCTGTCAAGATAATGCCAAGAAAAAGGCAGGGAGCACCAATGTTCCAAAAGGACTCTTGACTCAGGATAGAGACTAGGAGCGTGATATAAGATCGAGCTTGTTGATGAATCTTGTGTTAGGCAAAAACTTGAAGAGTTCTGCAGTACAAAAGACGAGGAAAGTTAAATCTTCCATTGCATCACTACAATATCTGACTTACAATAAAGCCCAATGAAGCAATCTTTGTTTCTGTACTATCATACACTATTGTTTGTGTGCATGCTTACTGATGTTGTAGTTTCTGTCAAAGTACGTCGGTCTTTGCAACGTTTCATAGAAGTCAAAGTAAGGCTCGACGTAGGTGACTTGAATGTAAGCCTTCTCTTGGTCTTGCTTAGATTGATCGACAGGATTGGAATCCTTGATCACTTCAACGTTCTCCGGGCCAAACCGGTCGCCATAGAAACTCTGCAATGGAACGGGAGATCGAAAACCATTATGCAGAGAAAACGAAAATCAGACTTCTCTAACAATGATATGTATATATTTGTTCAAATTACTGTTATTATTACGACTCAAAATGATTCAATGACCTTGACAAACTCTTTGGTTGATTTGCAAGACCAATGAACCAGTAAGCCGGAGGTCATGGGTTCAAGTCCCACCAGAGTAAGTATAAAGTATAAAGTGTTTATAAGAATATGTCAGCGAGAGGCAAAACCAATGTGAACAAGATTCTAACATACTCATATTTAGATAACCAGATTTGGTGCATAAGTCATATTCACTGCAAGCAAAACAGACAATACTACATCCAAAATTCTATGATAGGTCACCGCAGAAACTAACTTCTACCACTGACAGCATACTTGTGCACCAAGAAGAAACTCATCATATCAGCAAGTCTTAAGACCCTGAGTATTTACCTCCAGTCTGTGAGCAATCTCAGGCAGTTTAGTGATGGCTGGCTCCTTGTATATAAACTCCTCAGCGTCCATATCACCAAACTTGGAACCGTAGAAACCAACACGGAAGAAGGTTCCCCATAGACGCTTACCTCTCTACAGGAACAGAACATTAAAACACAAGGGAATGCTGGAGATTATGAAGAAATATAATACTTGATGGTTTTAATCTTAATTCTCCCAGATTCTTCAAAATCCACAAGTCAATCACAAGTCAATCACAAGTCATCACAGGTTATCACAAGTCATCACAAGTCATCACAAGTCAATCACAAGTCATCACAAGTCAATCGCAAGTCATCACAAGTCATCACAAGTCAATCACAAGTCCATCACAAGTCATCACAAGTCATCACAAGTCATCACAAGTCATCACAAGTCAATCACAAGTTAATCACAATTTTCTAGTCTCAAGTCACAAGCTATTCAAATGAACTGCGACGAAGACATTACTTTGTTATTATTCATCCCCTGTTACTTGTCCCAAGACTTGTGAATTGACTGTGATTTACTTGTGACTGGACTTGTGATCATCACTAGTACCTCAATCTCATCACTGAGTTAATGTGATTGACTCTTTTGACCTTCATTCAATAACATGACAACTATTCATCCTCAGTGGTACTTACCAGACGGACGATCTTATTGAATGCTTCTTGTAGTTTGCCATGGATGATGGCAAGTTTCTTGTAATCTCTGTTGGCCTCGTGGATTGGGATCAAGATCTTATACACCTCATTGACTGCCTCAAACATACCAGCCTGAACAAATCAATAATTGTATGGAAAGGATGGTCCATATTAACTGATCGATAAATAAACGGTCAATTAATGATCAATACACCTCATTGACTGCCTCAAACATACCAGCCTGAACAAATCAATAATTGTATGGAAAGGATGGTGAATATTAACTGATTGATCAATAAACGATCAATTAATGATTGATCAATTGAAATGATTCCATCAATTTGTCCACTGGCCATAACCAGTACAAGTCATTACTAACAGAAATACCACTCAATGACTCGATTATGTAATAAATCATTATAATAGATTGATGAACACACTACCAGAATAATTAATCATTTCTGATGACGACATCAATTAGGTAAAGATATTGCTTCAATAATTCACTCAAAAATAAATCAGGGATGAATAAATCTATCACATGTAATTATGAAACTTAATTAGCTAATAAATACATCAATCTTATACTAATCAATCACACAGTGAGCAATAATCAATCAATCAATAATCAATTGAATCAATAGAATCAATAATCTCCCTCTCCCTACCCGACTGAATGATGTAACAGCATGTTCCAGAAACCCCAGCAAACCACTCTCACTGGGGTGCTGTGGTCCAATGGTTACGGTGTTCGACTTGTGTGCCGTGGTAAATGTACATGGGTTCGAATGCTGACCGTGGGAACATGGTGCTTGTGCTCTTGAGCAAGGCACTTTACCATTATTGCTTCGTCCTTCGGATGGGACGTGAAGCCGTAGGTCCCGTGTGTTGTGTAATGCACGTTAAAGAACCCAATAACACTTATCGCTAAGAGAAGGGGTTTGCCCCGGTATTTCTGGCAGTGGCTGCAAAATGCGCGGCAGCACCTAGCAAACCCTTATAAGGTGCTACATAATGGGTCTCACATTTCTCATAAACTTTAGTTACCTTTCTTTAATACATAATTTCCAGCGCCTTCAATACCTAATTGTTGGTAGATACGTGCACTATATAAGACTCCGATATCATTATTATTATGAAATACTTTCCACCCAACTTATCAATTTCACTGACTGCACCAATCAATCAATAACTAAAGTAATCACTAATCTCTCTCCCTACCTGATTGAAGGAAGTAGCAGCATGCTCCAATAATCCCACCAATCCACTCTCCGTGAAGTACTTCCCAGTACAGATGCCTTCCTCATCCGGTGAGACCACATCGTCAGATACTGCGCTCTCCTCAAGAACATTGCAAGAGATTTTCTGCAAGGAAAGTCAGAATTGAAAGTTCAAAATATTGCGGTAAACATAGCATTGAAAATGCATGTGAGATAAGCAACTGCAATAAACACCCATCAAAGTCCACAGTCAGTTTTGCATATTTTTGTGGAGTTGGGATGGCACCTTAAACCACTATAACTTACATGGCATTTATATTGTCCCTTATATTCACACATGCACCAATGGATGCAACTGAATCCACTTTCCATTGTGTTACTGACAGCCATAGCCATGTAACCAGGACATGGCTATGGCTACATGTTAAGATAAAACAGGTCTAGTTCCCCACCTCAAATAAGACACATCCAATAGGAAGGTATGGTCTATCCTCCAGCATGTGTAGATACTCAGCCACCAGTGCGGCTGAGTGCACCAAGCAATGAGCAGCCTCTGTGTGATTCTTATGCTCTGTGTGCTTGCCGGCCATGTTCTGTAGCCATGTCAGGCGCAGATCCGGTGAGGTTTGGTAGCTGGTTAGGACAGACATAGCAAGGATAAGGAAAATTTCAGTTCAGTGTAAAAATCAGCAAAGCAAATGATATTCATGTTTTCTTTCTGTTTAGGGACAAAACCGAGTTCGCTTACAGGGCCCCCTTCAATGGAGATATTATTGTGGACACTATTGTACAAAGCAACTGCCTGTGATGGATTATCTGAACAATAGCTAGCGCAATGCTTTCACCATTGAAGGGGGCCTTCGTGATATAATTGACAGTGTACCCTGATTGGTCTACAGGTATTCCTGGACATCATAATCAGATCCGTCTAGTTTTGGCATGTTTTCTTACAACTAATTGTGTTGAATGATACCACACAGAAACTGGTAAAAACTGGATTGCAAATGAATTAATATTTCCACAAATTGACATACTGTTCAGTTGAACAAATAAGAGAAGGGACTACAAAAGCTGTCAAGTGAAACTGTGTTTTTGGAGTTCTAAATCTTGTACTCACCCCTTAGCGATACGATACATGAGATCTATCAACATCTCAGGATCTTCACTGAATTCTTTCATCTTGACCGTGTCCGATAAGATCATGTGAAGATTGAAAACCAGATCATGCACCTGTTCAAATTACAAATTCATTGGATCATTGGACAGAGACCTACCAATGATCCACCAAGTGCTATCAATGTTAAATTAACTGGGAAGTGACAAACAAAGAGGAATTTCCCAGCTTCACAAGATTTTATAGTGTTTTGCATTTGTAATGGCTTTGGTGTGAAGTGGGAAAAAAAGAGGAAAACAGCAGATCCGAGGAAAAGTTGCATGCCTGTTTGAATAATTTAAAAAAAATTAGTTTACTCCTTCCACTTCAACCAAACCAAAGCAAACCAGGATTTTATTCTGGTTTTGAGTTGTTGTTTTTTTGCAGCATGTACCTTACGTGGCTCTAGGCTTTGTGTTTAGGCAAAAACCCTTATGAAATGTTTAAAGGCCAACAAGAATCTCTTTAAAGACACTCATATTTTGTTCATTCATTTGATAGAAACATTTTATCCTTCAAGACAACAAAAAAATCTACACAAAATTAGAACGAGAGAAAATACGAAAGTTAGGATAGAATGACTAAAATCACAACGATCTGTTTGGGAATGTTGCTATTAGCCTAGTGTGTAAAGAATGAAAGTGAAACATCATCAAAACCACAATCAATCAATCACAATTCCAAACAAAAGCACTGATGCTACAACCTCCAAATATATCAATTTCCTTGATTTCATTTTTGATGTATCTCTATGTGACAATTCAATATTGTAATTTGAACCATTTACATACATCAGCTGACAATCAATCGATTTTGAATCCTCCAGTGTTGCCAATTCCAAAGCAGGAGTAAGTATCAGAAACAATCCAATGGACAACAAAGCTTACATCACCAGAGATCTAACTGTTAACAAGGACAAGGTTTAAAGCCTAATGTTTTTATTAAAGGTTGGGTAGATCATTTGCAGCTATCAAAAAAGTCCCTGGACAAATTATTGTTGTTTAAAGATAGTAATGGCACTAAACTCTGTGAAATTGTTCCTTTGGGCATGATGTACTTTTGAAGAAAACAATAAAAGGTCATTTTCAAAGATGAATCAAGTGACAAATTTTTGGAAATTTCCATTAGTAGTTGGCTTGTAATTGGGCGAATCTGTGAATGGGTGTGTGCAAACGTTGACACGACGCACACGCCAAGGGGTCGTTATTATTCATCGGTTCAGAGTGTGACATCGCGTAGCTGCAATTGGCTGAACGAAAGGGTGTTCTGGATGTTGAAATCAGGCGCAATTCAAAACATGACTCGGCAACTTGTGAATTGAAATGGAGGTCCTAAAATATATTGTTTTCTCAGAATTCACAGCATTCACTGAGCTGAAACTTCATCAGGTTAGTTGTTCAGCACCCGTCTCTAGGTTTGAGCACTTTTGTTGCTCAAATGTTCAAATGACAATGATGTACTTTACCATTAACTATTTGTGATAAATTTCAAAATTTTATTCTGTAAGCATCTTTTAACCCCTACAACCCTAATCTCAAGCTGTATAAACTTTGCCTCAGTTTTCACACGTTTATTGCTTCTCAGAAAAAAAAAGTTGGTGTTTTTTTGCCAATAGCCCTGAAATGAATCAACAAGTCGTGTTGTTTATAGCAAGTACAGTTATTCATTCAACATGTTTCAGTTTAAGACACAATTTACAATGCTCAACAAAACCATTAGGGCAAAATAGTTGCACAGATTAGTCACGAACTGAAAGACGATCAACAGAACATTCGACTGAGCAAACTCTGTACGACCAGGAACGTTAGCGGTACCATTAAATGATAATAAAAGTAGTTATTATAAACATGCGGTGTGGCTTTCAAAGGGAATATATAAACAATGGAACGTGTTTCAGTTTTAAAAAGTGGAAGAGAAAAACAAGTGGAAACAATTTCAAGGGAAAATAAATATGAAAGATGAATTCGGAGGTATCAGCCACAAAGTGAACTGGTTAAGATATGCACTCTGATCTACTTTCAGTAATCAACAAAATGTTCAATAACGACAAAATCGTGAACCAGGTAACAACTTAATCTGACTTCAACGTATCACGCTTGCTGGTTTTGTGGTTTTTTCTGAGGGGGGATTTGTCAATTGTCCACATTGAAACACAACTGAAACATATTTGAAATTCATCTTCTTAAATGGAAAGTTCAAGCCTTACAGAATAAAACTTTTAAGCTTGGAATACCACACAGGAATATTAACTAGAGATAATATGTAAATAGACCAACAGATTTAGTAAGTAGATACACTTTGTAGGGTAGTGTCGGTTTTAATCCTGCTTGAAACATGTTTCTAACTCTATCAGATGGGATAGTTTCAGGGCTCCTATACTCCAATCCTACGAGCAAAGATGAGGATCTACCTGCTTAGGGAAGTCAGTCTCTTGCAACTCCACGTCTTCCTCTCCATAGATCAGGATCGTCTTGAGTGATCGACGGAGATAATCCTCATTGAAGTTGGTCTGAGTGCCTACCAGGCTGGACAGAGACATGGTCACTTGCATCTTGACCCGAGCAAAGTTCTGATACAAGACAAACAAACAAGATGGTCAATATCAGATTTTCAATTTCTCATTTTATTATTTCAACCTTTCTACAACAATCTCATTTTTCCTAAATTATCCACAATAAATTATCCACAAAGTTCTACAAACTACAAGTTTAGCACTGAAATCAGGACACGTCGTGATTGTTGCACAATTTTTATTCCTCCCTCAAATAAAAAAAGCAAAATTGCATTGAAAAATGGTATTAAATCAAAAAGAAAAATGTCTATTTTCAACAATTTTGCTTTGTTTCTCTGTTAACTTGAGTATTAAATTACAAGGAAATCCATTGGTATTGTTATAAATCATTTTCACAAAGTTTGCCGTTTAAAATTCTAACAGGTTTACTCACATTTCCAATCTCAAAGTTCTGCCTCATGAGCAGGTAGAGCGAGGCGCTGGCGTGGGACCTGACGGTGCTGATACAGGAACTACAATGACTCAATAATCTCAGGCACAGATCTGCACATTGCTCCGTCTCCTCCTCAAACAGTAACTCTGGATACTACAAAGAAACAAGATGAAAGAAACAACGGTCAATTTCACTGTCAAGATCAGAGAAGATCTAGGAAAACTGTTGCAGCTGATGAGGTTGTAGTCCAAGACTTTTTTGAATTTTTGCTGCCCTAATGCAGCCAGTCATTGACAAGCAGCCGCAGCGGATGAGGTCGCTATCAACAAGATGAATCAAATCCAGTATCGGGACTTTGCCACCAGGAACGAGACAACTCAGTGCATACCTCGGCGCACTTTAGCTTGAATTTACTGCACATTTGGCACAAAAAAAAAAAAAAATCGGTCTCTGGTCAGCGCACGCGTCGATTTTAATCATGCGCGTCGATTTTTTTTTTTCAAAAATGTTCTGCGGTAGCTCCAACAGCGCCCTCTATTTCCGCATCTCCTCAATTTTTTTACCAAAGAGCACCAAGGAATGGGAAATTGCACCAAGGCAAATGATCGAAAGCACCAAGGCAAATTATGGAGGACACCAATGTACATAGGACACCAAAAAAGCAAAATAGTACCCCACCTTGTCTGTACAATCCAAGCTTGAAGGAAAAAAAAAAAGGAAAAAAAAAAAAAAAAAAGCCGCGTGGCCGCGTCAATTCCGGAACTTTGGTCTGACCAGAGACCGAATATTTTTTTTTTTTGGCCTTAGAGGAAACAATTGAAAGAATGTAGTATCCAGACGCCAATTTGGGGGTTGTGTACAAAGTCTACGGAGAGTTGCGTGCATTTTCAAAGTATTTTCTAACAAAATTGTGAATGCTTCGCAGTCCCAGATTCATGTCTTTTCAACATTTCTGCAATGACTGGCCGTCACTGCAATAATACATGATGAAGAAAGTGGCGTCGGAATGCAACTTTCTTTCTGACAAAATGGTAAATTAAGGAACTAAACATTCAACTTGCTTACCTTGAAGACCAAAGATCTCTGAGTAGCTAGGATGTTCTGTAGTACGACAACGCTCTGATTACAGGCAAGGGAATGCAGCAATACCTCCATGACACCGGTCAGACAGCCTTGCAGATGGTCAGTGCTCTGTATGGTCTGTGGAGACATTCAGCAATCACAATCAAAGAAGTAAATCTAAATCAAAATAACTGAAAGGATACGGCACAACGTGAGACCAAAAAGAAGCAAATTTTGGACATGTTTGACCATGTACTGTGTGAAATAATCGACCCCCCAAGATGTGATCTTCTAGTTTTCTCAGAAGCACTCGTCTCTTTAGACTAAGAAACTTCACGTTGTACCAACAAACACCCCCCCCCCCATTCCTTTTTGCGACCTGCTGCCAAGAATTGAGAGAAAATTTCAATTACAAACATTTCAATTGAATGAGTACGCCTAGTAACATATTATGGAATGCAATTGTGAAAGCCTCTCAACTCATCGGAGTTCAGTTGTTTGTTTTCAAAGAACAAGAGATTTTTATTATTATTTCCTTTTAAATCTCATCCCTTAGCTTACCTGAACTAAAAGTTCAATGGTATCCAGAACCACCAGAGATACCTCAGTAGCGAGATGACCCTCAAGATTGACGTCATATTCCATCTCAGATTTAGGCCTGATGACGAGAGGAGATGGGATCAAATGATGACAAGGTTATAATAACTACCGGAAATGGTTCCCTAAAGAGACATTCCCATGGAATTGTGCACAACATTTTTCCAACTTCAATGACCCCTAACACCTATTTTTCCTTACCCTACCCCTACGAATTTCGGTGCATTTTTGTTTTGGACCACGAGCAAACGATCTAGCTTATTTGCGACAGCAACATTTTGCCTCTAAATAGGAGTTGAGACATTAGGAAGACCCTGAAATCTTTCCTTAATCCGCCTTGTCTACCTGAGGTATAACTTATGACAAAATGACTCCATATGGGTACATTAACAGGAATAAAAGTAACAGTGTTAATGTAAAGTAGAATATTTTTCTCTTTCATATTTTGGACACTTTGGCCTTTGCTTCAGCTACAGCCACCCAATGTATGCCAAAATGTCTCTGTAATTTATTTAAAAATACACCAGTGAGGGTAAAAACAAACATTGAAGAATTAAATTCCGTCTGTAAATTACTGATGCATGTAATACCTCTCAGCCTGCGTCTCAACCGCTTGTTTCCAGTGAGTCTTGTCCTTACGCCATCTCAGCTTCTCCGACTGTCCCAAGGCTGGATTAAAGTGCCTGTCTGTAGTGGTAAAGTTATCAAAAAATTGCATATAATCATGACATTTATCCAAAAAACATTAAGAGCACAAAGAGAGAGTTGCAGCCATTTTAAGTGCAATGAATAAACAGATTCCTACCGACTAAAGCCATCTTCTCTCCAACCAAAATAGACAACCAATTTACAACGTAAAACAATTTACATCAGTAATTAATCCTGTCAAAAAATATATCTTAAGCCAACATTTTTCAACAACCATTAAAAGCATCCTCCATACCCCACAGTATGATTGGACAAAATGTACCAACATGCTATCTGGGTGGTCAAGAAATATAGTGAAATCCCATATTTTATATTGTGATAGAGTGGCTTGCTCAAGGACACAAATCTTAGCTTACCCAGTGAGCCAGATCCCTGCCTGCTGTGTCTCTGCATCATTTCACTGCGAGCGTTAGACGTCCCCAGTATGGCATCCTCAAGACGTTGCTTCACGTCTTGTTTCTTCAGTGACGATCGAGACTGATGCCTGTAGATCATCGCCCGTCCCTGAAATCAAAAGATGTCTTCTTTAACAAAAGGGCAACAGATACTTTGGAGGAGTCCTGAGGATAGGTCATCCCACACACTAACTAGACACATTGAGAATTCCCGCTACGTTGAAAATATTGTGCATCGCTCAGGAAAACTGTGTGCCATATGCAAAATAATCAGCATTTTTTTTACACTTTTCTGTCTCTCACAGCAAAGTCCCCTACTCTGAAATTTGTAAAAAGCCACCATTTTAAATCCCTCCGCTCCACTCACGAAAGTCTTATTGAGAATGCTGACTATAAGAAATAAATAACAAACGTCATCAACATTTATGAAAAGTCTAGCTCCCTGACTACTAAGGTCTGGTTCCCCACCTTGTACTCAAAGCAACAGATGCTATAATACAGCACATCCATGAGCTGATTGATGCGACTGACTGACAGCGCCACCCAGGAATCCTGGAGAGTTGTCGGCTCCAGATTCTTGAGAACCCAGAGGAAGCAGAGAAGGAGGTCCCTGGTGGATTCCTCGGAAAGTCTGGTGTGGCTTGGGGGTCGCTGTCAGAGAGAGAAAAATGAGAATCAGTAATGAAGGAAAGAGCCCATTTCACGGTGATGAGCAGCCTAGAATCTTGGCTGAGCATAAGCCTGTTACCTGCTGGAGAGTTATGAAGTGTATATGGGCTCCGTGCACAAGTACCCCCTCAACGGCAAGAAAGGGAGAGTTGGGGGAGACCGTTGGAGACATTGGAATGCATTGCTGAGGATACCTGACGTTCACGCGCAGACACTATGGCTTTGTGCACGATTCGGATAAATAAGAGTACTTCGAGCTACACGCGCGAACCAGTACGCACATGCAGAGTGTTCCGTCCACAGAGCTCTCAGAAGTGGCAAAAAAGTGCTCTCTCTTGTTGGCGCACATAGCCCATAACCTGTGACTGGTTATCTGTTAATTTATGCTTAGCATCTAAATTTAATGAACATGACTCAGAAATATCACTCTGAGACAAGCGTCAGCTGTAGCCACAACAAAAACTGATTCAGATAAGGCTTACCTGTAACGGCGTCGACTCTACCTTAGCATCAGACCTGGCATAGACACTGGTACCCGCTATAGCCATAGCCACACTCTGATTGACAGGGCTACCATCTATCTCAGCGTCATCATAACCCATAGCGGCTGATGGTCGATTGACGGTGCTAGCACTGTGGCAGTTCAGTTGAGGTATCGCATCCATGATGATACCTAGGAGTGGTAGATAGAGAGCGGCAACACGCATACGACAGTCAGGGTCGGTGTAGCGTGTGTCAGCATCGTGGGAGTTCAGGAGGTTGCAGACGGTGTCGATGGCTTGACGATGAAGACTGCTATTCCTATTACATGCAACACAATACATAATGTCAATAAATGGGTCATTATATAAATTTAGGTCCATCACGAGTCTGGTCACGGGTATGAACAATAACAAAGGAATGCCTTTGTCTAAGCTCATTTGAATAGCTTGATTTTTACAAAATGTGATGGACTTGTGATTGACTCGATGACACCACTGACAAAAATACTACTCACAGTGTTTGCAAGACGCAGGCTAAATCTGACAGTAACAACCCCGTCAAGAAATGCTGCTGACGGAACTCTGGCGTCAGTTGCATCATCTTGGCTTTATTGATGGTAGACGGCAAACTAGAAGCCAGGGACATCATGGATGACATACTACTGATGGATGGGGTAGGGGAGGGTGGTCGGGACGTCACGCCGGAGTGTAAGAAGGGAAGATTGAGGGTGACGTAGTGTTCATGACTGACAATGATACGAAGGAAGTCTAGCTTGAGTTGAGCTAGGCTGGTAGGGTCTGCCATGACTGTAATCTTGCCAGCAACCTGTGTAGCAATTTAAAAAAATATAAACCATTACTAAATCACACTATAAAAAAAATGACAAGTGTAACAACAGAATACCCATGAACTCGGTAAAACTCTTTTCAGGATTTTCATTAAAAAATACCTTAATAATAAGATTGAAGAAAGAATTGACAGGGGCAAGATTTGAAGATAAAACCTCCAGAATGCTGTGCAAAAGACAACCGATGTGTTAACCTAAAGTGATCAAAAGTGAAGCTAGCTAGCTTCCAGTGCTATGGTCTGTATGATGACAAACTCCAACATTAACTTATCTTTGGATGATATAATGAATTAAAGTAGTTCCTATTTCTTCTTGTCAACAGAGAGTATTACAACCTTTTTCCCAGGAGTTCATACCTGCTTGCAGTAGTTTCTGATGAGAGCAAAGACATATCCTCTATCCATCAGAGACAGGAGATCTTGAAGGAAGAACGCTAGGCTTGCGTTGAGGAGCTGCATGGCTCGTACATCCTGAAATAGGTCAAGAAATGCACTATGACACTTCAAATCAAAGTTACTCTTTCCATTACTTGACATCTTTACTAGGCAACGAAAGTAACGTCACACATGAATTAAAAGTACAACCGCTTTTATTTTTGGTAAACTTTCAGTGAAGCATATACACGATCTTATTTCCTCGTTGTCTACAAAGTGTTTAAGTCTAATCTGCTACTTGTGTTGAATTGTTTGTGCTTCAAGCACTCCGTCAAAATTAGCTCTGTACCTGGAATGAAATTAAGTAATCCTACCTTATTGTATCTGGCGACGATATCCGTGGTCACAATGCCAACGATGTTATTGATATCCTGACAGTAGGCTTCAGGGAACTGATTCTTACGAGGTGAATCCAAGCGGTCATTCTCGGCAAGATACTGGGCCATGCTCTTTACCTGAAATTAAACAGAAGTGCCATTGTTTGTTTCAAATAATTTTCCTGTAAATTTTCTTTCTCTCCGAGAATCTCTTGCCTGAAAAGAATAGATACAAGCATTATCAGCACACACAGAATATAAAAAAAAGAAGGAAAGATCTGATTGGTTGTAACTTACCATGAGTTCAAAGAAGAACCACGCATGATTAAGAACCTTCTCCTTAGCTGAGCCATTGGAGACGACCAACAGCAGAGCAACCTCTTCATGCACCAACTGTAGAGGGCAGCAGACAATGACACAAACAAACACATCAGTAAACATCGGTGAACGGCAAAAACCTAATCTGATTCACATCAGTGTAGCTTTAAATAAATTGTGACGGTTTCATTTTTAGAGACTTTGTTGAAAATAAGTTAATGCAAATGTTGCAATATAACAATTGCATTAGTGTTTTTTTTCAGGTAAAACCCTCTTTATAATACTGTTGGGTTTTTTCTTCTTTCTATCATTTCAATTCCTCAAATGATATATCTTAAGTCATTATTATCGACCTTCTTTGAAGACACGCGGTTCAAAATTTCTTTGAGCTTTTCAGGGAAAATCGTAGTTTCAAAACTTTCAAAGTCTTTTCCTATTCTATCAATTCACATTCTCATATGATCAATAATACCCAATTAATAGACTCCACTGTACTCACTCATGACAGACATTTCAATTTACCTTCTTAGGAGGCACACGGTTCCCCAGCCCCATGACTGGCACATTCCCCATGCCAGTATTCCCCAGGAGACTGGACCGGCTGAAGGAATGAGCGTTGTATCTCTCGCTACCAAACCGCCCATGTATGATCCCTTCCATGTCATCATCAGGGGAACCAGGACCGGACAGACTGGTGCTACTGGTACTGGAGAATAATGACGATCGCTGATTGGCCGTGAAGCTGTTAGAGCGAGCAACGGTACCGTAGTTGCCTATATGACGGAATATGTGTGGCGGGGTTCGGGGAGAGTATTCTGTAAAGAAAAGAGTTGAAATAGTTCAGTGGTTTAAAAAAACTGGGGAAAAAAATAGATGCTTGGTTAATGAAAAGTTATATTTTTCTGACTGGGGTTTACGGCTATGCCTGAATTGTGACTTTTGTGTGCATGGCCATCGTCTTTGGTGCAATGAAACACTGGTTTAAGAAAAGTCATACAGTTGGCTAAGAAGTTATCCTATTTATTTGATTGTCTTTATGAAATCAAGAAAAGAACTTATCATGAAATGCTCTCATTTTAAAATACTGGAGAGAAAAAAATATACAAAAAGGAGGACCCAGAAATGCAATACCATCACCACAGTAGTGAAGGATATGACAATGGTGCACACGTAACATCACTTCACATGAACACAATGGGATATGAAAAGGGAAGAGAATAATGGGAGGGGCTTGATTTAGAAGTGGGGGATATGAGGAGTAAATTCCAATGAGCTACTTGGCAGAAAATATTCCTCAGCAAATAACTCATTAAACAGAATTCATGCAAAGTACCGGTCCAAAAGTATCAACACCATATTAAAACCCATTTGTCCCTGTACTGCCCCCAACCCCTGAGCACTTTATGGTTGTATGGATTCCTTAGGGAAAAAATACAATGTAATACAATGTAATACAATGTGATACAATGTAATACAATGTAATACAATGTAATACAATGTGATACAATGTGATACAATGTAATACAATGTGATACAATGTAACACAATGTAATACAATGTAGTACAGGTGCTAATTGTTTAAACAATTTTGCTATTTAACAGAGTTTTCTGTGATAACCAATCTTCTTAATAAAATAAATCCCTAACACAACCTGTTCTAAAGGGGTATGGTATGGAACAGGTTCAACAAGGCTCACCATAACCAGTTTTAGTGTAATGGTGAACAGAGGGAAGAAATATATGGCACGGACAGATAAAAACGGGATGAAATCTAAATTGTTAACTATCACCTCAACCGGAATGTAAAGCTAGACAACAAACACACACTTGTTAGTATGACAATATTTCCTACAACACCGAAAACCCTTCAAAGCATTTTTTTCATACTTACCGTATTTGAAGAATATCCAGTGCAAGCAGAATTAGGAAAAGCACAAATGAAAATGCACATCAAACAAATTGTAATATCACCATAATTTCCTCATAACACTATTTTAGTATCACCTACTTTAGCTAAACATTTCCAAGCAAACATTAATTTCCAAAATTCAGTAAAATATCACCTCAAGAACCCTTTATAGCAAATGATTTTCAAATGGTTTCACTTCAAATTTCAGAAAATGGCACTCAAGGAAAATGGTACCAAATTAGCTGCTAAATTTATACACATATCGCTTGCACCAAAGACAGAGAATGGAAAGTATCATCTACGGAACTTCTGCATGATGATAGCTCAGCTACAACTAGCCATTCAGCCAGCCAGCAGACCAGCCAGCTTAACTTCTAACTCTTCACTCAACACAAGGCTAAAATCAAACGTTTGTCATCAAATCTCAACGATTTCTTGCTAACCTTGTACGATGGTTTCATCATCAGTATCCGGTGGTCTGAAGTAATACTGGATGAAGGAACGCAGCAAGGAATTCCTCCCATGACTGTCTTGACCCTTATCTAGAAGGATGTGAATACGATCAACGATCTCGGCGATGGTGTCAAAGCAGAGCTGTCCAACATGGTCAACTGTCAGATGACAAAAGAAAGGAAGAATAAAGAATCGTACAATAACGAAAATAAAAAGTCATCACTGATGTGGCATATTCACAAGCCATTCAAATGAACTTTGCCAAAGGTATTTCTTTGTTATTGTTCACCCCGTCACTTGCGATTTGACTTGTGATTGATTTGAAATTCAGGCATGCAACTGGGAATTTAGAAAAAACGAGGAAACTCCAAACCACACAAGCCTTTGTACAGTATTTTCAATTTGTAATGGCATTCATGAGAACTAAAATATGAGATCAGCGGATCTGACGAACAGTTGCGTGCCTGGAAATTGTATCTATGACCCCAAGATTCAAAATTTGGACGTTTCTTACCGATCTGCCCACCGATGATTGGCGGTCGGACAATCATCAAGATAAGCTTGTCTAGAATGATGGGTAGGAATTTGACCAACGGTTCAGCCACTGCGTTGTTGAGCTCCATGATACTCTTGACAAGTTTAGCCTTCATGTCTTGCTCACCGATGCTTCGTGGAATCTTGCCTTCCTCGACGTTGTGACATCGACTGAGGAACTTGTCTACAAACTCATCCTGTCGATAGAGATGATGTAGAGGACAATTAACTCTAACCTTGCAAGACAGTGCAACAGGTGCATTGGGCTATCGGTAGCAGTGCGTAAACTGTAAACTGCCTGTTCTGAGACGATGGGAGCTAGTCTCACTGAACAATGCCATTGTTGTATCTTGCTGCTGATAGCAACCTCAGACTCTAAGGCAGGTTAACCTCGGGATTTTTAACCCGTTGGATCTTGTTATACTGGGCAGGCTTCTCACTTAGACAAGTGCTGCAAATGGTTGTGTCGGGCAGAGTTAAAAGCAAAAACACCAGCAAATTCATTCAAGTCAATATCATCAAAGTCAGTGAGCAAGTTTTTGTGGAATCTTTTGAACTGCCAGTGTGGTATAGTTGTTACTGTTACCTGAGCATGGATTGACGATACTGCTTTGATTTCAACATTAAACAGCGGTTTGTGGCTGTCCACCCATCGCATTGTAGGCAGCTGCACCTGTGATAACACACACACACAACATTGTAAACATTCACCATATGAAATCATTCCTTTACTTCCCATTGAAGCCCAGACAAGAAAAGTAGGAGACATAAATGTTTAATTAAGATATCAGGTTGCTATTTCAATGTTGAATGTATGATAGACCTTTTTTGTTTCTTTATTAAGTAACAAATTAAATGTCAAAACAAATTCTTGAAATTGTTTGCGAACCAATCATCTATACTTACCTGAGTTGCACTCAAAACATATGGCATTATACCCTTTTATTTTCAATCAAATGTTTGAAATAATGATATATTCCTATCGCAAGGTTTAAAGAGCCAATCCGCCTTGCAGTATAAGTAGAAGGACTGAAGTCCGCTTGTCTCTGCTTACAAATTATACTTGTTAATTGTACTTACTTATTCTAGCTGGTAAATAATGAAAACATAAAAAAATAAGAGGACATTTGCCAATATCGAATGAAACAAAAAATGAGGCTAAACAAAACGTTTGCACTTTTTTAAAGTTACCTTTCAAAAGCTGTAATTGCAAAAATAAAAAATGACCATGAAAGCAACCAAAACCAACCAAATATCAGGGGAAAGTGGCTGATGAAATGTCTATTTTATAAAAAATACGTAAACTGAATTTCAGGGTGTTTTTAGATTACAGACTTTGTGGAGAGTTGAGTCTAAATTGTATGTTTACGGAACAGAAAGAATACAAAAACAAATTTATATAAAAATGATCTAGAAAATGCCAACATCTATGGGCCTTGAAGAGCCTGGACTACACATTGCAAGGCATTGATCACTCAAAGCCAAGGTCAAGGCCAAGGCTTTTGCCCTCAAGCCTTAAGGCCAAGGCCCTAAAATCCAGTTTTAAGGCCGAGGCTGAGCATCAAGGCACTACATCATTGATAATGTCTGATTCGTGGTTTCCTAGTGTGTAAATTTGTCGTACAAAGTGATTAACACTCCACATCAAAACTGTATCAAGGGTGGTGTACCTTTGTGCCCTCCCTATTTCCTCTGACTGCCCCTCCCCCAAAAAGGCAACACGTGAATAGTCATTGTGCCTAAACACGCACACAAACTGGTTGAAATCACACTGCAACTTCTACATGTAAGTCTTAATCAAAACTGTGCATTGTGATGTAAATCACTGATAGTTTTTGGAATATTCATTTAATCAAAAACAGACAAATCAATCAATGGTAAATGATGAAATATAATCACTGATTCATTATTAGTAATAAATAATCAATAATTGTTGGTCAATAACTTCAGCCCCGTTTTAATCAAGATCACTATGGCAGGCGCGTCTTCTCAGTATCAGCACCCAGTGTATGGAGTGGACTTCCTTATTTTATTCGGAATGCACCTTTTTTTGTATCCTTTAAGTCAGAACTTGTTATTTCCGTCAGGTTTTTAAGTAATATTCCAAGTGATCGTGATTTTAATGTATTTCTAATGAGTCTTACTGTGTATTTCAATTAACTTTTTTGACGTACCAGTAATTTTTAATGAGCTTTTAATGTATTCTAATGACAGTTTCGTTACGATTAATTTTGTAAAGTGCATTGAGATTTTTCTGATGAAGTAATGTGCTATATATTATTATTATTATTATTATTTTAGCCAATAATCAACAGCAATTTAATAATCAGTAATAAATAAGTTCAAATCAAGGAGAAGTTCACAGATGTTCATCAGTGCTGTAGTTCTAAATACACACTACATGTACAACAAGTCGTTTTCTATACAACCAACTTCTCAATTACATAGGCGGTGTACATGCTCATAACTAAGTGCCCTATCTTCGGCTGTGACTGAGTATGCATGCTTAAAGATCTGTAAACAGCGCCCTCAGAGAATCATGCTTATACTATAGCAGACATGAACTAGCAGTTGATCTGGATGTATTAATGTGAAAACATGCATGTCACCCCATTGCATTCCACTTTTTTCTTTTTTTTTTGTCCACTCCTGCAATTAAATTGTTAAGCCTGCGCTGCTTCCCTGCTGGGTTGAGTTGGGGTTGGTTGGAGGTATGGGCGGAGCAAAGGACTGCGGAAAAGGGAGGGGGTGGTATATACATAATGATATATATATAGCAGGAAGGGCAAAGATCCAAGGGAGGGCAGGTTAAGATACAGTTCATGGCTAGATATGATTTTGATGAATAGTTACTGAAAAGAAAAGAGCAATACCCCGATGATGTCAAGCCAAAAAAGGTTAACAAAATATTTGCATATTTTTAATATTAATGAAAGGTTTCTGCAAAACAAATACCATGTATGCTAAGTATGCACCGCTCATTGTATAATGCATCTGGCACCCTGACTACCTGCTTGAACATACCAGTACAAATCACTAAATAGTCAGTCTGGATTAATACTATCTTTGTCTAACCAACTCATCATGCTGAAGATATTCCTTACATTACAAATTCTACACAAACTCTCTAGAGAGACACTGACGCTCTCAGTTATTCTACAGTAATTCTACAGTACCAACCAGTTATCCTCCTGAAATTTTCAAGAGTTAAAATAAGAAAAGTCTATTCTGCTACCCATGCCTCTGACGATACATCTCACAAATGGATGCTTAACATGTCGACTGAAAAAAATGTTTCCGAAAAAAAAGATTAGTTTTAATTTTATGTGCGGATGACAAAACTTTAGTAAGATGTTAGTGGTCAGGTTAACATTGCTGACGTAAGAAGAAATCAATAAAATAAAACCTTGAATACCTGAGGAGAACGTGAGGCGTCAGGCTTGGACAACGAACGCGACTTGAGCAACTACAAAACAAAAATTCCTCCCTGAATATGAAAAATGATACTCATTCTAACGCCTCAAATGTCTTGCAGAGGAAACAGACAAGATTTTGTCCCTGAAGTTTTGGACAGTTTTTAAAATTTGAATAATATTTTAAATTAAAAAGCATGATAACGATTTAAAGTGGGCATTTCAAACCTGTTATGATGAACCTCATGTGCCTTCTCACAACCTTCAGGAAACTGAAAATATTATTTCATATGTGGAAAATATGCAGGTAAGATACAAAAATAAAGGTATAAATACATCATGACAAAAACTTTCAGACGGTGCATTCATTCATCCAAACATTTTCTAAATGTGAGATAAGTTGACCAAAAAAGAGGGTTTGTATCGCTGCGTTTTTGTCTTACCTCCGGGCTGAGCATGGAGTAACCCATAGGAGGAACATCCATAGAGACTGGCAGACCAAAGTCACCTACTTGAAGACGGCCATCACGCATCATTGGCAACCACTATTAACGCCAAAAAAAAGATGAGAAAAATAATAAGCAGAGGATAAAAAAGATGTGGGAAAAAAAGACGAGATCATTTTCTCGTCAATTGCTGGTGTTGCGGTTACCACTTTAGCTCTGAAGCTATTGCAAATTATTTGTTGCGTCTTTTTTAATTAAACATTCTATCAAAGGTCACTTACCAGAAAATCCACTGCTTTTGCATATTCATAGATACCTAAGACAGTTCACCAATTCCTATTGGTTGAGAGCCCATCATGTGTGTTGTTCTAAACCGCCGGTAAAACACCTCTGCGTTTTGCACCACATCGTGGAGTATGTGCTGCGCGCATCAATTACCATATAAGGAGATTTTTAGCACTACGTGCCTGAGGCACATACCACAGACATGGCCAGAGGGGTATTTCACAAAACACGAAAAACATGAAGTACAATTGTTGAACGAACTCATCGGAAATTTGTGAATTTTTGACCGAAAGCTATTTTTGAATTTTGGCTTGGGCCATTATCCACATCCAGGCCCCTAGCTGGTTGAAAACATACTTGTTTAAAACCAGCCAAGCACATATTTATTCCCTTTAATATGAATTAACTGGCTGATTTTGGCAAGCTGGGTGGTACAACGGTTGCACAGGTATGCAGAGGTCGGGAGGTTCGAGTCCCACCGTGCAATCTTGAGAGGCTTTTGTCACGAGTATATCACTTAAAAGTACATTGAAAGACATAATCCATCATTAAAAGTTTTTAACAAAATGATTTGTTTCAAAAAGGAAAAGTCTGACTTGATAAAGACTCACAGTGAAGCCTATAGGAGTTTCCACAGGTATGACATCTTGTTTGCGTTGGCAGCTGATGTGATAGAATGTGAAGAGTAGATGATGATAGTCTGCCAAGTCGGCAGGTAACTTGATCTTAATCTCCTCGTAGAAATCAGGTGACTTGCTGTGATATGTGACTGATGAGTAGGAGTGGTCCGAAAACTCAGGACAACTGGATTTACCCATGATGCACTGTGGAGAATCAAAGAACAATTACAACACAGCACAGTTATCAATACAAAAAACTATGTGAAAAAAATTATGTATCATTATGTCAACATGGAATTTCAACAAAGAACCAAGATTTTTGATCTTTTTTTATTCTCGGCACATGGTAAGCATGTGTCAGACATGTGGTCAGCATGTGATAGACATGTGGTTAGCATGTGACAGACACGTGGTTAGCATGTGATAGTCCTGTGAGAGTAATAAAGCATTTGGCAGGCCGTGACACAAGACACTCCCATACCATACCTTGAGGGCGGTGGACGGATCCTCACCGGCCATAAACTGGACTTTGACGGCAATATTCCTGGCAGAGCCTGATCGGTTGGAGTAGTTGAGAGAGTTGGGGTAGACGTACAGGAGGTTGCTGTAAAAACAAAAAAAAGACACAGACGGTTATTTCGCATGCAGGGACTCTATGGCATAAATGTTCATTATTATATAAGAATACTTATCATGAACTGTGTAACACTCAATACAGCACATATTTTTAGTGTAAACCGAATCTGTGGCCACCGCTTCAACTGATATCTCAGACCGCCATACGTAAAGTTAAAATCTGCCAAGAGTCTGTACACCAATGCCAAAGTTTCATCCATGGACGTATTAGCAAACAGCTAAGCCGTGTCCGATTACCTGGCTATGGCTGGAAATAACACGCAGGTCTATGGGAAGTGGCTGCATGTGTAATTTCTTGCCATGGCCAAATAATTCAGGACAGAGCCTAATATTACCGATAGATGCTGTGAGGGTGGTACACGTCTCTGGACGGGAATTCCTGAATCTCTCGCGTTGGTCTGGTCCTCATGTCAGGGTAAGGTTTGACCTGCTGGAGGTCAGGGGTCAAGCAGTATGGTGGATTATCGGGCATGGGGGAGATGTCCAGCTTCAGAGAACCTGCCAAAGCAAATGAGTAAAGTTTATGTTTCAAAAGCTGGCTTCCAAAAGAGGCTCACACACAGGGTTAGAAACACAATGTCGAACTGGAAAGACATACTTGGCAGTTTGAGTAATTCATGAAAATTTATCAATAACAGAAAAAACCCAAATGTATTCTGTGTGTTGCTTGGAGCTTAACAACCCTATAGGTTTTTGACTCAGGAGTATACATTTCCCGAAAAAAAAACAATGTTTCATGTCATGACCAACAATGTCACATTGAAACATCAAGCTCAGGGCCCAACACACTGAATTTGAGATAATAATGTTTTAATGCACTCACCAGGGATACACTTGAGTCTCTTGAGAACAGACGTCGGTCGTTTCAGGTCAGCTAAGAACTTGTAGAGGTCATCATCGGATAACTTGTCCCCTTCCTATTGCAGAAATATCACAAAAAGTCTACACAGAATGCAAGTGACAAGTTGCAGCGCTTATTTTGTTTAACGTCTTCATCCCCAAAACAACAAGACAAATAATGAAGACGGCATAATATTGTTTTGGGGAAAATACTGAGAACATTTACCAATTTCAATGTTGCCAAACTAAAAAGTATTAGGAGCGCCTCAAGTTGACCCAAATAGATTGCAGTGTCAGACAGATCAATTTTACTTAGTAATTTTCTGTTGACTGTGGTGTCATTATAAACAACTGTCGATCTTTTATTGACTTCTGTGCGCAGTAAATCCAAATCGTTTCAACTGTCAAGCTTAATTCTCTGTTAAAATTATCTCCGGAGTTAATTTGGTACAGAGCGACTCTGGAATGCTAATATGAAACATGTTTTTATTGTTCATATTCAATAATGACTGTATGTGGTATTGGCAACTTACCTGTTTGAAAAAGCTAGAGACAGTAATTGTGACTGGATGGAACGTGTCAAGATTCCCTGTGTCATCCTCCACCTTGTAGAAGCTCCGCCTCTCAGACCCGTTCCTCTTCAGACCGCTTTTCTCACCCCCGCCGGATGACCCCCCAACGGCTCCCGCTTCACCCACTTTCCTTGGCAAGGATCCATAACTCCGGCCAAACTCTAGACTGCTGGACTTAGCCCTGTCCATGTCTGCACTGTCTGGGTTAGGTTCGATGCTGTTAGCTCCGTTGATGATGTTTAGGAGGTGGACTGCGGTCCAGGCAAAGGGCATACGATAGGCTCCGAGTTTATCGCAGTAGTAGCGAGCGTTGACCTTGGCTTTCTCTATGTGCTGTAGATTAGAGAGAAAGGAATAACAAGGATCAGTTACAGACTTCCTCAACAGAAAACTCATAGCATTCCTCAGACGCAGGTGATGCAGGCTTATGTTACGTGACGAATAAACCGCTGGTCAACATATGGTCCTACATTCAAATTGCTCCACTTGGATCACGGTTAAGACCATATAATTTAGACTCAAACTTTGATCGTGACTCAAAAACAAGCCACTCAGCCTTCAGACTTGAGTAAAAAATCTCAAGGCTCAAATTTCCACTCAACCATATGACTTTTTACTCAAAATGCAATACTCAACTACAAGACTCCTAAAGATGGGCAGACGACACCATTTGAAATGTCAAGTTAATTTTTTATCCCAGAATACACAAACTAACGAAAGAGATTTGAGTACGTGCTGCGACCACAAACCTCGAACATAGAAGAACCACATTTTGACTTAATTCTGACTCTGGTCTGAGGGTTCAGACTCTGTGCTGAAAACAATATAACCAAATACTGACTCATACAAGAAAACTCAACCATGGCACCAACCTTAGGATTATCCAGCTCTTTCATGTATGGCTCAGCGCTCTCCGAGATATCCCCTTGCTGTAAGACTTTCTCTAGCTTGATCACAAGGTAAACATAATCGGAGGGATAGGTGATAGAGAAGATGGCATTACGAGCCAAGGTGGATGGGTCCGGATAGCCTAGGTGAGTCTTGATCATTCCCTTCAAGGACTCGGTGTTCAGATCAAAGTAAAAATTCTCTGAAATCTAAACAAGTTGGACAAAGAAAACTGTCTTAAAAGACTGTAGCTACGAGATGGAAACAGTCAGGCTTTTTTGTGATATAATTTTAAAAGGGTTACGTGTTCAAACTTTTGCTTGTCATTCAGGAAAAGCAAAACCATTTTCTGTATAACCACTTTCTGCATTTCTATTAGGCAAACAACCCATTCTTTAGTGCCCGCTTGATAAGAAATTTGTCCTGAAATACTATACCATCAACATTTACTCTACCACTAAAGGACTCTGTGATCCTTCTGGAAAAACTCTTCATCGATTTTTCATTTTGAGTTACCTTTTTCTTTTCCCTGACATCGTAGAGTGCCATGGATGCGAAGATGGGCTCCACTTCAAGGTCCAATCTATGCAAAAAAGAAAGAAACACAAATTAAGGGCTAAGAAGGAAAGAAAACTCTTGAGCATTATCAGTTTCTCATAAATGTTATCAAATCAAGCACAATTCAGTTCCAGTAAATCATAAGACATCCAGTCTAGACTAGATTTACAGAGTACTCAAATGAACTTTGAGAAAGGTATTCCTGTGTTGTTCTTCAGCCGCTATTACCTAAGATGCAACTTGACTTACAACTGACTTGTCAGGATCTTCTCCGCAATCCAAGGTGCTCAAAACTATTACTTACTTGAGAGTAAGACACTTGACAAAGATGCGGTAGCCAAAATGTTCTCTGGGTACTTCAGCTGGCATGCGTCGTTCAATGGCCTCAGACTAAAGGGTAGAGAACATAAATAAACCAGAATCACAGCAATCGAATAACCCATAGTATAACTTTTCTTAAACCTCTACCTACCCCATATAACACAGCATCTGGGACTGGCAAAATTATTACAAACGCGCAGTGCATGGAAGGAGTGCTACAATTAACATTTTTTTAAATTGTACTGATATAGCCATTTGAAAACTTCCAAATGATATAGCCACTTAGAAAACACTAATAGTCCTGAATCCTGAAATTTTAATACGATTTTTCACACCCCTATGGAGTTGGGGTTCAGGTTGTAATTTTTAATTTCAAATCTTCACTCACCTCTTCCACGCTAGGATAAAGACAAAACAGATCTGGCTGTCGATACTGAGATCTGACATCCTCATTGATGCTATCCTGAGTGTCAACAGGCGTGTGCTCTAAAAGGCGTGGCAGTAGGGCGTCGCCCTCACTGTTCTTGAGATCAAAGATGCTGGAGGCCCAGCTGCCCCTGGGTGTGCTGTCAAGGTGGATGGAAGAGCGCTTCCCTGGCTATAAAATAAAAGCAAAGTCCCAGAAATGGTCAAGGGAGTTCTGGAAAACCATTTCTCAATTGTTTAGATTCTGTGACTAGCGTTTATGTAATTCAAGTTTAAGAAGCTTAAGAATTCAACAGGTTCTTTTTCTTGGCTCCAACAACATATTCAATCCATAAGAATTTGTTTCTTCCTTGTATCTGAAGAGATAATTTGTTATGATAATAGAACTAATGAAAAGGCAAGGAGAGTAATACCTGGAAAATAAAACAAACAAAAAAAGCATGAAATGTACATGCAAGAAATGTATAGGCATAACATTTGAAATGTAATCGGAAATCAAAATTGGAAGATAAAGTTTCAAGGCATGCAGTTAATAACTTAATTTGTACAAATAGGAAGGTTTTAGAAGTTTCATTATGTGGTCTGTAACAGCAATAAAAATCAATACTCCAACAAGTGCTTTCAGATACATGTAGAAGAGTAAAACAAAAAATAAAGAAGTTAGAAGTCATCTTCAATGTGACTTTTTCTCTGGCTTCCCTTGACATTATACGATGTAATGATGTATCCATTGTATCTTACAACTTTGAACATCAACATGACACTTCATTCTACTCCATAATGATAAACAGTTAGGCAAAGAAAAATGTAAGAATGATTAAACCGTCTTTAACAAGACCTGAGCAACAAAAAGTTACGAGCAGTAGCGGTTTATTGTTGTTTAGTTGACGATATCTGCAGATAATCTCACCCTTCGTTTTGGCAGATGGAACTTGGAGGGTAGAAGACTCTTCCAAATATCAGGATTCATGATCTCAAATCCCATATCCTCACCAATACTCTAGTGTTGGTTCAATACCAAGATTAACTTTGTATAAGTGAAATCATTAATCCCCAAAACTGCCCGAGAAGTCTATGCTTTTATGAATTCACCAGGGAATAAATACAACGTAACAAAATGCTGTGCCGCTGCTAATGTGTTAGCCTCAACAATCTCAACTACACTGAATCTTTAAAACTCTGCATTTTCATAGGCAGCAACTTGTTTCCACAAAGTACAATATCTAGAGCAACATTTCGTTTGTTCTACATGTAAGCTTAATACAAGAAGATCCTGCAGAAATATCCATCCCACTTAATCGTTTGAAAGGTAACGGTATTCTGATTACGAAATTTGAAATGGATAAACAGATAAAAAAAAATTAACACAAATCGCACTACGGACAAAATAATGTCAAGAGAACAATTTGCAAGCAAGGGCTGCAATGTCAGCAAAAACATGCCCAAGACTAAAGAAATTATTTTAGAAAAAATTAATTTATTAGATTTTTCCCTGGTTCCTACCTGAGGCACATCCTCCTCCAGTTCCTGTTCATCAACTTCAAACGTCTGTTGACTGGTGCCCAGCACAGCTTTTCTCAGATCCAGTTTTTTGCTGGGCTCAAGAGACACGCAGTCCTGATATTTGCGTTGGACGACAGCCCAGTCACAGGTGTAGGCTTGAAGACAGTCACGCACCTGGATGTTGCTGTCAGAGCTGGGGGAGGGGAGTGGGGAAGGGGGTCGGGGAAGGGGGGTGTTAGGGTAGATGAAATGAAGTTAGAGGTATACTCCAGGTATGTACTTTGAAGGTTGCTATAAGCTGGAAAAACTGCTTGGAGGTTCGATAAATACAGCACTTGGTCCACATTTTGTGGACCAAAGATCCAATCTCCCCCCAAAAAAACTGCTACAAAACTCACACAATACACTTCCGTGTACTTCCTAACTTGTAAGTGTACTTGACATGCTATCTATTCTATACTGAAAGCCCTCTTTAATGAAGAAGTTGCTTTGTAAAATAACATGCACAATGGTTGCTCCACTGAAGAGGGCCTTGTGAGCATGCGGTGATCACATGCTGCTCCCCCCCCCCCCCCCCCATTTCACCCAAATCTTACTCTGGTTCTGGTAGGGGTGGGTTGACGGTCCGACATTCTTTAGGCATTGACGCAACCACCAAGTCATCTTCAGGAAACTCCAGCAGATGACGTAAAGGGTCTCTGTTGTAAAGGGATCGATTGGCATCCAAGAATTCTTCAAAGTCCAAAGGGTCAACGACCTCTGATAACGGAACCTGAAACAAATACACACATTAGAGTGAAATTGTTTATCATGAAATGAAAATATCCTTATCTTCATGTATTTAAATCCAGCATAAGAAACAATACCGTGTTTGCTCATTCTTTCTATGTCCTTTTTTCAACAAAACTTGTATTCTAGGTTCCAAACCTGAGAGGTCAGATCTGTTTACTTTATGACTGTTTCTGACTGCCACAATACATATTGCTAGAAAGACATAGAAGGGACAGGTAATGTATAAAATAAAAACGAACCGTTCTTGAAAATACAAGTTTACAATATATACAAATCAGAGTTCATGTTACTGTTTGGCCAATGAGAGTGTACAAGGCTAGATTTAGGAATTAAGGTAGGACAACTTAACATGAAGGTTATGACTTTGTACACACCGCGCCTGTAGCTGCCGTTCCTATCCCGAGCCTTGGCAAATCCCGGCCTGAGTAGTGAGAGGAAACTTGACGACGAATATCAGCTGCCGGCTGACTCCTAAAGGGGAAGGAAACAAAAACTATTAGGAGAGTGGGAATAGGAGAGTGCTTCTTTGATAATAAGATAAAGACCCTAACCCAAGATATTAGCAGAGTTGGGAAGTCTCCAATAAAATGCAAGTCTCATAATTAAATTAGGCCTAATTATTATTCTAAATCCATTCAAAAAAAGAGATACATGTAGCCACAAATCTGCCAGGCTGGGAAATTCAAATAGGCCTAGTTGATAAAATGTGCATTGACAAGTGTTGTCAAGATGACGTCATCGCAAGGCATGTGACGAATTATTCTAAGCATTTTGAACAACCTTAACTGTATCAAGTACTCTAAAAAATGACTGCAAAAGGACAAACATAACATAAACATTTGTAAAATTAAATGCGAAAAAGCCCTATGTTCTGTTTGCAAACAGACATACAGCTCTAGTTTTATTTCATTTTATTTTATTTTATTTTTATTTTATGTTACTTTATTTTATTAATTTTATTTTATTTTATTTATTTGTTTATTTATTTATTTATCTAAAAATTAATGTGGCCTGACGTTGCGAACTTAGCAAGTTCTTCTTCAGAGGCTAAAACAGAAATGACCCTACTTTTTTTCATTTATTTATTTATTTACACTTATTGTAATTTTTAATTGTATTTTTAATTATATTTTGCATAACTGCTTAATTTTATAAATATTTTATTTAATGAATTTTATCCTAAATGTATTAATCACTGTTAATCCAATTAGTTTGGAGAGCCCCTCGACAGAAACTTGTTTCTTTTGGGTAATCCTGCGGGAGCTTTTTGGGTGTTGTTTTCTGTTATGTTTTCTGTTATGTTTACTACTCAGTGTTATTTGTACATGAAATTGTTTTGTCAGTGATTCACTGTTTGTAATATCCCGGAAAATGAAATAAATAAATAAATAAATGAAATAAAATCACTTTGTGAAAAGTAGCAATACCAATAGGCAGGGCTAAACCTTAAGTAAGCGGGTTGAGTTTTATGTATTTATGGGAAAGAATGTCGCAACCTGACGCCACTTTAGCAGTTGTGTACAAAGTCTATTTGGAGAGTCAAGAACATTTCTATTTCTAAGACTTATTTCCTTACAAAATTGGAAATGTTTCTCAGTCATTGTCACTTTTTGACAGTCCCAGCATGCCCAGATTCATGTCTTATCATCATGTTAACAATGACTGACCTTCATTGGCATGATATATGAATAAAAAAGTGGCGTCCGGTTGCAACATTCTTTTCTGTTTAGGTTCAGTTTTGCAGCAATCGACGGGTGAAATTTTTTTTTGACATGTCTGACTTGGCTTCCGGGTTTGAGTAATTTAACACAATATAACCAATAACTACGAACCAAAACCACATTTGATTACCACAGTTGGCTTAATAATCCTCATATCACGTACGTAAGGAACAATTTCAAGAAAAACTGACTGATTTAATACTTACTTATTCAATTTTTGGGCAAACGCCCGCTGTGCTCTCCCACCGGAGGCCGCCATTTTGTTTTGAACCGAATAATATGACAAATCCAGGCGATTCAAAATCGAGTAATCGATTAATGACTAATGTGAACAAACTAGACTTTGCTCAAGGCGTATTATACATGTACAGTATTGAAACGCTTAGGTGAGCGCATGAAAAGGAACAAAGCTGATTGGTTGCAATCAAAAGCTAGATGTGGCAGCCCGTTAATAATTATGTTTGTGGCCGATGAAACTGCAACATCATGCGGATCTAATCATTGAAAGATCACGAAAAAGAATCATCCTTTTTTACTCTGGGCCGACTAGCGCCCTCTATCGCGTATTGACAGCCAGTCCAAAATTTGACGAGTGTTGGGAGTTATTAAAGTGCGCCCTCAATTAAATAAAGATTTAGTTTTGTGGCCCCACAAACTCCCCTCCCCGTTGCTATTTAAAATTGTAGTTTGCAAATACACGCGTGCGTCCGACAGTCTTTTGTTTTGTACTTTGCGGCCATTCAGAACATCATCGAGCTCACGATGTATCGTTCGTGTACCTGTTTTCGAGGCATCAAGTTTTCGAGGTTTGACCTTGTAGCGACGCACATGCGCAGATTCGTACCACGCAACCAGTTGATTTGTTGTGTGTGCGGTACGTGTTCCACCGCCAGCCCAAAAATTGGGAAACCGAAGGCTATGTCGATATTTTTCTCTTGGTTGAAATAAATCCTTACAAATCCCTCGAAAACCGGTACATCGAGGATATGCATGTCAAACAACAAAATGAATGCAGAATTTCAGCCATAAACACTTAACAAAAATCTCAATGTTACTCTTCTTTCTTTTTTTAACCATGTACGTTTCTTTATTGTATTAAAATCATATCACCTGGATTTAGTATATTCAGCTGCACAGCATACACTAATTATTAAAGAAAAAACTCAGAAAACCAATGTTATCTTGTCTGTATTCACACCATTAGTTAATCGATATCTTAATAAAAACATGCAAAAGTCCATTGCATCAGTCGTTAATATTAACTCCCTAGCGATGCCACTGAAAATTGACGAACACGCGTAGATTTATGATTTTTCCTTTCCTGACAGTTTACATGCATTTCTAATCTTTACACCAAAATATCCTTCCTTTCTATATATTACGATTCAATTAATGTTAGTACCACTTGCACTCCACACGAACGCAAAACATGTGGTTATTGATTATATCATTGATAATTTGACACAACTCAAGAATACATTACTACTAAATATCCACTCCATTATCGAAGGTCTTATACAAATACAACTTCTAGTATCTATAAGATAATTACTTCTGTTCTTTAATATGCTTTTCCTAGCAACATCCACGTTTTGAGTATAATCATGATTAGGGTTTTCACAGATAACCATAGCATAGATAATTATGTCGGCATATTTTGAGAGTCAAAGAATCGTCACATCATTTAAAGGTGAGTGAACGACTCCAACTTTTCCAGTTAGCTTTCCTCAAAAAAATGTGTACGCCAAGGATTTTGGATCGGGCGAGCAGAAAATCATGACCCTTTACGTAGGCATTTATTGGCGTCACGGTTTAATAGCATCCAATCACAGCGCACTCATCGTGCGTGCGTATGGGCTCCGGGCACAAGTACCCCCTCACTCGGTAAGAAGGGGAGAGTTTGAGGAGACCGCTGGGAGAGACAATATAACGCATTGCTTACAACGCCTGACGCTCACGCGAAGACGCTATGGATTTTATGCACATTCAGAATACAAGAAGACGTGCGCACTTGGCGCCATGCGCGTGCGAACCACTACCAGTACCAGTACGCAAGAGCGATGTGTCCCGTCCACGGCCGGGCTCTCATAAAGTGGTCAAAAACGCCCTCTCGTTTGTGCACGGAGCCCATAAACTGTTACTTGAGAACGCTATAAAATCAGCCTGTACCCAGCGTCTCAGTTAATATTGTGAGGTGGTAAGCCTGGCCTAACTAGCAAATAGCAAGCGGACGTATAACCAGTGAGTTTAAATGTTGATGGAGGTATTTCAGCCGAGTTATATGACTCGGCCAATCATGTATGTGTCACTTCAGCTAAGTTGAATGAAGATAATGAGTAAAGTAGCCATAGTTCCCAGCAAGTAGAAGATCATGAACAAACGGTCGACCACCTGCGCAACCTGCTTCCATTCCCCACGGATAAAGTCAGAATGATCCAACCCATCGTAATGCTCCCGTACAACGCGCATGTGATCCATCATCCTGCGCAGAATGTCTATCTGCTGACGGCAGCACGCCCTCTCGGGGCCGTCTCTATGCAGGTTCCTATTGGTGTTTTGCATGGCCTGTAATGGCGACTCGTCACCAGGTGATTGGTGATTCTGATGCAGTGGTGTCGTCATGTCCATTATAGATGTTTCGCTTTCCTGCATTCTCATGAAGATTTTATGGTCTTTGCTCAGTCCTTTGTTTCTCTGGCTTCGTCTTGGCTGCAGCCGCAATATGGGAGCGAGTTTGTTGAGAAAGATTCGCCTCATCCAGACTGGAACAGGTCGACAAGTCGGACCTCGATGGTGAAGATTTAAGACGATGACTGTCAGCATAATGGAGATAGAGACCAGAAGCATTGTAGCTGCGTAGTACTGACCTAGAGGATGATTAATCAATACAAACAAAATAACGAATGTTTCATCAAATTAAAAAAACAAAAACATCAAACTTGAAAAGAACAAACTATCCAACAACAAACAGAACTTGGATGGAAACCGTCCTCTGTACAACTGATACTTCAGTTTACAATATTAAGCCATACGCCAAGAAGAAGTTATTTGGCGGTGCAGCGTATTATGTGCGAAAAAGTAGGGACAGAAAAAAATGTCAATACGTCCACTAGGTCTGACGTGTCACCTATAGTACGGCATATTAAGAGGTCAAAAAGATTTTTCTTCAGTTAAGACGAACGAATTTCAATTCACCTGAAATCGACCAGGGTAACTTAATCCACCTCAGGTATTTTATTTTATTATAATCTCAATTCCAGTTGCCTTCACCAGCCATATCTCATTGACGTAAAGCGATATTTAACAGACATGCTAAATGAGAAAGTAAGAGGTGTTCTGGCAAAGATCTGAATAGGTAGAAATGGAAAATCTGTTGTTTAACAGTTTATATCAAACCCAAACACCTAAATGTGTTCTTTCACCAAACAAAATTGAAAAAAAAAATGCTTAGTGCGCTTTAAACCAGGATAGTCGCTGACATAATGATATCTATTGCAAATCATCTACCGACGGCATTATGTCTCGCTGCATGTAATCTAGCCATAGGCAATATTATAGCCCACTATGGTTGCACCTTTGACGCGTATAATCATTTTTCACATCAACCAGATCCCAAACATAATTCATAATCCAACGCAGACACGCTTCGGGAACATAATTCCATAATTAGTCATGTCATCTTAATGAGGAATACTGGAGATGATTTAATTAAGGCGGAATGAGCGCTCGGCGAGGACGGATCAGGAATACACGACTGTTTGGACTGAGCGGAAACACGTTTAGCTTTGGGCGGGAAGTTCGTCTCATACCACGGCCGAAGTAATACCGCGTGTTGCGCGCGGGAATCCTAATTCATTACCAGCGCAGCCTGGGATTAACGAAGTCAATGCGCAGAGCAGTCAAGCTATATAATTGGTGACCATCGAAAACACAAGCAGCTTGTGTGTTTAAGGTTTAAACACCTTTGATGAGTTTTAAGTTCTTCACTTCTAAGGTAACTGTCACCTGGCCTATGCACGACGCACATTATTGAACTATGATCAACTTGTTCAGCACCAACTTGTCTGTATTTAAAAACTGTTTAAACACTGGTAGGTTTTTTGTCTCGCAACTTTTTGTACCCTCCAACACGGTTAAGCGAATTTTCTTCACTGTTTTGTCTCAAGGATAAAGCTTGGTTTATTTGTGTTAAAATTGACGAAATTACCTTCACAATGTCTTTGCCTCCTCATCATTAATTAAGAAATTAAGGTACAAATATTTTCAATGCACAAGAAGCAGCCTTAACAACAGATTCTTAAGATCAAGACAAAACATAATCACAGACGCCATAACTAATCTTTGAATAAAGCATGCGCAGTAAGACGCGTTCATCATGACGCGGTATGCGTGTGAATATCTGGGCGTGGCTTGGCAAAGTGACCGAACGAGCGTAAAATGTGCTTCCTCAAGGTCAACTCAAACCAGTTATATCCATGATTCCCCATACAAAAATCATTCAACTGTTGGACATTAATATTCTTTTAGCCCCAAACCAAGGGTTAATGAAAAAAACCCTCACCAGATTGAATTACAGAAAGTCTAACTATATTTTTGAAAGTAATAAAATGTAATCTCAATAATCCTGAACCGTACGCAATTCTTAATAGGGCTATTTCATAATAAATTACATACGATCTTCGCAACTGCCACTAGTGATTAATAAGACTGATTTTCAAGCGCTGTCATTTTAATTCAGCCCAGTTTCTCTAAGATGTGAAATGGGCCCATGGCTGAAACAAAAATAGCAAAGCGTCTTCGGATATGGGTTACACAAATATTGCTTACAGAGAAATCCATTTCATTAACGTGTTTAGACTTATACCCTTTGGTGACTTGTAATTCATTCTTGCCTGTTCATAATACCTGTCCATCCCACTGAGCCGCTGTACACTGTATGTACTTCATAATCACACTGAAGGGCAAAACAGCATTATAATCGATCATGGTACCAAGTCACGTAGGCCTACATGTACTTCATGACGGGAAGTGCACGACCCATGTATATAAAATTAATCGGCATTGGCACTATTTTATTTCTTTAAAGCGGAAATTAAATAATCGATTCCAAAAGGTAACCTCCGCTGTTTGTAACATGGAAGTTGTTAAAGTGACCAAAGACTGCCGGTGCATTACTCGTCGCGATGTCCAATCAACGAATTCTCATAATTCCTTTGAATTTTTAGTACGTTTTAAATTAATTGGTAAGCTTAATTGAATTTCTGATTTCCAAGCTAAATATTTAGACAACCTGGCGTGGTGATTTCAATAATTGATTTCAGACGTTAAATATTTGAGATTTCAATGGGGAGTGATGAAGGAATGAACCTACCAATGACAGGTACGTGGCTAGACGGGGGCATTGACTCGGCAATGAGGAGGAGAAATACAGTCAGAGATAGCAGAACAGTTATACCAAGGCTGACCTGAAGATGCAACAACAAAAATGTAAAATTAATTAATCAATGTCTTAGCAATTAACGACAGAGAATGGTACCTATCAGTGTTATCAGAATCTTATGCTCTAGATATTCACTAGGCCACTAGGTTGATCTGAAGGTATTTTTGAAAAGTAACTGTTTAGGGCGCCTATTTTATTCAGGAAAAACGAATTCAGAAAATGTTTCAAAAGGAAAAGCAACCTTTTCTCCCGAGTCAGCTGGTAGGACGAACCCCAGGATAGTGATTCCAGCGACGAGAACACACGGCAGGACGAGATTGAAGACATAGTACATCGATCGACGCTTAAAATGCATGGTGTAGACGATGTCGGTGTAGGGTATACCAGGCGCGTCTGGGTAGTAATTCACGTCTTGTCTCACGTCTAGGCCTTTCATGTCCCATTCACCATCACTCATGAAGACCGAGGTATCACCTTTAAAAAAAACCCATAAAAGCAAATATTGTTTTTGAGTGCCGTGGACTGACGGTGTGGTACGTCGAACTTAAAAGGTGTATTTCTGAGTTCAGCCTGTTGAATTGCGAAAATAGCCTGTAATGTCCATGGGCAAGATATTTTACCTTAACTTATAGGAGTACAGCAATGGATGCCTACTTGTCAAGGGAAATAAGATGTCGGCCTGCAGCTGTTAACAAAATTATTTGTGTACAATGTGGCAAAAGTCTACGAATTAAACTTCTCACACTTTGTATTGTGTAAGTCAGTTTGATTTTTTTCAATTTATGGTTGACCACCGTTTCTAACTAATCATTGTATTAACGGATTATAGGTCGTATGTATTTTATTGGTGCCAGGAAGCTAATCTTACCTGTGCCAGTCAGATTGACTTCCGTCCCGTCATACTGCCAAGGACCAAACTTAAGCTCACAACTTTGCTTATCGAAGGGAAATTGAGTGACATCGATGTTACAATGAGACTTCAAGATGACAGGAGAAGCCCAGTTGATGAGACCGTTATTATAGATGATGCATATTTTCTTGGTCAGGTAGGGAACGTAGTTATCGGCAGCGCTGGAAAGAAAAAAATTGATTTAGACAAGATTGGTTGTTAAGTTTCGCTGACAGCAGCAATACCAAACAGCCCCGTAGCAGCAGCGACAAGAACTGCAAAACAGCTGAAATTCCTAATTACATCAGAAGACTTTGTGAGATTAGCGCTATAGCAGCGGGCAGAGATATAGCTGCAGCAAAAAATACCGACCAAGTCAACATATAAAAGGGGGGAGGCAGAATAACATTGACAGACTTGTCAATTGCAGCTGAACCACAAACAACAGCAAACGAATAATCGTCCAGTATGCATCTGCATTATGGCATTATAAGCTTCATCAACATTAGAAACAACAGCAGCATGCATTAAAGGCAGCAGCAGCAGCAGCAGCAGTGCAGCACATTAAGTCTGGCAACACTGTGACATTCTAAGCCAAAGCATCAGAATTTCACAGCACCAGCAACAGCACCAGCAACGGCAGTAAAAAAAATGTTTTATGTCAGCTTAATCAAATTATATCTACAATAATAAGCTATTGAAGATTTACCTTTAAGCAATCATACTCGAAATTCTCTCATTTTCAATCACAACAATTTCACTAGGATCGGATCCTTCATCACGTGATCATTGAGTAGATTGATGACCTAGTTAATTAAAATACCCATCAGATCATATGTCTTGCCTACGTTCATGCATTGCTAACGATCGAACGAAGAAGTTGATTTTACTTTGAAGGTCATGTGCACTTTGATAATAATGGAATCAACCCGTGATGACAGAATGGCCTACTGCCGCCACGAAGACTGATTCATCTTCAGCAGTGAGTTTCACCCTAGGCCTTCCTGAGGCAAATTATACACGGTGCTGCTAGTTCGCTAACCACAGAAAATATTTGCCCAATTGCAAAACGAAAGTCACTGGTCCAAATGCATGCGATGTATTATGTTTATGATTTGTTCTTAGCCTGCTTTGCTTAGCGCATACAGCACTTTCCGCTTAGCATGTTTCTGTAATACTCACCAGTTATACAGCGTAATATCAGGCATCCAAAGCAGATCCGAAGCGACTTTCAGTTTGGTAACATTTCCCCATTCCTCGGGATCCCACTGAATGAATTCATCCTTCCACACCTTTCAAAACAGAATGAATGATTGCACTGATAAACGCTTTATAAAACAAACAAATTAAACCCTTATAATGTCGAATGATTTATTGTTATTGCTTTGAGTTTATTTTCATATCAATGCAAATCTGTGACGAAGTATGGATGAGACTCCAAATGGTTGCATTTCAAAATAAATATTATCTGTTGAGTGAAATATAACTGCATAAATGAACGTGAGCGCATTATATCAAAACATGTCAAAAAGGTAATACGACGTACGTAAATCAAATACAATATATTTCTATGCATTTCGGTAAATATAGTTAAAAGAACGAACATATTGATTGTTTATTAATTGTGCAATTAAACACAAGAACTCACATATGTCAACCACATGTTGGTAGTCAGCGTCTGTTGTCTTTCGTCCTATCAGATAGAAAAATGAATTAATTTTTGACAAATGTTATCCTTAAATAAACAAGCCTACGCCTCCTCCCCATGAATTTACTCCAAACTATAAATTTTAAGCTAAAACAACCTTCATAATTCGTTTAATGAATCGTACCAATATTTTTTTTTCAAGTTTGGGCTTTTAACAAATTAAAATCTACCAAATAAAGTCAACACAGATTGATTTGTGCACATATTTATATATGTCAATATTTCTCTCCCCCCCCCCTCAAAATCACAATTTGGTGCTTTTTCTTTGGAAGAATTTATGAATTGTATACACACCATATCAAGAACCTGTGCGACGTACAGCAGCATCTGCACGTTGGTAACCGTGTGAACATTGAGAACTGGACGAACATTGCGATTATACCCCTCATCATCGAAAAACTTCTTGAAAAGTTTCTTACTGTAAACTGACCCAGTTGTTCCATAGCAACCTGAAGAGAAAAAGATAGGAGAAAACGAGGAAATTACATACTTTCCCTGATAATAAGAAACCTCATTAATACTAACTAGATTACGTCAGTCGCAGACTCATGCATCTTTATCAGACGATGATGAATTGTGTTGACGTCAGCGATACAGACTGAAAGTGATTTCTCATTCATGTCAAAAACAACCTCATCGATTCTGACTAGACATAAGATAGAGTCCATTCGCGTATCGTGAGACCTATAGAATCAAACCAATCTACTCATGAAAAGCAAAGAGATATCATTTCAGGAATCCGGCTTCTCTGAGTTAATCGCACCTGAAAAAGAACGCTAAAATAACAGCCTGGAATGTTGTCAGGCAGATTGAAATACGCCCTAAGGCAGTGATTTTTCTCATTTTGCAATGGTCATCGTCCATGAACGCCTACTTCGGGTCAAAAGGCTTCGTTGTTATTACGAAAAGCAAAGTGCTTACACGAAAAGCAACGTAACATACACCAATATCATTTCTACTTGTACAACTAAAGAATAATCATTACAAGGCTCAACAAATGACATTTTCAAACACTATAATACGAAAAAGGACGTTTATTTATAAAACGAGAAGATTTGTAGGCGGTAAGTCTGTGATGAAATGACATCTTTGGTCACGTTCTGAAGACCCGTATTAGGTCACCAAGGACCTACGCCTACAATTTTAAAAGTGATGAAACATGGTCTCTCTCTACTTGGCCAGCCATGATTGGAATGACAGTCCAAACAAGTCGACTATCAGATGGTCGTATTGTAGCCTAGGGATAGAGGTAGATCCTACTGACACGATTTCATCCATGACATGTCTTAAGTCCTATCAAAAATAACAAACCATTTAAGGCGCAGATGCCAAGTGAATTTTTGACGAAGTAGGTTTCGTTTAGTTCAGGGATCAATTTTAAAGGCCTGAGTTTAGACATATTGGAATGGTTTCATTTTTTGCAGAATTCCAGACCATCGAGATTTATGCCCTTGCGCCACTCTGACCAGGACTGCCCCGCAAATTCACCTAGAAATCACATCGGAAGTATATTTGCATCATTAATTCGGAAGCCGATAAGTCCGCATTTCAACTGCCAGGATTTGTATATACATGTAGTTTTTTTTCTGAAAGGTGTGCATACAGGTTACATTTTGTTGTCTGAAAAAAAACTAGACAAATATATTAGAGATAGTTCATAAGCATCGTCTTCAACACAATAACGATTTCGGCAGTCCATTTTCCATTACATAAACCCCAAAGCATACTTCCCAAATTAATATGTATGAAGACTGATAGTCCAGGGTGACGACTTAAAACTCCCCTGGGACCAAGTCCGAGCATCGTCCGAGAATCCGGAATTTAATTGCGAGCGTGTACAACACCTGAGGTGCGTATTGTGCCTCCCTGTGTAGATTATAATGCGATACATTCACTTACTGCGTTCACACACGAAATAGCTACTTCCGAGATCGATACCAAACTGAAGCAATACTTTGTATTTACTAGGACCGTACAAATTGAATTCTTACAACTTTCATTATCTTTAGGCTACTTTTTTAAAGCCTACACCGACACACATACACCATGAGGCTGTTTTATAAATTTATCCGCCAAATATACGAGAAAAGAACGCTTGTGTCTTCGAGCTACCAAATGCCAAAAAAATCGAAACAAGTTGACGAGGCTAGAATCGGAGCCTTGTCTGTGCCGCCGTTACGTGAGGTGATATCATTGTGGGTAGGTAGACGAGGTGTGTCAAGGTTTGGATCGGGCAAATATTGCAGGTGATGCCTCGTGGTGCAATTTACATGGATTCGTCTAAGGCGATTAAAATACCAAAGCCAGAATGTTGAAGGAATATAACAAATTATACTTCAAAGTTGTTCAGCCTGCACCTAAAAATAACCTCTGTCAACATGAGGATATCAGCCTTATGGACGAACCAATTGAGAAATTGGCTTCGTTCGCTTAAAGAGTACCAATGAAGTGGCGTTCATATAGTTTAAAAAGAGCATCAAATTTGCACCATTGTGATAAGATATGAATAGCGGCGTTAATCATGACGACACGAGGCAAGTCAATGTTTTCATTTCGCAGGCAATGTTATTAGATAAGTGACGATTGCCGCAGTCACAAATCGAATTCACCTTAAGAAAAGCAGGTGTCGTCGTGCTGCACAAAATGACTGTAAAGATCGATCTAGATAACTAACTATATTAAATTCCCTAATGGTCATATTGATCATTACAGCAAATTCTACTAGTAGATAATGAAAAATAAAATTTCGACATAATTCCAAGTTAGCTACTTCAAAGATAAGGTAAATGACGCCTATTGTTCTTAACAAAATACAAGTTGATTCAAAGATAAGTATAAATGTTGACAACTAGAACGCTTTAGACTATTAATAAACAAAAAAAGAAACATTTTTTCAGACAGGTACGTGTCAACGAGAGTCGGTTAGAAATATCCATTTTACCTATTGTCTTAATTACATAGTAATTTACGAACACTATTCTATTTTCAGATCAAAACATTTTCAGATTTACATCTTTTTAATTTATTTTCAGACTTCAGTGATCACTTACCTCAAAGGACACAATGTTTAACTCAATCTATTAAAAAAGAGCCACCAACAGTGTTATGCTTTAATAATATTTACATATATTTCAGAAGATTTATGAAGGAGCTGTCAACTACAACTTCATTTTGCCTAATTGAATTTTCCCATTACCAGATTCACTCAGCAGAAAACTCACTATGTGCCCGAAACACCCCGAAGCAATTCACACCAATACATCTTGTCAATAAAGGTTAGCAGTAGAAATGATTGATTCCTTACGCATCCATGCAAAACGAACACGATTACTGCAATCCATTGGCCAAATTGAATGACTTACAACATTTCATGTCATGTTGAATTCCCCTAAATCTGCCGTAGATAATTGGACATTAATGTCTGGATTTTTAATATTTTAGTATTTTGAATGAAATAATCGTCACGTTGTGGACATATTTTGTCAATAGAATCGGCTTGAAAAAGAAATAGAAGCTGTCAACAACTATCCCCATAACCAATGCACATAATATTTTTACTGTTAGAATTACTAAAAATAAAAATTACGAAAAACGCATTCGCAAAAACATAGTGGAAGCTATAATCATGAGTGAACGCAGACATTCTTGTATTTATTAAGTTGATCACCACAATGATTCCTCTTAGTGTACTCTTTTCGATTTTGATCTTTTTGCTTCATTGCTTGAGTAGTTAGCCCAATAATCACGTGTAGCCATAGGCCTAGGCCTATATATCATTAAGAACGAACTCGAAGCAAATGGGCTCGGTTACTCCTTCAAGTGTTTTCGTGCATTTCAAGTACACTCTTGTCTTAGTCATCCAATACCTGGAAAACTCAGGCCATTTCAGATGCGTTTGACCAAGATTTTAAGACTGGACTTCCGTAATGGAAAAAATGTGAAGTCAGCAAAAAGTTCCGATAATAAAATCGCTCTATTTTTTTTTTTATCCTGAAATGGTAAATTGCAAAGAAACAATCAAAACAATCGTGAAGACTACATTATGGCTACAACGAAATCTTACAAACAAATGCGTAAATTTGGGTTTTCTTTAAGCATAAATGGAAAAAAAGGAATAAAAACCAAAACATTACCTGTAAATTGAAGGTAGATAAATGCAGAAATCACCACAGCAACATTCGTCAACAGTTTCTCCATTTCGATAAACCCGTAGCAAGTAATTCGTTTTTCACACCAAAACCGACCTCTAATCAAATTGAAGCTCCTTCACCCGGCCACAATTTGTCCGATGAGACGCGTTTTACATTATTCAACAGCGGCGAAGATTGTGATCCACTTTCCAAAACATCCATCTATTAGAGCTCCGCTTTTAAAGTAAACCATGAAGATATCAGATTTTGGTATACAACTATACCACTTTGATCCTTAGTGTCACCGCACTATGGTAAGACGTACGGAAATCTGGTCTTGCGTTTAAAGTTCTTTGGATGATGCTTAACTGAAGACTCGTCATTAGCGCACTAAGGCAGCTTACCCAAGGTTCATTTCCACCGATGTCCGCTCATTCACATAGATGAGGCAAACTCTATGCGAAGGCGCGGCGCAAGCATCAAGCTTTCAGCTGCATGACCGATTTTGCCTCCAGTCCGACGGCTGTTCCTAGTCGTTTCTTTAACGAGGCAGGTTGGAATCGTTCAAGTTAAATCATCCCAGTCCATTAATTAAAATGAAAATAGTTGGGGAAAAAACATTTGTCATCCGAAGTATAACGATTAAAGGGAATATACAACATTTGCAAACATCGAAAAATAAAACTACCAAGTTTTTGCGAAATACCTTAATAGGATGTTGGTAAATGACAGTCTAAAGCATCCTGTAAAATTATGGCACCTGGTATACTGTCATTTTCAAGAAAAGTGGTATTTTTGTATCAATTTCCAACGCTGATCGGCCGATCAGCGTTGGAAACAACTGGCTTTTTTTTCAAATACTGGCCCCAATTGACCATTGCACTTGTTTGCAATCGATTACAAACCTATGAACGGGTACGAGCCAGCTAGACTGGTTCCCTGACCTTACAATTCCCCAATATATGTAAACTGCTCTGTTTCTTCTTATATGGAGTCAGGGGACCAGACTACAGGAAAATGATCGTTTTTCTTGGTTTTTATAGCATTTTCGAACCCAAACCTCCAAAAAGTCAGTGTAACTATATTTGCTTTATATTTCCAACCCCCCAATTCCATCCATTTCTGAAAATTACAGCAAAAGCAAATGATGTATATTCCCTTTAAGTAAAATCTGACAGAGGAATCATTGTAAACACATTTTGGCCTGTACAACAACGACAAAATGACTTTTAAAGGGCAATGTTCGTATGGAAACTAAGTCTTGTTTCTGGGAAATTCGGTAAAGGTCACCATAAACACTGACAATCTGGGAGTAATCACAAGAGTGTATTTATGTGGAATTACTCATGCAGCTCAAACAGCGTCATTTAAGACAGCAAAGAGATATGCAGGATTCTATGGCGTCATCAATTGGTTCACTGCCGGCAGCTATGGTGCGTGATGTATAACGCATTTCATAAATGGCGCCAAAACTCCCTACCGCATTCAATTTACAAAATAATACAATAACTCAAATTGCTGACGTGCTTTCTTTCTTTTTTCTTTGTAGTTGTAAGAAATTGAGATCCATGTAATTGTGGATGATGAATTTTGCAAAATGTTTATGAGCATCGTTCGTATATAATTTTGTTTCGACAACTAACGTAACGAATCTGACTATTTTTGACGAGTTAAGCCGATGTCAAGCGCTAAGTGGGTCAGGAAGATGACATAATGACGGATGTAGGCTGGCTGCCTGGCTCCACTAATTAAACGGTCGTGTTGCTTCCAGGCAAAAAAATAACCCCCGTTAAATGATCTACCTAAATCATGTATAAACTGCACTTAAAATAGGTCTGGGTTATGTCAAAAAGTGAAGAGGGTTTTATTTAACCCACGACACGAACCACGACGTCGGTACATGAATGTTCCACGAGAATTTAATTTCAGGTATCAGGACTTGGTATGAACACATTCACGCATGAGGGGAATGCAAAATTTCTCAATTTTGGTGCGTATAGGCTAATTGTAACCAAGTCAAATAAGCATAGTTATTATGGTCTATGCAGGAATCACAGGTGAACAGGTTTGTGTATCACTCACACAAACAAATAAGTTTATTTAAAAAGTCAAAATGAAGTGGGTTGATCAAACATAATTCTGGTTTTGTTAATTATGAACATCATCACGAAATACGCTTAAGGCAGCTGCATCACATCGTGTTGTTGACTCATAATAGAAGCCCCGCAATGCACAGAACGGAAACTAGTCCAATACATTCATGACGATGTGTATTCGAGACACATTAGCAATTCCAATTGCTGCCAAACCTTCTGTTTTGAACCAGATCAAATGTCTACTTCACTTCGTCTTTCCTGAGAGTCGATGACTACTCAAAGCAGTCCTCCAAAGAACAGCGAAACGGAGCTTCAGGCCAGCTACCAAGTAGAACTACCTGCAGTAATCGTAAATGATTAAAATCGCAATGCACGCGGTGCCTTAATGCAAGCAGTTGCAGAACACCTTTAAAAGTACACTACTGTTTGACTGTAAGAATGATATATTTCGGCAAGACTTTTCTGCTGGTTAAGTTTTCAATGTCCAAATCTGACCAAAGCATTGTACCTATAGCAGCAGCTCGATTGTCATCTTCTGTTCGGCCTTTTTTCCTCTGCAAAAATTTGTCCTGAAAATCATTCGCGGATCATGGCAACCTGCACGACTAATTTTGGCATGTTTATAGGCCTTCTTTTTTTTTTAAATCAAAATATGTCAAGATAAAAACTATTCTTCAATCTACCATGTGTCAACATTTTACAGCAAATCGAAATCTTTGGTAGGGAAACTGAACTCTTTACAGACGAGAATTTATTTAAGAATAAAAATTGTAGTGGGTCTATGAATCTTGACAATACAAGACCTTTACCAAGACAATTCACTAATTTGGAGAACGACGAAACAAATCGATTTCACAGCATCTCCCTTCAATGAGATGTGTCATTTTGATGTCACGTTCGCACGAAAAAGAGAAAGGTAATCAATGGTTCTTTAGAAAGTGTCGGCACAAATTAGAGGAAAAGACGGCCGAGTTGGACACGCACACCTGCCGAGTGGCTAGGAGCAGATTGGATTGAAACCTTGGCTCAGAACTGTATAAGAAACCTCGGCTGAAAACTAGGCTAGAAACAGGCCGCCAATCCCTGTCATCTAAAGAAAGACTAAAACAACCTCATGAACTCGACATGGAGGCAGAATGTGTAAACTAATGAGAAAAGGCCTACTGCAAACATGACGAGGGTGAAATGCACAAGAAAAAAATCGGAGTGGCACTTTCCTATAATTGATTCTACGGCAGACTTCTGCTGCACGTCCCTTTTTCTGAAAGGCTGTTGTAACAATAATTGAATGCAAATAACCAACGTAGGCCTTTACCTTTTACATCTGTGAGGGCTGGAAACTGCAGGGGAAATTACTCGGCAACGCAATGATTTACGGATGTGAGATTAGGCCTAAACATGTTCGCTTCGAGGCCAAATTCTGGTAAAACGGAAAGTGCTTTCCATTTTCCCTCCACCGAGATTCTTTGATTCTGTGACAGCAGCGTGGAAAGAAGTAGCAACAGCAACACCGAACCAGCAAAAGCGCAACATTAACAGCAGCAACTTATAAACCGCGCGTCATTATTGGAGGTAGGCGCGCATTACGGTAACCCTATTGGTCGACGGAGCGTCGAGTGCGCGTCTATACGTGCACGCGAGCGTGGTACCACCTGTCAATGTTTTCTAGGCATTGGCTTGTGTTAATGTCACGAGGTTCTTCAGCAACACAACTTCACTTTTTGGCGCAATGATAAATAATGCATTGCATGTAATTCTTCCATGCACCTGCGGGTGCACTTCACAGCTGCGTGCACGTGTCCAGACTCATGGGCCGAGTTTTTAATTGAACTTTACATTATTAATATTATACACCATAATTATGAACCACCAAAAACTCCTATCTTTCCCTTTTAATTGCAGCTTATGCCTAATTTAGGCAGATGTTCATCAGCCAGTAACTATTTCATTAGTAGGCCTACTACGCTATGAGGACTACTGCTGTCTGCTTGTAACCAAAAACGGCACTTCAATCTCAGAAGGGTTTGAGGTCGAGCTATATAGGGTGACCTTCTGAAGGAAGAATTCTCAGACTACAATCCTTGACTACTATACTTTCACGAACCTCATTTCGTTAATTTGTGTACTTTGACCAATGATTGAACACACTTTTCAAATACATGTTGTGTACGTGTTGAAGGATTTAGTTGGAATCGGATATCAGGCAAAGTAATTGAAAAAAAACTGCGGTAAGATTGTGATTTTTTGATAATCATAAAACTATGAGTTTGCCTGATTAAATGGGTGAATTTGTTTGAAGGAATTAGTCGTAACATTTTCAAATGGACATAGGTTCTCTACGCCGTAAATTGGGCTGACGGATGTGACGTCATCGTCTACAATTTGAAATGACAACCAAATAGGCCAAAACCAAACGAAATTTAATTGTAAATGGAAATAATTTACACGAAATGGAAATTAGGAGCTACGATGACCTTCAAAAAAGTAGATAAAATTGCAAATACGACTTAAGATAGCACATCAGTTACTGAGTTTTCACATCACATAAATTCATTAGCGTGCACGCGGGACAAAAATAGCCGCTGGTTGACTCGGGCCTAAATGGCCACTTAATATGCAGCATCAGCGCGATGGTCAAACTCGACCCCGATAACGACTGTATTCCTGTTTCTTAATAGCCCCAGACAAGGCCGATATCGATTTATAATTCAAGATGAAATAGATATGGACCCCAGAGACCATCTCAGCTTGCATCTTAACGGGGAGGACCTGTCTAATGATGAGTTATGAATGATGATGTTGGTTAGTAACCCGGAGGAACTTTGAGGAGGAAACAGGTGGGAAGGGAGGGGTGTCATAAGGAAGATGGTATCGCTTTTATCATAGATATTGTCACTTCCTTTGAAAAGAAATATGGAAATAAGGAAATTTGACACTCGGTATAAAGTTCGGCAAAGCTTGAAAAGTGTAATTCAATGCGATGACATGAAACACAAGATTCAGCAAATGTTAAATAATGAAATGATCTTTTGGCTCGTTACTCGGCCTTTTTTTTTTTGGTGGGTATTTCATTTCATCCAAAGTACATTTTTGTACATTTTTTTTTTAGACAATTACATGTATATTGACCCTATTTGTTGTCATTAGGCCTAAGTAAGAAAGAATAACTTTCACTGACCCCCAACTCATTCCAAAGTACTCGCTATTTAGTACTTGCACCAAGGATTTATTGCCAGCATTTCTTCTTAAATCAAAGTAAGACGAGAGTCTCCTGCTTTGACATATGGTATTTGCACTGATTCTAATGGTTGTATGTAAAAGCTTATCTCGCCACGGAAAACCAAATCACAAAAGGCAAATCCTTGGACATAACTGAAATTTGATCATCACGGAATGTAAAAATTAGCATACATGAATTTCCCGAATAAACAGTCAAATGTTCTAGTATTTTTTTCAGGTAGAGTAGATAATTTGCAGCTATCAAAAAAGTAACTATTAATTCTTTCCACATCCAGGACTCTGATTTCGGGCACAATTCAAAACGTGACTTGGTAACTTTTCAATTGAAACCGAGATCCTATATAGAATACTGTTTTTCTCGGAATGTTGCGGTGGCTGGTTTTCGCCAATTGACAGTATTCCTAGAGCTAAAACTTCGTCAGATTATATAGTTGTTCAGCACCCGTCTTTATATTTTGAGCACTTGTGCTGCTTCAAACGACCAAAAAAATGCACAAATGAGCAATGATGTACTCAGCCTTTAATTCAGTGGAAAATATGCGCATTTGCATTAACATACCTACCAGTGAGAAATGACTAGTGTCCGAACATCAATGTTTGTCATTTTCTGACTTGCTCTCGATAAATGATAAACTACAGAGCAAGTCACACGTGAAATTGCCATCATGAGCATCATGGAATTCTAATGCATTCTCTTACGGTATATGACCTTTTAAAATGACACAAACAAATGTTTTCAGGCACGACTTCAAAGCAAAATGTTAGGTTCATGGTACCCTAGACGTCAATGCAGCTGCTTAAATCGTCGAACGAACGAGTTATGTTTTCTTTACCGAGCCGGCAGGCCGGCAGTGCGCCTGAAATTTCTAACAATCTCCCCGTACAGCCTGTCTCGCAGTCTCGGCTAACAAAAGCAGTTGAAATTGGAACTGCGTTCTAAGCCATTCTGGGGGTAAGCGAGCGGTAATATCGGAATGTGTTGACACAAGGTGAAGTACGGGAAAACATCTAGCATACACCTGCGTGTCTGTCTGAATACAAGATCTAGGTTCATTACTTGCCGACTTCAAAAATATAAGGATTAGAGAAGCTAGCATGTCGGGGCCGGAAGTAGGGCAAGGGATAAAGAATATTATACAACATTAGGATTCGACTATCAATCAAAAATGCATTATAAACAGATCAGAGTTGATTACTGTAAAATAAATTGCCACTTGCTGTAGACATTTAAAACAGATCTAAATGACAAATTCTGAAAGCATATTCAATATCTTTTTTATATTTATTCACACACTACTAAATCTCACAGAATGTCTTTCTTTTGTCGCTGTATGTTAAAATTTAAATCTAAACCCACAAATTAAAGAAATCTTACATCAGATTTATACATAACCGTGTTTTGGTACACGTGTACAAATTGCCTACAAAACAGAATATGTTAATGCACATTTGTTTTCAAAGAATGCAAAAAAAGGGCCAATGTTTACATCTAACATATTCGTCAAGGAAACAATGTCTGGCCATTCATCTGACCAAAGTATTTTCATCCGTAAATCCACTGACAATGGCCAACAGAAATCAAGATTATCTTGTTTTTATAAACACACATTTACAATATGAATAGTATGTACATCATTATCTGTAAAGCAAAAACATGACTTGAATGGACTGTACAACAAAAGCCATGTGCTACTGAGTGACACATCAAATTAATCGTACAGAATTAGACATTTCGCCATGCTAACCTTTCGAACATGTGAAAGTTATCAGAGCGTATGATTGTCAGGGGGGAATTCCTCGTTAGCCTCATTTATTGGACTTATAAATCATCCTCAGTATTTAGAGTGCACTACGTACATTAATGATAATGTGCATATTGCTTTCACATAGTCAATGTGCTCTGAGTTCCAACATTATAATGTGAGCGACTATGAAGCTTACTGCCATATATGTTAACATGTACTTGCAACCAATAAAAGATAAAACTCTTTTGATTATATTTCTATTCATTTTGATGTTATTTTAAATACAGATCCAAAATCACTCTTTGAATCTTTAATTTTTTAACTGAATACTAAGGTGGTCAATAGGGAACATAAAAATAATATAAATATCAAGGTGATTATTTCACAAGGTGTTTGTGATGCATCTTCTGTATCGTGGCCTTTAGGGGACACCGTTAACGTTGAACTCCACGCGCGAGACTTTCCTGCACCAACTTGTTGTACTCGTTGATCTGGGTCTTAACAGCTGCCACTAGAGGGCGGTAGTCACTTTCCATGCTCTTAGCCGCGATAACTGACAAATTACAAAATGGTCAAGGAAGCATAACCCACAAGATATATCATTAATTTGTATATGGTTTAACTTCCAGGGTAATTTTTATCTATTTTATATATATTCTTTGATTGGAAAATTGTCAATTATTCTGCATTAAATTCACATTTAAGATTGTTAGCAAATACCTTTACTTTCAATGCACAGTAATTACAAAAACATCACTAAGTTTATATACATCCAACAAACAAACAGCACAACAAAACCAAATGACTTTGTCAAAAAGGATACATTCTTTCATGACGAAGTTGTTCTGCTCATGATGCTGCCACTTCCGTTCCAAGTTCCCAAGCTGGGCGTACGTCTCGTTCTCATTCAGTTGAGTTTTTGTTGCTTCGTAGTGAGCGGAAAGCTCTTGCACAGCTGAGTGTTACAGAAAATTCAAAAACAAGAAACTCAGGTCATCAAGAACAAACCCAATAAAGTCAATTAAAACATAAGATTACATGTGCATATAAAGAATTGATTGAATTCAACCTTGTGCACAATGTGTCAAATGTTTAAAAGTCCGACACTAATGAGACTAACTTGTTAATTATCCATCGGGTGGATAATGAGGTTTGCTAAACAAAAACCAGGCATCAAGCTCTAATGGACTCTATGCATGATTCATAGAGGGCGCTATTTGTAGCCTCACCTTTTTTGAAAGTGTCTCTCCTGGTAGTAAGTGTCACTTTTTCTTCTTGCAACTTCTATTAAACAAGGAAGGGAAAGAATTTGAGTGCAAGTTTAATGAAATGCAGTAAGTTTAATGAAATGCTCCATTTCCAATTTTCTAATTTTGAGCGAAAGAACTCTTCGGGGCACTAAACACGAATATAGTCTTATGTGTTGTCAGTCCTCATAAGTCATCACAAGTCCATCTACAGTCATCAAGACACAACTCTAGCAACAAGTTATTCAAATTAAATTTGATAAAGGCATTCTTTTGTTATTGTTCATTTCTGTTAAGTTGTGGTTTACTTGCAATCTAAATTTTCACTTTGTGTTATGGGGCTCGTCCAATGACGGCCATCTCTGTAGGAGAACTGCAACTGCGTATTTTACGTAATCAAGCACGTATTGCGCAGTGTTGAAATGCTCCAAACACGTGTGCTTGTTGCTCAAAATGTGTTCAAAATACGATGCAGCCGATGCGCTTTATGCAAGTTGACACTCAAAATGCCAATGCACGTGGATGGTCTGTAGGAAATGACGTCACTTGAGCGAGACCTATTCAAACATCCATTCAATCGCACCTGCTTTCTCTTGTCCGATTCCCCTCGTAGTTTGTTCAGATCTGAGTAGTCTTCCAATTCTTGATTCATAGTGCTGATCTTTGCTTTCAAGGTCTCCAACTCTGTAGTGATCTTGGACTCCAACTGCTCAACCTTCTGAAGGTCCATCTGAAGACGAGCACTCTCTGGAATATAAGAAAAAAAATAATAACAATTTGTAAGGCACACAACATGTAAGGCGAAAATCATAGTCATTCAAAGGCGCTGGTCAGTGAAAAGTCAGTGTGTGTGAAAGTAAAGATTATCATGATTAAAGAGGTGGGTTTTGAGGTGGCATGTGGAGAAAGATAAGTCCTGTATTGCCCTTAACTCATCTGGTAAGGAGTTCCAGAGACGTGGCGCAGAGCTGGAAAATGCACGGTCTCATTGGTTGCCAAACGAGTCTTCAGGACAAACAGGATGTTGGATGATGACCTCAGACCCCAAATGAACCTCATTCAGTATAATTAAGGCCATCTGAGAAAAACATGGAACATTCCACTGAGAAGACCTTTTCTTATTGGGATAATGGGTGTTTTCAACTTTGGGGAGTCAGGTTGGTGCAACATGACTTTATTCGCCTTCCACCATTATGGCCCGGGTTCGAATCCCGCCCCGGCTGTCATGTGGATTGGGTTTTGAGTCTCAACCTGATTGCTTGGGCTTTCTGTAGAATATCCTCCCATGGTTTACCTCCAAACTCTTCAGACTTCAGAGCTACAGTGCCTGTGCACTATGGAAGAAGCCTTGGCTTTTTTTTCAGCAGAATAAATTAAAGTAACTGTAATTGATTGATCAATTTCAACATTACCTCCAGCCAATGAGGATGCAGTAGCCTCAGATTTATGCATCTCCGTCTGTTTGAAGCTCAGATCATCCTGCATACGTGCCAACTCTTGAGGATTAGGCATGTGCTTAGTGCGACCCAAGTTCTGCATTCAGAACAAAAATGAAAGAAAAAAATGACCAAACTGAAGCAAGTTCTCAACAAACATTTTCATTGGTTGCGCCAAGAAGTGACATTTCATGGATAGTTGCCACACCACAAAGTGTGGTATCATAAGTGCAAAGTGTATGAACAATGAGACACTTCCCAATACTTGGAAAGTCTGTTTGTCGCTTAACAGTGCACCTGACAAGTTAGTCAGCTTGAATAACTGATGTTGTTCCAGCCCAGAAGCAAGTTTAGCAAACATTTAATTGAAAATTGTACGGGTATCAAGAGAAATCAAAGAAAACATGTTAACATCATAAAACCTTGCTTCTGAATAAAAGGGAGGGGGGATGCTGAGTATTGTCATGAATACTCACCCTGCTCATGTGTGACAAGATGGCAACAATGTTCTCTTCAAGATTCCCCTTGTGTTCCTGTCAAACAAGAAAAAAACAAATGGTAAACATCTTTCCATGAACCAAGATTACGGATTCAACCTTATTTCATAACTACCTCAAATTCCTTTCTAGAATTAATTTGTCTAAATTTCTGCTACTCACCAATTCCTGGAGTTTGGTGTCTTCATAGCCCTCCAGAAATTCTACAAAAAGAATTTGAAAAGATTCATTCCCATGAGGCTATCGTTTTCAAGAATATAGTATTCAAGTTTCAAATGAAGTAAAATCCCTGAATGAAAAAAAATTCAATTAAAGTTACGGATGTAGTATCATTTTATGGGCAATTACAACTAATTTTACTGGATTTATAGTTCTACAATTTCTATTTTGAAATGTCTACTAACGTATTATTTATGAAAGCAGTGATTACATCAATTAGATTGATACCAAACTTCTTAGATCTTCACAGTGCTAATGATTTAAATTATGAGTTTATTCATTAGTCAGAGAGACGCTACATAGAAACAAACGCTCCACCTGTCATAGTTTCTTCTCTCTTCTTCAGCTCCTTGTATTTCATGTTCTTCTCACCTGTTCCATAAAATACAAAACAAAAAACTGTCAAATCAAAAGCAGTATGAAATTCAAATCTTAATTTATAGGGCTTATAGTCCCTTATAAGCTTAAGATCTTGCTAACAATTTGAGGGAAGCTACGTAGTTTGAATTCCTTACCCTGATGTTCTTCCAAGTCCAAGTCAAGTTGTCGGATCTCGTCTTGTAAAGTGGTGATCTGATCTCTGTACTCCTGAATTCTGTCACAAAATAAAAAATCAAACAAATTTCAGCGGCCTGACGTTTGGATCTTATCAAGATCTTCTTCAGAGGCGGAATAATCAATGATGAAATGCACGAACACATATCAAACAAATACTGCAGCAAAAAATCACTAGGCATACATACAGTGTTCGCATGCTACCTCAAAGATAAAATTTGTATGGTACTTTGGCTTTTTTAAGTCTATCTGTCCATTGTGACTATAAATTCTGTCTATCTGTGCTCTTTTTGATGTTGTTCAACCTTTCTTTGCCAATCCTGTAGTTGGCACTTTTTGCCAACCAAGGATTTGTAAACTATGAAAAGTCAATATCGATAACAGATATCATAAAAAAGTGCCCCTTTCTTACGTACTGAGGTGTTAATATGCTATTTTTTGGCAAAAACAGCTGCTAAACATGGCTTAAATTTATGCAATCATGGCAGCCCGTACAAATTTGCACTCAATGTTTACAAACTAAAGATAGGCCTATACATACTGTCTATCCATGCTGGCTATCTCTTGGTTATCCTCTTTGACTTGTTTCAGCAGCCGTTCCCGTTCTTCTGTCGGCGTCCCTCGTGACTGGTCTTCAGCAATCAGCTGAGCTTTCTTCTCTTCTAGTTCATGGAGTTGCTCGTAAAGCCGCACTGCCTCCTGCTTGACTTGGGAAGTGGACAGGTCCTAGGAATGAAGTAACGACAGATCAAATCATGTTCAATTCAAATACTAAATATTGTCGTGATAACACTTCAAGGATGAGAAAAAAAGGCGTTTGATCTGTTGACACAATTTGGAGATAAGCAGTCAAAAACTCTTTAGAACTACTTTTATTCCTCAACAAGACTCGCCTTGCATAGGCAAGCTGGACCAGAAAGCTTAAATTTAGGACAATATTTATACTCGGTGACTCGGGGAGTCAGTCAGTCAGTCAATCAGTCACTGAATCAGCCATTCAAATGCAAATGTTTATTTGTATTTGACTCAACCCAGTAACACCTGCTAGTCTCTCATACAACCACCCTGACATTCTGTCAGCATACTTACATCTTCCAAGTTCTCTTTCTTTGTGTTGAGTGAGTCTAGTTCCTGTTGCCTTGCTTCCAACTCTCTCGCTAACGACTCATTGGTCTGTTTCAGTGACATGTACTTTTGTCGCATCTGAGGATTCTGCAAAGATAATATCCCAAAGAAAGGAGACTTATGAAAGAATAGAAGAACAAATGTTCACAGATGTTTGGATGCACTAAATGAAACCTGATAATGAAATCTTGCAACTTTACTTCAAAAAAACTTCATGCTCATTTTTTTAGGGACAAAGGAATAATCACAATTACACCTACCATATCATCCACCAGTGTGTCGGCCATTCTACGACACTGCTGTATCTCCTGCTCAACCTGGTGAATATTCTGCTCAATCCTGTCAGAATATAATTATCAAATTCAAATCGAAACAATGATTATCTATAAACCTGCTGAAGTGAGGTATCAAAATTTCGGCAATTTAAGTTGAATGAGTAAAGTGTATTAAATAATTTGTACTATCAATAGATTTCATTTCATTATTTTGATAATTTGAATGAAGTAATTTGTGATGTGTTCTGGCAAAATGAGACGGAAGTGGTCACAGGCCGTAGTGGAAAAAAATGAAATGGGGGTGATTTCTCTTTGATTTACAGATTTGTTGATATTTGTATAAAAAAAAAATATACGTACACTACACATATTTTAAAGACAGAGTATATAAATGTGGAATAAAAGTGTTTTTATGGAAAAACAATTGGTATCTTTCATTTTCACCAACACAACACTTGAAACTTTACAGGCCTTTTTGTCAGTATTATACTTCCTTGACATGTTGATAAATGCAAACTTTAAACAGCCATATCTTGTCAAAGGAAAGTCCGATTTTCTTCTTCTCGGGTCACTAAGCTACACCCGTCCAGTGCAGGACGCAGGATCTAGCCCGGGGGTTGAATGTCCCATCGCAACAAACAGTATTGTAGGGAAAATTTGTATTGTCTTTCCTAATAGCCACAAACCTTCAATTTGACCTCTGCTCAGCTCTGTCTCATTTGTTTTAAGTGTTTGTGTTAAGACAGAAATTACTAAACTCACTGTCTAAATGCTCACTGTATCTTACTTAAAGTGTGAGCGAAAGTAAGCTGCGTAATGTTGAGATGTGACTTACTCTTGTCTCTGGGTGAAGATCTTATCAATGTTCTTAGCTTCAACATCATTCTGTGCCTTAAGCTGTGATAAAACAAAAGAAACGTCAGATTGAAATCAGTGATGTTGTCAATTATTTTCTCTGTGCTCCAAACGCAGGAAAAAGTCCAGTTTTCAAACCAGAACGATTGATGTAATTCCTATATGAGATTTCTAAACATACTTCAATGGGTATTTGTCCCTTTTAATTTGTAATTAACAGAATTAAACATACCAACTTTTCAAACCAGAAAGAATAATGTATTTCCAGCTAGGAGACTTCTAAACATACTTCAATGGGCAATTGTAACTTCACAAACATTAGACATCTGTTCATAAAATTATCCCGACCGTAATTAACAGAATGTATATAGAAGGACCTGCTTTCCAGAGTGCTCAAGTCAAGACTAACTTACTTGGTTGTGGTCTTCTAAGACTTCTTCCATAGCCGTGTCTGTGTTGAGCTTATCCACCAACTACATGGGAAAAACCACAACAGAAACACAATGAATTACAAATGTAATTCAAATGCAAGGCAATGCAAACCAAAATACATCTTCAATGCTGCGTTACTTTAAATACTTTAAATAAGGGATTAAGTTTTAATATGGCCAAATTTTATTTTTTTGGAGCCCGACTAACTTAATTTTTTTAATGATTTTTCCGCAGTTTCTCCACTCACCGTGTTATAGTCGCCAAGCTGGCCTTGTTGTTCTTTGACTTCATTTGCAAGACTCTCTGCCCTGGAACAGAAAATAACAAGGGAAAGAAACAAGAAATTGTAAAAAAAAAAATACTTAGAATTTGTCTTGCTAATTAAATTTATCTGCCAGACAAAATTCAGCCGAATACCAGTGACAAGCAATATAAATCCAATGAGAATTCCATCAATTGGTAACCTATTTTGGCTTATCACATATTTCCTATGCTTTGTGACTTTTTACGCATAGAGCTCAATGGAACAAGCTCCCGTATTCCAATCGATTATTTGACCTTTTTAGATTTTTTCTCGAACCCAGCCATTCTCATCCCAAATCTCTCCTTATCTTACCGTTTCTCGTAAGACAAGTAGCTGTTATTCTCCTCATTTGCCTGCTCGATGCCTCTCTGAAGAGAATTATTCTCTGCTTGAAGCTCATTCAGTTTGGTCCGCAACATCCCAATAAAGTAAGACTTATCCATGACAACACGCTGTGGTCCTGAAAAGGAGCAATATCAAACAACAGAAGATTAGATGACTTTGTATAGTCTTTTTAAGTTAATGATAAACTCGCTCAACTGTAAGAAGTCCGCTCACCTTTCTTGCCTGTCCTCATTCCTCCCAAGCCTTGCTGTGTAGTCGGTCTATCCGTGACACTCAGCTTGGCATCAAGAACTGTGATTACAAAATCAAAATACATTTGGATACTGAATTGTTGGATATGGAATAACTACGATTGTGTAATGGAGGTTAAACTCTTAAAAATTATCATTTTAGGTTTGGTCTGTAACATTATGCTGCAATTCATGACTGCTTGGGAGCTTGGGACCAGATTTGACACGAGAGACAAGTTGGAACATTTGAAAAGTGAAAAGAACATTTTACCTCCCACTCCTCCTGGGACTCCGCCCCTCGTTCCTGGCCTCGCAGTTCCAGGAGCCTAAAAAAAAAACAGAAAAATTTTTTAGACCAAATTTAAATGATAAAGGTGGAAAAATTACACGCAGAGGGCGCTGCGAGGCTTGAGCATAAGAGCAAAGTCAACAATTTTCCACAGAGTTTGAAATGTTTCTCATTGCTCAAATCATGTTTGCAAGAACGTGCCATGACTCCCCCCACGATACTGCATTGTATTGAATCTCACAGATTAAAATGTAAATAAAAACAAAGAATGAAGAATGCTGACCCCCGTTCCTTGAGGCATTCTCATGGCTGTCCCTGGTGGTGCACCTTGTCTCAATGAGCTGCTAGGACGAGCTCCTGTTGTAGCTCGTCTTCCCCCTCCTGATGGTGGTCGATTCCTGCGTTCATTAAACAATTATTCATAAATACCTCAGACAGTTTAGCTATTCCTATTGGTCGAGAGCCCGTCACGTGGCCGGTCTTAAACGGATGATAAAGACATGGCTAGCTGGTCTTAAACACTTTTCCAGTGTCACAATAAAATGTGGACTCCTAAAAATCCAGTGCCTCTTACCGTTTCATTGGTTGAACGTTCACAATCCTCACGTAGGCATGCGCAACACTACAAGCGAGTCAGAATTTTATAGTTCTAAATTCAAAACGCAACGCCCCAGGTGCGTTCTGCGTGGAATCGCGCAGAACATGTTACGCGCGCGTCAATCTCCATAAAAGGGTTGTTTACATCTTACTCGCCAGCTGAACACTCCATTATTTTGCTAGAGGGATGTTTCAAAAAGCATGAAGTGAACTTGTTGAACAAAATCGGGATTTTTTGAACGAATTATTTGATATTTTTTTACGGATAAGGTATTTATGAATGGGAATAAATATGTGCTCGGTCGGTATTTATCACTCTGTTTAATACCGCTTAGAGTCTGGGTGCTGATAATTACCCTCGCCTCCGGCTCGGGTAATTATCAGCACCCAGACTCTAAGCGGTATTAAACGAGTGATAAAAACCTCCGAAGCACACATTTATTCCCTTAATAATTAATTATTACGACCTATAGGCCTAGTGTATCACAAAACAGATGACATTGAAAAGCCGTGTATAGCGTGAATATTCGACTCCATGAAATATGGGCTCACTGTAGTATTGCGCATGCGTAAGTTGATAATAGGCCTATTTATAGGTCTATATATGGGAGCAAAACCTGTCTACATTTTAGCATTTGATTTGCTGATGAACCCCCCCCCCCCCCGCAAAAATTCCTGGATCCGCCCCTGAAAATCATAAACGTTGCGTTGAGTTTGAGGAATAAATTCCTCCATGAGTAATAACACTAATTACTACTTTTATGGGGCTCTCATATTTCGTCAATAACTTACATGATTCTGAGGAGATCTTCTGATTATCTGTAACAAAGAGATGAAAAGTGTGACGACAAAAATGATGGATTTTTACTTTAGTTTTACGATGAAAAGAAAGCGTCCGTAACAACACGGAGCTTGAGCAACATAACGAATGGAATGTACTTAGTCTGACCACAGACGTACCCGATGCGATGGACATTCATATTAGACGGATTGGAGACCAGACTATATTTCAGCGTCACATGAGGGCGCTATGACGATTTGCGATTTACTCAAAATTTGGGGGCGCGATCTTAACCCCTGATATTTTATAATTTTTAATTAATTTTGCATTTTATACGTTACGTCATTCTCGATCTGCAAGCCATGACTTCCTCTCACACAAAAAACAAAATAAAAATCGATTACTGTCACAAGAGGGCGCCTGTCCTGATTATCGATGGCTCAGTTTTTATTGAAAAAATCAGATTCACTTTAAAAAAAATAATTGGGAAAAAAGGCACAAACATTTTTTTTTGTCACAAACTTGGCAGGCAAATACATGTATAGTAAACTGACTAAGTTGGACAAAATGAACTATAGCCGTGATTATTTTTACTTTTAAAAATGAACACGATCACGTGTTTCAAGTTTGACAAAAAAATAATCCAAACTTGTATATGCATGTCAGTACTGGCTTTAGCTAACCTACACACTATTTTATCAAAAATGAAGTTCTATCAGAAATGCCCTACTTGTTAACTACAAGACAATCCACAAAACAACTACAAAAGATGTAAGAAATAAATATAATGTAGCTTACAAATGCAATATTCAGGTTTAAGTGTTTTCTTCTGTTTTCCCCTATAGCTAGTGGCTGAGAGGCGTCAGTGGCATAAACAATTCATTTTGGCCAATTTGGCCTATCGGGTGTTCTTCAAAATTTCAGAGTTTGCGGGAAAAGTATGATAACAAAACACCAATTTCTTCAAACTAGCTTTGGTGTTGAAACCCCCCTCCCCCAATACATTATATAATGGCCAGTTAGTAGTTTTCTCTATTTGTATTGTGAAACCATTTCTATTGTCCATTTTAATTTAGGAAGCTCTTTTTTGTTCACCCAAAATCTTAATCCAGGCCTAATGGGCAGATTGTTCGACATTACTTGAGTCATATAATAGCAGTATCCGTGACCTCTACCCATTGTAACTGTGTATCAAACGAAGGAGAACTCCTAGAATGAAACAGGAATTTCTTTTTGACTGGAGCGGTCTTGGAATCAGCGGCTGCCGCTTTCTCCTGGTCTCCCTCCTCCGCGTTCACTTCGACCACGCCCACCTCTAGCTCCAATCCTCCTGATGAGCTCCTTCGTTTTCTCGTCTCCATGGGCGAGGTCTCGGGAGATTCTTGAGCGGTGGTTAAAGTGGGAATATGGTCCACGCTGGAACGACGCTGCATCTCGAAGTTACTAGTCCCAGAACTGAATTGTGGAAAGCTTTGATTCATGTCTTGCTGAGGCGATCGCCAGCTGATGTTCTGTAAACTCAGACCATGATATTTCTGGTGTCTGCCATCTTGTCTGCGACTCCCGGTGCTGTTCAACCTCCCCACGTGATGGAGGTTGAATCTTGAATCTTCCCTCCAGCTCGTGGACAAGTCTCGACTGGACGTACTCTGCCACTGGCGGCGCTCTGTCATCCATTTCTCGTGGATCTGTTCCATGGATTCGTAGACGGATGAGCTGAGGGCCAGGGATTCGCAAGAGTCACTCATGTCGTAGGATTCCATCATCCAGCGAAGCTCCTCCACGGCATCGTAGATGGCCAGAAAATGTTTCATCAAGCTAACATCCATGGCTCGCAATGCATTCTGGGAGAAAATAATAAGATTGAACAATCATTTAGGAATAGCCTGCTATTAAATAAAGATGTCCCGCGTGTTGTTTTCCTTTTAAAAGTCCACCCAAATTAATTTGTGTAATAAAAAGAGGCGCCGCAACAGCCCAAATTAAATTAAAGCCTTTTTTTCCAGTGAGTTCGCACAAAAGAGAAAAGGAGTTTTGTTTTCGATAAGACATGCAAATTGAAATTCGTTGGGATAAATAAAATCCACCTGTCAGTAGACGAGGATGAGACGTAAATTTCATCGCGATCAGTAATTTTCCGTCAAGTCTCGGAGACATTTTAATTGATAAAAAAAAGTAAACGGATACTTTTAAGCTTTTACCATGTCACTTCTGAGTTTGCGGCAGTTATCCTCCATTTGTTGACGTTTGGCAGTGAACCGCTTGATCGGTGATACATTCTGGAAAGCGGAGATCAAACCAGCCGCATCTAGTTCTCTCTTACTCGGACCTTCATCACCCGAATCAGGCTCGCCCCCTGACTGTCGCTCACCGGGTTTCATCGGCGTACTGGACCCGTTCTCACCCGTGTATGATGACGACCATCCTGCTAAGATTGGCTGCGAGAGACACTCGGGGATGGTCGCACCAACCTTGCTTTCCATTCCGCGTATAAGTTCATCAACGTACTCCCTATCATCAATCTCCATTTTGCAGAAATTTAACACTCACTGAACTCACTGTCGAGTTTCTTTCTTTTGACGAATTCAATGATGCCGCAGTCAGTAAATTCACTTCAAAGAGAAAATGAATAAATGAGAACCGTAGAACGACTAATCACCATAACAACTCGATCATCAGCAACTTCCTCAAAAGTTGTTCATCTTATTACAGCAAACATCAAAATCCCAACCCTGACACTTGTAGTTGCGTTGAAGGCTGGCAGCGTGTTATCTGCATACCAACTTCCCAACTCAGTCGTCTGTGAGCGCACAATGGATTAGTGCTTGCTCTATTGACAGTTTTAAAGGAGTAAAGTTCACCCTTAGATAAACCACTTGCGAGGTACAGAAATAACTCAACTCGGAACCAGCGCCACAATCTGACCTAAGCGCTCCATCCAGCCAGTTTGAACAAACACAGATGGCTCATTTTGAATTTAGAATTCAGAAAAGAAAAGACTATCAGCGATGTCACGTCGACGACGAAATTCTCACGGGAAACGCACGGTCAAGAGTGCAGACTAGTGTGTTTTGGTTATGAGTGCGTCATAATATAATATTTGTTTCATTTCACTGTTTGTTTTTGGTGTCCCTGCGTATTTTAATAACAATTGGACTGACCCGAGAACTTTGTCCTTTTTAAACTTGATAACAATTAATGTCCAAGGACTATTTCTATAAATTAATGAGAGTGAATCGCCAAGGATGGCTAACATTTCCGTCCCCCATTTCCGTCCCCGTAGTTCAGCGGTGTGATTTATAGCAACACCTGATCCGTTTGTTTACACAAGGTGCAGCTATTGTCTGGGATATAAAATGCCCATTGTCGGCCGTAGTACCAAGGCTAATTCTAGACTTACTATTCTCAAAGTTCACTAGGTGGAATAAACTACCCCAGGCATCCAATGCAAAGGTTAAATTTGCTCGGCTTACGATTGTTTGCACTTCACTGCATCATAATGCTTCAGATTTCGAGTAAGTTTCGAAAGATTGTAGTTTAGTTAAGGCTTTCGCCTGCTAGATATCGTCACAGATCAGTACAAAGGAAAATATGTATAGCCGGTTATAGAAGTTCTGCAAATATGTTTTATTAAAAAATTACCGCAAAAGGCGTGTGCGACACGAATACGTAATGCACATGTAGTTGGCCGCACCTGATCTGAATGCACAAGGGAAGTGTTTTTAGGGGTGGGGCTTATACACTTTTGGAGGGGACTTGCGATATGGCACTTCGACAACGAAACCTCCACCTTAAAATCATCGAAACAAACAAAACATAAGAAATAACGCACATAATACTTTCAATGTTCGGAAACATCCGATATTGAAAACGTTTTGGATTTAAATATCCATCATTTCAGACCCTTTTTTTGGGGGGGGGGGGGCGGGGATTAATTAATGTCGTTCAAGATGACAGAGGTGTAATGTAACCAGTTTTAAAGAAATAATCAAATAACCCACAAGCGATAATTTAGTGCTACGTAATCTCATAGGTAAATCATACAATAAAGTAGAAACAGAGTAACCCCCCCCCCCCCCCCCTTCAGAAAATCCCACCCCTTTGAGCACATTGTGAATACGGAGGTGAAATACCGCCCTCATTTGGCTATTGGTCTAGATCTAGTGTTTACAAGATTCAGTGACGTCATCCTGACTAGACCACGGGATTGCACCGCGTATAGATAACACTTTATTCCATTGTCCATAAATTCCAGAATTTCAATTGTTATGTACTCTAAAAGGGTCAAAATGCTATAAAACATTTTAAGTTTTGTTGGTAATTATGTTAAAAGTTCTAGGCTGTAAGAAGATTAGATATTTAAGGGATTACTTTATTACGCGGACGAACCCTTATGAAACTTTGCACTCTGTCTAATGTTATGGTGAAGGCACGTACAGATGTTCTACGCCATTTTATGTGCAGCTAGTGCAGTGCAGTGCGAAAGCAGTGACTGGCGAATTATGTCTTTTGTTTTGTAGCCGATTATGTCTACGACTTAGGAAATTAATTGGTCGGGTTAGTTTCCTCTAATAAGCCAGAAAGATGGGGAATTGTCTGACAGGACACGCAGCTGACGATCTTTCGCTGCTTCACGAAGAGCCTGACCGGGTTTCGGAGAGACTAGGCCCGCCGCCGCCGTACCAGGTAGGAAAACAGTTGGCGACCACAACAAACAGACAAAGCAAAGCCCGAGGAATAACTTTTGTTCACGACGTTCTTCAATACATTTAGGAACTTTATTCTGTAAATTACGAGATTTTTTGTATTGATTGTTACATTCGATGCCAGAATATAGCGTTATATTTCAACAATCGGATGATATTTCATTGTGACTGGTTTTGTTTTTCAGCTAGGTTATTCTTTGTTTATCTTTTTTCCTCATGACCTTTGACCTTTGAACCATAACAAACAAGTTGGCCTTGATGACCGATAAAAGCAGCTGCTCTTTGTCTGCAAATGAAACTCTTGTTGTATGTATGCCCCTTTGTGTAGAACTGAAGGAAATGAGGACATTTATTACATAAATACTTGTTTCCTTTGCTTATTAACATTGATTTTGTGAAACAACTTAAAAACAAGGTGTCATTGCAACTCCACATAAGATTTAATAAAAATAAAGACAATTTCCCAAAATCAAAACAGACATCCTTTTGGAAAAATGTTGCAACCTGACGCCACTTCCGCGATTGTGTACAAAGTCTGTGGAGAGTCAAGACAATTTTTCCTAGTATTTCCTAACAAAATTGAAAATGTTTCTCAGTCCCAGATTCATGTCTTTTCATAATTTTTGCAATGAGTGACCTTCATTGGGATGATATATGAAGAAAAAAGTGGCGTCAGGTTGCAACATTTTTTCCATACTTTTAATATTGTTGCACTATTTTGTATTTGTGTGATGCTCAAAAGTTAAATTAATTGAAGTTTTATTTGCTTCACCACTTTCAAGTTGTTGGCTTCAGTGAAAATTTCAGTCAAATAACTGTGTAATATTTGAGTGCGGAAGGGTTAAATTTCTTCACAATTCTACTTCAAAAGTCACCAATGTGCAGTGTTTGAATCCAATGATCATTGTTAATTCCCTGAAATTGATGATTTTTTTGTTGCACAGGAGGCAGCGCCAGTGTATCATCTGAGTCCTAACCAGCGAAGGACCGTCAGTCAACTCACAGAGGAGGAACAGGTTAAAATAGCTCAGAGGATAGGTCTTATACAACACCTGCCAACGGGAGAATATGATGGAACCAAAAAGGCTAGGGAGTAAGTAGTCACAGACTCATCACAGACTAAAAATACTCATCATAAAAATACTCATAACAGACTCATCACTGAAATATTCATCATAAATACTTATCACAGACTCATCACAATCATCACTGAAATACTCATCAAACTTAAAGACTCATCACAGAGTCATCTCTGAAATATTCATCACAGACTCATAAAAACACTCATCACAGACTTATCACAGTTTGATAAGTCAACTACATGTCAGTCATAAGCCAGTTATAAGTTGGTCACAAGCAAGATCACAAGTTAATTATAAGTCAGTCATAAGTCAAATCAGAAGCAAGATCACAAGTCAGTCATAAGGTTGTCATAAGTCAAATCACAAGCAAGGTCAGAAGTCAATCATAACTCATAAGTTTGTCACAAGCAAGATCACAAGTTAATCATAAGTCGGTCATAATTTAAATCGCAAGCAAGATCACAAGTCAGTAATAAGTTAAATCACAAGCAAGATCACAAGTCAGTCATAAGTTAAATCACCAGCAAGATCACAAGTCAGTCATAAGTCAAATCAGAAGCAAGATCACAAACCACAATGGAATGAATCATGACGAAGGGTTGGAAAAATTGAGTGCAACTGACCACCTGTCCTTGTATTGTATCTGTCTACAGGTGTGTAATCTGTATGCTGGATTTCCAGATCGGTGATGCGTTACGTTACCTGCCCTGCATGCACACATACCATGTCAAATGCATTGATGATTGGTTGATGAGATCCTTCACATGTCCGTCATGTATGGAACCCGTGGATGCAGCGCTTCTATCAACGTATGAATCACGCTAGCAACTACATCTTACATAGTGCCAATATTAAAGTTAATATCATGTGCAAACAAATATTCTAACCAAATTCTTTATTTGTATTTCTCTATCATTTTTTCATTTTTTCTTTCTTGAAGTTCCAATGCAGCGCGCTACATACAGTCCCTTCAAATATCATGAAACATTGAGGGCTGTCACAGGCTGTCATAGTGTGTCACAGACTGCTCTAGCAGACTGTCACACACTATCACAGCCCGTTACATTGTCACAAGCTGTCACAGGCAATCATAAACAGTCATAACCTGTCATAGATTCTGCATCAGATACCTACTCGGAAAAGGGAAACACATTTCTGTAAATATCGCAGCTATTTATTACATCAAATAATGGTACCAATATTCAGACAATATAAGCTTCAGTTGGGGCTGTGTGTGCGCATATTATTAAAGCAAGTTTATTTGTAAGAACTTGCACACAATAATCCATTTGCGAGTGACCTACACCCTTTGGGATTAAAATTTGAAAAACATCTGGTACACTGACTTGCTCAGAATGCTGGGCACATTTTAACTGTGAATTCTCCAGGCCAAAGACACTGTTGCTAATCACATGATTCGGGGCAAGCTCTTGCATAGTTACGTAAGAGACACTCATCACCAATACATTGTTCACCATGGGAGAGGATGGCACAAAGACACCAGACCATGCCGGAGCTGGGGGTTGCTAGCGGAAGGCTTGCCCTGAATCACATGATATAGTAACAGTCTCTTTGGTCGGGAGAACGCAAAGTTAAAACGTGCAAAGCATTGGACTAAGTCAGTGTTCCCGATTTGATTCAAATGTAACTCGCAAATGGTTAATTGATATAGTTTCCTTACAATGGTGGTATTTCGGCCACAAAGAAGACTACCAGTGTTTAATTTACATATAGTTACCAGTCAATGTATTCTGTGCTGAACTATAGAGGGCGACATGTATCCAAACATCAGCCATTATCATGTCGGGTCCATGTGGATGCACTGTTGTAACATTTCAGAACCGATGTACATGTACATCACTTGATTGGTTTTTACTGCTGTGATGGTGCACCTGAATGTGCCAACGAGGGCGGGATGCTCAAAGTGGATACTAGTACATGACTGCACAGAATACATTGCCACCAATATATTGTATTCTTCTTGCTTTCAATGCATGGTGTGGGGTTTTTTCATTTCATTTTTCCATGCTGGGAAAGATGAGAACTTGTTCTCTCAATAACCACTGTGATAAATGGTTCTAATTAAGACTCGTATGCTTTTAATTACTTGTACATTATACACAGATTATACGTATTTGCCATAGTTATTTATTATTTTGAAGGGGAAAAAAGTACAAGTTCGTCCAGATTCTGTTGCTTGCTTAGAACAGTTACAGAGAGTTTTTCCCTGAAGTGACATCATTTACGGAAGTCATTTCAGCATGATATTCGCATTGTTTAGTTGTTCAATTTATGTACAATTTATTGTACATACCCCTGTTATAGAACAATAGAAAAGCAAACTAATGAAAGTAAAAAAACTGCAGCACATCCACAAAACTTTGTTTTTACTAAAGTGTGTGACAAAAATTTGAAAAAAAAGTAGATTTTGTGGTAGTCAACCAGTCTCTGACTGATGACAGATTTTGGTTTTGAAGCTTTCATTTCTTTAATCAATATGCAATAAAATTAAAAATAAAGATTTACCACAAAAAGGAGAATTGATAGTTGATACCTCATTTCAAACACAAAATATCCTCGCTGATTTATGATAGTATTACATGCCAAATCTTGTAGGTTTTACACATAGATAAGATTTACGATAGTATAATTCCAAGGCAAAAAAAATGCGATGGTTGGTGGTCATGATGTCACAAGGTTGTGTGCTGTATATATGACAAGTTGGAAAGTTAAGATCACAATTAATGTGTTAAGCACTAATGACAAATAATCCATTAAATTTGGAATAAACAAAAGGTGAAGTAGTCACTGGCCAGTAAATGCACTAAAATGGAAGCGCAATTAATTACTTGTATAGTGGACCAATTTGTAAGACCCTCGTTCAGTGGTCGGAGAAAGTCTGATGTCACTGTCGGATCTGCTCTGTAAAATTGTCAGAGTGTGTGTTTTTGGACGTTTACAGATGTTTTTAAATTCTTTTTTTTTTAATGACATCTTATCAATTGGATTCTTTACTGTCTGTAATCAGATACCACAGTGGCTAATGTTTCAAAACACAAAAGGAGAAAATTAAAAGTGTCAGTAATATATCAGATATTGAGACAGTTTCGAGTTGCCTATTCGTGCATGCCGTGATGAGGCCCAGCAGCCTCACTGAATGTGCATTTTCTGATCACAAGACCCAGGATCTATCTGATGGGGGAAAAAATTCACAAATTATATCTAATATTACATTCAGCCCCAAATTAAGTCCTTCACATCTGACAGAGTTTCACAGAGTGGGATTCTTTGTTTAACAGTATTCAGCTTAAGTCATTCTTCAAATCTTGATGAATGAATGCTGAACACTTTCTACGATAAGTTAGTAAATGCATGTAGCATGATAAGACTGATCAGTGTTAGCTTTTATTTTGACAAACAGCATTATTTAAATAAGCAGTGAGTTCTGTGTTACTAATCCAAAACTACATGTACTTAGAAGTAGCAGAACTGCACTTACACTTGGTAACTTCTCATCTGCTAATTGTTGAGTGCCATTGTTCGTCTCTTTGTCAATTAGTAAGAATTGGTACGCTTGTGTGTTACTGGATTTCACAACTAATTAATTAATGCGTGCATGTGCATGGATTTTTTCCATTGTTTTGCCAGTTCTTTTCAGCAATCACAGCGGACACACATAAGCAAACACTTTGCCATAATTGTCTGTAAACTCATCTCGCTTGGGAAACCCTTCTCTGTTCAACAACAAGCAACCATATTTTCTGAATAATTGTCGACTCTATTTTTGTGTTAATTTAAATTATTTTGGCATTCCTTACAAGTCTTCATATAATGAGCCAAATATAACTATCTGCTCAAGGTTTTAATAAAAGAATCTAATGTAAATAGAAACAGCATAGGCCTGATGTAGTCACAAAGGATATTTATTAAATTAATTACATTCTTAAAGATATAATCAATGGAAAAATTAGGGGGGGAAATTGTTGTTTACCCGTGAATTCAGCTCCCTGTTCATCAACATAAATATCATTTTTATAAGCTGAATTAGCTGATGAATTTATTCATTCTTGCAGTAATACAATGGAACTGTATACACAGAAAACAATCCAATAAAATATTTTACTGTAAATAAAGATAACAAACAGTGTCTTTTTTTCAAGTACATTTGTGTTTGTATTATCCTTTTACTTTCTTTTTCATATGTGCAAGTCGATTACATTTTTGTTTCCTGTTAAAATTGTGCATACAGATGGCTAAGGGAGGAGGGCAGCAGTTTGGAGAATGTTTTTCAGTGAATCAAGTTTTCCAGAGAATTGGTTCAACATGAAAACCAGAATTTTGTGAAAAATAAACAGAATCTGAAAATCACCTAATTATTGTCACACATCACAAAATGTTGGTTTACACCCGATTTGGGGTCTACAGGGTAAGGCAGAATGATCTGGACACAAATTAAAGAAAATATTAAAAATATGTGGCAATTATCAAAACGAGTGCAAATAAGATATGTTATGGGCTGGTATTTTGGACATATTTGGTGCAAGTTTCATGTATATCCATTGTACCATTTTGAAGAAAAGCGCTAGCAAAGAACACACGCTAAAAACACTGACCACGGCTCCATGGTTCAACAAATTTATTGAAATCGCGTACTGATATGAAGCAGTGTAATAAATAAAAGCCTAGTCATGGTGAGTGACTCACTTGAAGTTATTGACACATTTAAAAAAAAAAAAGGCAAACCAATTCTATGTGCAGACTGGAAAATGAGCCACTTCAATGAAAATGGCATAACTCCTCACCACAGCCACTAATATGAAAAAGTCAAAATTACTGTGCAAGACATGAATCACTGATTTTTTTTTCTCAATATACTCTATTTGCCACCAGACAAAATGGTGAACTTGGGTTCAGATTGTTCTGACGCACCCTTTGTAATCGCTCCTACAAAGGAAACTATGGATGTTTGTGGGAATGGAAAGAATGGTGTTTGGAACCAGGAAAGGGTTGGACTAAACTCCATCCATCATAGGCGAGTTAGGGAAAGGAGGAAATACCTAAATATACAATGACATTTTTTTTTAAAAGCTTTCTTTCCATTTACATAGGCATAACAGGAAGTCCAAACAACAAAAATCAGGAGTTTTAAGGGAAAAGTTAAACTTCCAAAAATAACATTTTGATAGGCAGGTTTGAAGTGCAAATGATAAAATGCAATATCTAACAGGCATGCATACTCAGAATGGATACAACTTCAAATAATACAACACGAACAAGTTTATGATTTGCCTCTTAATTTTGATGAAACTGCTGTAAGAAAAGGAAAACAAAAATGAGAGAAGTATGACATCTGAGAAAATATTGTTCTCAACTGAATCTATGTAAAGAGGCAATTCCTTACACTAAATATTTTTTAAGAGCACCGAAATTCAACATTTGATAGTAAAAAGGTGAAGGTTTGCAGAAAAAGTGTAAATCCAAGGAAACAGGGTGATGGATCGCTTTCTGCCTTTTAGAAGAGAAAAGTCTATCAACTTGCTGGCCTTCTCTGAAGCAGATTTACCGAGATGTTAACTACCTACTGGCCAGATCAGCAGCAGCTTTGAAGAGAAGTCGGTTGGTTTGTGTCAGTCGTTCCAATTCCTGCTCAAGTTGCTGGCGTGAGGGCTCGTTGGGCTTATTTGTACTGCTTCTCTGCTTCAAATAAAAGAAAAAATAATTTTAAAATGGATTTAAATTCAACACACTGAAAAGTGAGTGTAATTTATAAATTTGGGCAAAATGATGGGTGAAAAGCTGATATGTTACTTATTTGCTCTTTTGCTTAAATAATTTGTCCCACCTGCTGTTTAACTGCTTCCCGGATTAGTACACGTTCCCTGGTTCTGTCTTCATCTTCAACAGTTGATTCCTGCTCGACAAAAGAAATAAATATGAGCCGGAGTTGTTATTCTAGTCAATCACAAGACAAAATAACAAGATAGGTCACAGGTATCAGGATAAATAACAACATATGCCTTAGGACTAGAGACTTGTGGTTACTTGAGTGGATTTGTTAACTTGAGAGGACTTGTGACAGACTCCCCTGATTTCATTGGCTATGGCTTTCGACATTCATTTGTTACAGTGAACATCCGTAGCCACAGACAAAATCATCCATTTCAGACAAAGTCAATACTTACCTGGTCTGGTACCCTAACTGCAATCTCTCCTCCCATATTCCTGCCTCCATCCGATTCTGCAGACAGTAGATGACGTTTGAATGACTGCAATGGAAAAGTTGGTTTACTCCGACTATCAAGCAAATTGGCTGGAGTTGGTGTGAATACTACATTGGTGACCGCTCCTATGGTGAAAGAAAACACATGACTTTCAAATCTGTGACCTGTAACTTCTAATAAACTGTAAAAATTATCAAGACATTATATTAACTTTTGAATTTCATGTCCTCGGAAGTCCATCACAAATCATCCTGGCTCAAGTTAAGTGGCCAACTATACAACTTCACTGTGACAAGGGCATTCCTTTGTCATTGTTCATTCCTTTGTCATTGTCACTGAGTTGCCATCGAGTTGTCATTGACTTGTCACTGAGTTGTTATTGACTTGCCATTGACTTGATGACAACTCTTTTAGCCTCACTCACCTTTATGACTGAGTGTTCGAATCTTCTGCTTGCTGTTAACGTGCCATATACACGCTGTGTTATCCTGGCTCCCTGATGCTAATACCGTACCATCCATAGATACAGATAGGCACGTCACTGGCTTGCTGTAAGACAAGGTATGATTGCCAGGTTATATCCCAGAATCACCCAGGGGTATAAAGATACGTTTTCTGGCTTGTGATGCTGGCATAGCTATTGTCCATGAATCTGCTGTCCATGAATTGTTCTTGTTTGTTTGTCAGGCTGTTTGTTTGTTCTTTCATCCAACATTTATAATTTTACACTGAACTAGATCTTAAATGGAATCTCCGATTATTTTCACAAACAACATACCAAAGACCAGATACCACTTTGAGTATAAGCTTGTGAAAATCTCTCTGACAGTCCGTTTTTTTGTCTCATGAAAAACATCCAACCCACATTCTCACACTGACCTGTGACCTCTGAAGACGGATGATTCCATTTCTTCCGATTCTTTATTCTTTGAAATGTGTCTTTCCATCTGTACTGGCTGCAAAAAAAATTAAATAGCATTTCAAGTAAGTCTTTAGTAAACTGGAAACCAAATGATGGGCAATCTCTTAAAAAGCCGTTTGGACCATTATATACACTATCTGCATAATTACAGCCTCAGCAGTGAAAATGGGCAATTCTATTGAGCAATATGAATAGCGCCCTCTGCAGTTCATACATGGAGTCCATTAAAATATAAGTCCACAGTACTCACCGAAGCAAAGAGGTTCACTTGATAGATATTGCCATCTGAGCAACCGGCAAAGAGGTGATACTCAGCCATATCCATGGCAACGGAGCAAACGGGTGAATCAAACACAAAGTTGCACAGAAGTTGGCCCGTTGCCAAATCCCAAAGCTGTGTGAATAAAAGGAAGAAATGGTGAAAAATTAAAAGTTGTTACAAACTTTAGATTTTGAAAAAGCTGCTAGCTTTTGCCTTTAGCATCCGGAATTATTTTCATTTTTCCTTTGACAAAAAAGTTTTCAAATCGCCACTGTTTTCCTAGAGAGTATTTCCTAGAGAGTCAGAAATCATAAAAAAGCAATTTGGTCATGATGACCTTGTCTGGGATCAAGGTGAACTGAGCACGCTCACAATGGCACTACATGCCTTGAGTAATATTTCAGCCAATCAGGAAGAATCAACACAGTGTATAGCAACCAATGGAATCTCAGCAGATATGAGGCTGATGCCTGTGCTCATTCACTGAAGACAGGTTACCAGTCTAACCAAAATCACCTTGCATGTTTGGTCATGTGACGCAGATACGACCCTTGACCTAGCACCTCCTATGCCACAGTGAACATCGGTGATAGGCAGAGCGTGCTTAGACCATACAAACAACGGTTCACAGGACTTCATCTTGGAATCTGGCTGCAAAATACTGCAACCACACAAGAAACAATCATGAATTACACCTTACATCACTTTCCCAATAACAGGAGTAGATAATTCATTTTAAAGAAAAGAAAGATTTGGTTGTACCATCTTTTACAAAATGGTTTGAGTAAAGTCTCTTGACCATTCCATCAATAGCAGCCAGCAGGTAGGGAAATGTATGGATATATATTCCATATTTTTGTAAAAGAATAATTTAGGACAGAAGCGTATCCCCCACCAGCAAACCCCCCCCCCCCCCCATCCCACACACTACTCGACCATGCCCTAAAAAGAAAGAAAAAAGACCACTTGCCAAAAATCATTGGGCTGCATTCAGGACCTTTTGGTACCAAATAAATACTCTGTATTTTTACTGAGCTCGAAGGGCAAGCATGATGTCATCTGACTGACTGAGCCACTGACTGACTGCCTCCCCGACTGACGGAGTGCTTGATTAAGGGACCGTGACCATTCAGCCCTGGTATGAAAAGGGCCCCCCGGTACCTCGTCCGGTCCAAAGCCAGTCCGGTCTTCAGCCCAGTCTCGTCCGGTACATGGTCCTGTCTGACCAGAAGTTTTGAAGTCAGTCAGGCGCATCAATTTATTGCCCTTCAGAGAACGTCCAGAGCAGAACAATAGCAGACTTACCGGATTAAAGATAAAATCCTTCCAAACGCCTTGGTAATTTATGGTGCCATTGTGCGCGAAACCGCAAGGCAGGGGTTTTGATCAGTGCCGACGAAAGTGTTCTATTGTTTCGCACTGAGAGATGAAAACCACAAGCAGGTTTCTTCTGGGATATATTACATGTGTCAATACTTGCAAACAATAGACCCCAGGATAGAGGAGTTCCTGATTAGCAACCGGACCAGCTCATGAGCCGGTAGCTGGGACGGTACGAGAGGACTTCTTGGGAGGGGACGAGCTTACGGGGGGCCCTTTTCATACCGGGGCTGATTGGTCACGGGCCCTAAGTCACTGAGTACAAAAAATATTCCAAACTGAAATGCTCAGATCCAGTTTGACTAGGCAAACCTGGTCATGTGTTAAGAAAGTTTGAATACCTTGCTGTGTACCACACCATGACCAGGTTATCCTCTCCACCTGACACTAAGTGACTCCCATCATCAGTGAAGCACAGACATGTGACTGTCTGGTAATGATGAGACAAGACTGATAGCTGGTAACCGCTACACGTCTGTCAAGAAAAACAGGGTCAAATAAGAGTTACTGAGAAAAGTAATATTCAAGTATCAATCCACAAACTCAATGAAAATACACAAGTTTACATCATTCAAAAAGGGATGGAATATCCCATTTGAAATTATGATTTTGAAATCATTTTCAATCAATACTTTCCTTAAGTTTCATTTCAAGGCTTCAGAAGAGATGGAAGATTTTTAATTGAGTAGGAAAATATTTTTTTGCAAGGCACAACTTTACTGCTGACGAGCCTAAGATGACAAATGAAACATATTTTCAACTCAAAAAGACAAATCCACGTATCTCCATTCCACAAGTCAAGCAACATTTGTCAAATTATTGTCTGTATAATTACACACCTGCCATATATGAATCTTCTCGGCTATTCCTGCTGCACATAATGTATTATCAGGTGATGCAGCGAGGCAAGACACGACACCAGGACAAACAATCCGCTGCTGTTGCTGCTCCTAAAAATTTGATTTACAAACTTCTTGTTAGTCCCATCGGTCCTTTTGCAAGGAGAGAAAAAGTCTCCTACATTCTCATTCTAATGACAGTGATTAGCGGCGGCAGAACACTTTTCAAATTGAGGGGAGGGGGCATCACTAAAGGGGCACTTGCTCAAAAAAAGGCACCTTCCGTCGGTGTAAAACTATTTTCGCTCACATTGCAAAAACAAAATTCAAAAATTGTCAAACATAAACATTAAAAAATATTAGTAATAATAATATGTTAAAATGCAAACTAAAATTTAAATGTTACATGTACTTAGTTTAACTTTAAGTCTAAAGACGATTGAAAAGAAACATAATCACATTTACAACGCTAATAACAGTTCTTTTTGGTTTGTTTTGTTTTCAGAAAAACAAACTTTATGCTGCACCACTTTAGGACGAAAAGGGAAAAAAAGATTAAAGGTCCTACTTTTGTACTTAGGGCCCCCCCCCCCCCCCCCCCCACACACACACACACTAGAATAGTGTGGCTTGGATATTGCTGCGCTGTATCCTTCATCGCAGCAATATTTTGCTCTAGCAAGGAGCTAGAGGCGAACAATCGAAGTGCGTCACGTTAGGGTACATCAACAATACTGCACGTGTCGAGTCCAGTCTGCCAGTGCGCACGCGCGCCTTGCATGCCGTGCAATTGCCAATGCCTACCTTTTTCTGTAGAGCCCAAATGTAGATTATTGGTTTGCCGATTGCAGCCGACATCAAGAACTGACCACTAAGACAGCAAAGCCCACGGGGACCACTACTCCCACCTTTGTATGTCTGAAGAGCAGTTCCTGAATGGAAGTCCCAAATACAGACATTCCATAACATGCCACTAGCATCTGTCGAAAGCATGACTTCCATGGGCGCGGCCATCTTGGGTTTTTCAAGAACTGAACTGTAGAGGGCGCGCTATAGCGAGACTGAGACGCGGGCCCCGAGATCGAGAACACATTTTAAACCGGCCAACAATCTCGAAAAACGATTAGTAACATTAATTTCAATTTAAGAAGGTTACTTTTTAAAAAATTTTATAAGGACTGTCGATAGTCTGCTTGATATTGAAAAGCTTGGGTTCCTATTTCCCTTATTTTTCAGTTTGCTAAAAAACTATTACGCAGGAGTAAATCCCACGAACACATTCATCAGATTTATTCATCAGATTCAGATTCATATTTTAGTCATGTAAGTTAAACAGAGGTGGAATTCTTTTTCTGCTGTAAAAGCAATAAAAAAACCAGTAAAATAGCAATCTGCATATAAGACGATGAAAACCTTGAAATTAACACTTACATAAAATATGCCTTTTGCGTTAATCATTAGCCTAACATGAACAAAACCTACACAATAGTGTAGAGTTTCCGCATACAATTCATTTTTGGCTGTAAAAAAACAACACTTTTTCGCCATCCGGTCCACGTACAAAACGATTTTTTGCATAAATAGTTCATGGTTTTCACAAAAACAAACTTTATATGTCGACATAGACATGTCTATGGTGAAAGATATTAAACAGGCACAGCGCCCCCCGTAAAAGGGCGATGGGTACAATTAAGTAAACTTGCTCAGGTCCCCTACTTTGTTTTTCAACTTGACCATGGGCAGCCATTAGCTGTTTACATTACAGCATATCCCGTTATCTGAAGGTACACATTTCATGTCAGAAAAACGTGTGATTGAAATCGGGCCAACAACTTTGAAGTTTGAACCCAATACGAACACACCCAATAGGACAATAGATTCGCCGCATGATGTCTGATACTTTTTTATCGAATGACAGAAATAAAAGTACAAAGTAATGATTAACGCGCAGTATCAATCGTTGTATGCACATTTCCGCTTTTTCAAAAAGTCACAGAACATAATTTAACCTCCTTTTATCTTTCCATAGTTTTTTTTTTTAACTTTCGCTCCAATATTGGTCGTAGTTTCTTATAATAATTATATCGGTAATATAGCCTCATACATAGTCACCTGGACAATATATTTCAACATTCATATCATTTACGTAATATTAAAGCTCTCGCTTTATTCACGAGTCGGCCATATTAAATTGAGACTCGAGGTAAAATCTTCATTTTTGGAAATTGCGAATAGAAATGAAAGCAATGACAGAAAGTTAATTACAAATTTATACCAGTCTGCTCAGATAAATAATTTTAATTTGTAATTAAACATACCGTAATGTTTTAAGCCACATTTAAAAAAAAATGAATGTGAGGCTTGGAACGCATAGTCTGGCACCATCCCATTCAACACTGTACGATTTATAAAATACATTCACGGGACAAAAAGAAAACACTATGGCAACACTTTGATAAAACAGATGTATATGCATACAATTATTGCTATTTTGTAGCCTAGGGAGCGTCTGACATTATGAGCAAATCAACATAAAGTAAAGTTGATGGTTATCTAAATGGGGTTGGCCTATGTAACCAAAACGGGGCAGGTTTGGTGCTTGCAAACAGACCCAGCGACACCATTGACATACCTCCCTGAACACAAAATGGAAACCTCATATCAACAGATTTATAGCACGTACTGTGTAGTTTACACGTGCATGTGATGTGATACTACAATGTACATAGTTCGTTGCTGGGCAACTGTGGATTCTGTTGCTAAGCCATTCCCTGGCCCTTATTCGTGCCCAGGGCTCGGACTGCACCGAAGTGCCGCATGCGCTAATAATGCAATGAGAATGCGCGTAGTTTAGCCGCACAGAAATCGATGCCGTGTATGAGGTGTTATGTAGGCGAGTTAAAACGCATGCGCATTAATTGCGTTTACAGCTTGAAGTTGAAACAGGTCAAAACACACTGCAGTCTACGACCCTGGTTAAAATAAAGTTTCGAAATTAAAATCATCATCAAAAGGTTTTTTAACGCTCAAGCCCCAAATGGACACTTTTGGAAACCATAAGTTGTGTTTAGAAAACCTAGCGGCTCCGTCTGAAATACAATCCTGGGAGCTTGAGAAATTAAATACATGTACAGCCCGTTATCTCATTCGGGGGTCATTGATATTCAAGATTTCACGCGGGATTTGTTTACCACCTGCAAACATCAACCCAGGAGGTACTGAGTTGACAAACGGTAAACCCGAACCATTAAATAATAAAGCTAGCGGTCAAAGTTTAACACTCTCTTGCTATAGCGCTAGTAGACTAAGACCTCACATATCCCCATTTGGCGTCGCAACGCGCAGAGTGCACTTTACTCCTGCCACGACTTGCTGGCCTACACACCGTCATTTTGTGACCGTTTGATCTTGTGTTGTGGTGACACTCTTGGATATTTCTTGGTTGCAAGAACCGATTGAAGGAAGAGCAATGAAGTACGTCGGTGTTTTCGTTCTTAGTCTTCTTGGAGTCATAGCTTTGACTCAAGGTAAGAACGTTAAGGTGATTTCGGGCGCATCACCTCTTTACCCATATACCAAGATAATATTTGATATAATATTATAAAAGCAATATGGTTGCTCATGTCGGTTTCAAAATAGACTAGATTACCTAATTTTAGCAGGGCTTACCTCCATTAGACTAGGATGATTTTAATGTTGTTCTGTTAGAAATCACATCAGTAAATTAGGCCTATTATTGGCCTATACATCAACAACTGTTCATCTGTGCATGTCTCACGTAAAGGACCTAGTATAAGGACAAGTTGCTTAGGAGCAGATAGCTTCAAATCCCCCTCCGGAAAATGCAGTGCGTGAATATAATGCTCTGTTTTTGTTCCTTTATTGCCATTATGTTTAAAATAAACAGATCCGAATCATAACTGTTGAGCAGACCGACCGGTTGGCCAGTGATAATTGTGCATCAAAACACAAATCATTTCTCAGTGTGAAACATAAATCGTATGGCAGTGTTGCTTAGGTACATCATGGGTACATGCCACCCAAATGCAGGGTTTAGTCTTAACAGAGAGTCACCTTATTCCCAGGGTTTATTGACCTCACATCCCTTCTCACAGATGGGATCGGTGTAAGTCTTAATGTTTAACGCAGTGGCTGGGAACAGGGTTGAACCAGCAGGTGGAAAAATTATACGTGGATCAACCATTCTGATTTACTACGCGACAACCTTAGGCCTGATACGTAACAAAAAGTACATTTCCTAACCTCATGAGCATTTTTATTACAGGTTTTGATTTTTTATGCGATCATGGATCATTTATGGATGCCTTTTTGGTATGATCTGGTTCAACCAGATGTTAAGAGTTTTCACAGTTGTTCGTTTAGTGCACCGATTCACATTCATAAATGTGTTTTATGGTCGTAGTGATCGTTTATGGTTACAGGCACACCGTTCGGAAGCTGGTTAAACATGGATTGCCGTGTACAAAATGTGTGCCAAATAGGCCTGCAACACTGTGGACACACTTGTATTATCCGTACGCGAACTACGCGTTATATATAGCCTAGCATCGGGCAAATTAAGCGACCTCAGTCAGAACAGGTGCATTAGATCTTGTATTATAGTCAGCTTGTGAAAATCAAAAGTTGTGGTTTAGAAAAAGAAATACAAGTTTAAACCTACTAAATCACGCCGTGCGAAGCCTTACGAAATTGTCCAAACATAATTCGCATGTTATGTTAAAATATATATACATGTACAGTCGAACACCTTTATAGCAAGGTCCTTGGGACTTTAAGAATTACCTTGTTATAACAGGTACCTTGTATTAACAGTGATGGAAAACAATGGAAAACAAAGAAAATGAAAGACTTGGGACCTACAATGTTGCTTGTAATAAGCAGGACCTTGTATTAACAGTGCTCTTATCTGGATTCGATGTATAGACTATCAAAATTTTAGATCTAGAAGTTTCTGTCTTGGACTGCCTCCGGAGTTGCTACTCAGGGACACTCTAGTCTCAATTTCAGATATTACCATAAAGTCGTGTTCGGAATTGAAATCGTACACTATTCTTCAAGTCGTATAGCATCAATTCTTAAACAATTGCGTGATACATAGCCACACACCAAGTCACTGAATAATTCGTGATAGCACGACTTGTCTTCAATAATTGTACGCCATTGTATGCTTTTCAAATCGGGTGCTCGCTTTTGTGGGAGTAACTGACTCAAGATACCCCTCTTGAATATGCTGTAGATTTTAAGACTGTTTTATGAAAATGGTGAAATCTTCAAGTATAGCAAAACAGTAACCCGACATTTGGCATTTTTTGCGTCAGTACTTAAGCTACAAGCGCACGACGTAGGGTGAAACAAAGAACACACATTTTGAAGAGTTTATTCGCAAAACGCGACACATAAATTTGAAACAGGTGAACATTTTGCACAGTTATGGAACCTTAAAGAATAAAAATAATATATCACGTTTCGCCTTATTGTATTCTTAAGTTGTGTGAGCCGTCGAAATTGCTTTTGGGTAGCTTGGAGACAGCAGCTAGATTCTAAAAAAAAAAAAAGAGGCGTATATCACGTCTTGGAAAGAAACTCTTCAAATGATAAATTGTGACTCAGTCTCCTTCCTTCAGATCAGCGTTGCTATCATTTACTAGGTTTTACCTGATGCACATTGTGTTCTTTCCACACTACCCCTTACAGGTGCACCAGACTGCCTCGACACATTCACTGCCGCACAGGTAAATATTTATGAAATGGATTCTACACAAGCTATATGTTACAAAAAGGTATCTTTCTTTGTTGCCGGGATTTCAGGTTATTTCGAGCAAGGGAAGGGGTGGATTGGATAGGTGGGAAAAACTTTTCAAGAAACCTACCTTACAAGTGTTATTGTTTATTCTACCAACAGTGTGCGGAGTATATGAAGACAGGCGGAGCGCAAATCGTACTGCCTCTCACGGAAATACCTCAGGTATATAAACAGTCCAATTTTATCATATTTCATATTGGTAAGATTTGGGGTTTTATTCGCCTTTTATTCGGAACGGGGGGTAGTTTACATGTCTCTCCATCAATATTCAAACTAACATTGATGAGGTTTTATATTTGTTTTTATCACAGCTGGACGCTGAGAAACAAGCGATGCTTAAATATGTCTTGGCGAATGTCTCAGACGAATACGTCATCGTGGACGTGGAGTAAGTTCAAATCCCTCCCTCTAAAATCCTACACCTTGTGAAGATTTCCTAATTTACATTATTGGTAAAAATTGATTTGGTATATATTCTTAGAAGAACTTATCTTGTCAACTCGTATCCAAGATGGTAGACGTACGAGATTGTAATCGAATCCGGTACCAAAAGACGAACAAAATAGGCCACTACTTGAACCGTTTTCGAAATTGTACTTTGCTTGCTTTGTTGGATTTGAGATTGAAATTATCAAGACAAAAAAAAATCCAGTTTGTAGCTTTGGGCGGGAGGTCATGAGATTTGAGGATGCTTTTGACCAGTCAACGATTTACTGCATTTTTTTTTTAAATCAGTGGTTAGTATATGAGAAAGCAAATACAGAAATGACAAACGGGTCTAAAGATCACTGGGTGCGCATTATTTGCAAGAACGGTCAATTCAAATTTATCTGGACCAGAATTTGAAAAAAAAGTTATCTCCTTTAATAGCACCTCATTTAAATTAGAAATATGAGTGTTGAACTACCCCAAAGGTGTTTGTCTTCTTGACGATATCTCATCCACGAAAATGCATCATAATTATATAGATATTGTGCGTCCATCGCGCACTTTTCGGCCTCCCATCTCATTTCAACAATAAGATACCCTCTGCCCCGTTTCACACCATCATAATATACTCCATGGTCTGAACAAACATCACAAACAAGAACCACGGTAATAAAATCAAAGTCATAAATCCACAGTCAACATGGCAGTAACCTAAAATCAATGTTTACTGATAGTGACCCGCTATAGTAAAGCAAACGGGCCGTGCACCGCGTCCCTAGCTAGGTGCGTGCATTCGGGGCTGAATTTAGCCAGAAATACACGCGTGCAGTGCGTGTTGGTTGTGAGTTTAGCTTGTGTGGCTAATATTTGATTGTATAATTGTTCATTGTGTGAACAAAAAACCCACAAGAATACTTCATCAGTTGATATAACCCAAGACTCAATGATATAACTGGTTTACGGCTCTTGGCCTTCTCCCAGCAAAGGGGCGGGATCCACCCCCTCCAGATTTATAAACCACAAAAACCAGATTTTATTGACACGAAAGTTTAACTGATAATAACTCCGTCTGCAATATGTTTATCGAATCAATTTATTATGGGACTACTGTAATCACAGTTAGGCCTATTGTTAATACTCATCAATAATAATTCAGATTAATGCCCCTTGTATTAGTTTTTTTTTCCAAAGCAAGATCAACAAACATTTCTGTTTCTCTAAAAATAAAAATTCCGTATTTCACGAGAACGGTACGTCCGAATTTATAAAAACGATGTCGAAAAGTGCGCAAAACATCAGTCTATAATAACGCACTTTGTTTCACCTGAGTCCTACGAATATAATAAAAGAAACCAGCAAGAAATATTTTTATAATTTGTTTGATTGTAGACCGAAACATGTTCTGATCACCAATATCCACCTATCAGCGGACAACGGTAACAGAGTTGCCGTGGATTTCTTCGTGGCTAACCCGACAGGTTCGGTCGTCATGCCAGTATCTTTCCGTACTAATGAGCTCTATCTCGTACTGAAACTCAACAAAGAGAAGATTGATGATATGCTGGATTATAAGGTAATCATGACGTCATCATGCCCACTATTTTAAAGAGAAAACCCCAATGTCTCACCAAAAAGCTTTGTATATGATGCAAGTTCGAAGAAGACAAACAACGAAACGAATACAAAATAACTATCATAACATTCGTTTTTTAAAAAGAGGTTGAGGAATCTCACTGCGAAATTCTCTTACACATTTGCTTTTATCTTGTGGATTTTCATTGGATTTCAATTTCCGATGGAAAAGGAAAATCAAATCTGAAAATTGTCACTGCAAGATTTCTTCATCAATCGTTCTGTGTTTGCCGAGAGTAAGATAGATAACGGTCAACGTTTCAGCCAGTATTCCTCTATGATACTGCTCTGGGTTTTTCGTCCGTGTGTAGGTGACGGTTGTGGAACCAGACAGTGCTAACAACCTCCCAATACCAACCTGGGCCTTAGCAATTATTGTCTACGCTGCATTGGTCATAGTTATAGGTCTCATCTATTATGGAACCAAGGATTTCCGTCGGTAAGTAAAAGTCTTTTCATATTTTGGAAAATCTTGCTTTAAAGTAAAGATAATTATGAGTAGAGCAATCGTGTCAGCATGGCACGATATATTTCAGAAAGTTTTTGGAATCTTTGGTTAAATTGAACAAAATGTCTCACGAAAATGGCATCCACGAAGCAGGTAGCATTTCGGATTTTCAAAGATGTTATAACTTTTTAAGGAAAACCAAACCAATTGAAGTTCTATCGATGAATACAAATATTTCAGTGTGAATCAATTTTCGTAAGGAATGCTACAGGGAAGTAACAAAAAAGGGAGGAATTCCAAGCTTTATACGACTTTAAACAGTGTCTTCAATTTGTAATGGCTGAAGTGGGAAGTGAAAAACGAGGAAATCATTGCTCAGTCTTCTTCAGGCGTCGGAGCCTTGGTGGCTTTTCATTTTATGAGGGAGCCTTGGTTGCATTATCGGCAATACATTGAGTTAATCATTCTTCACTTTTCTCCCTCAGTCAATGGAGTGAGGCACAGGACAAGAAACTTCGCCACGCTGTCTTGGGAGACAGTGATATGGAGCTCGACCCTGAGGCTGGCGAGGCAGGGACTGGGCAGGGGGACTCTAGTGAGCCTAACGGGCCGGCTAAGATGTACCGAGATAGTCAGATATCATTCGGTGTACAGGTGGGTAACATATATTGATCGTAAAATGTGTTTTTAGCAGATATATTGAAATTACCTCGGTTATTTTGCTACAATTTGCAACGTTTTTGCCAACGTTGGTAAGACCTTAGGCATGTTTTTTTTTAGAGCCTTCATGAAAACAATTATTAAAGATGTTTATCACCTAAGTTGGTATTTTCTGATCAATGGAATCAATTTGGAGGGAAGTTCCTAAAACCAAAATTGAACTGGTCAACTTCATCATTCATGTTGCCCTGCATAAACTGCATTTTTTTTCATGAGCAAAATTTGAGACTTCTAAAAATGAAACGAAAACAAAATTGCACCAAATGTTCCTTCACAATATTGCTGCATTCACCAATCGGCAACTTAAGTCCTTCTTTATCTAAGAAGAGACCTATGAAGTTTAAGGTTTTAGATTTTTATTGGTCAACACGTGTTCTCCTCAGGTAACTAAAGACGACATAGAGGCTACTCTAGGCATCACCTACGCTACGGTGGAATCGAAAGACGACGCCAAAAAGGAGGATAAGTGTCTGGACTCCCCGCCTCCCGAGAAATCCCACAAACCACCCGACTATCATGAGGCAACAGCGCCCTCAGCCAGTGATAGCGAAGCGTCTTCATCAGACACCGCGTCTAAGAAGAGTGAAGCGAGTTCGGCAATAGAGGGCGCTGTCAATGCAGCCTACGAGGCGGATGAGCAAGATGGGGAGGGCGACCAGACTACTAGTCTGTAAAAACTTAATCTCATAAAAAGAGTTTTCTTATTAACAAAGTGATTTTTCAGTGCCGAAATGAGGAGGTTGAAAATGTTTTTGTCACGGCAACTTCAAGGCTGACATTGTTTCATAATTTAAAAATGAGGACAAATTCACTTGAGTATCACATTATGCAAATGAGATAAAATTCCATCTTATGAATATTCTTTAAAATAGTAAGAACTTATGAGTTGTCTCAGATTAATGCAGGACGAAAAGGCTATGATTTAGTTGAACCGAATTTGAATTTAATTTAGGACAGTTTCTGTTTCATGTATAATTATTTAAGAGTGATTCCAAAGTTTTGTTGCAGGCAGGCACGCAACTGTGAAGTAGCAAAAGAAATTTAGAAAATTTAAGCTTTACAAGTTAATGCAGTGTTTTTCAATTTTTAATAGCATAAGTTCAAGATGAAAAAAAGAGGCAATCAGCTGTTCCGAAGAAAAGTTGCATGCCTGTGAGGACTGTACATTGGTCAAGTAGGTATCACAAAGATTGAATATGCGTAGTTGATGTAGCACATTTGAAAGCAGTTTCCCATGCACTCACTTTGTCAGAAAGACAAATCAAAGAAATACACCTGTATTCACATTCCAATTAATTAGACCCCCACACACAACTTCAGTCCCACCCACCACAGAAAGGATACTTTCTGCATTAGGTCATATGTAAACTAGATTTCAGACTTTTTCACTATTATTGTCTTGTCAATTTGCATTTTTGAATTTAGTTATAAGATTGTTTTTCAAAAAATTAGGTCATTTTTGTTTAGATTATTTCTGTGCCGTTTTATTTGCTTTTTGATATAGTTACACGCCAGCAATCTTATTGAAATAAAAATGATTGACCATGATAATTTTTGCATACATTTTCTTTTGTCGATGTGCAGTCATTTTGTGCAAATGTGCATGTTTATTTTGGGGGGTTGGAGGTGATGGTCAGGGGGAGTGGGGAGGGGCCGGGTGCTTGCTTTCTTTTTCTAAAACGGTTTGATAATAAATTTGACTTAAAATATCAGTGGGTATCTCCCCCCCCCCCCCAAAAAAAATAAAGGTGCGTACAGTTCTAAGAAATCTAGATCTGCCTCCAAGTCATGACAACAAAATATCTCGGCAACTTAGAAAAAAAATCAGGTTTACAACAGACATGACAGTTACATTTTCAAGTTTATTTCCCTCGACTGTTCTACCACTATCAACATTTGAAATCATCTACACACAGAGAGACATCTCATCATGCATTCCCTATATTTTTATGACAGAAATAAATTTACACTCACCACTGATGGTTCTGCAAAATAATTCTCACCAGGAGATCGTTGGATTACAATGCATTTTCTTCTTATCCGTCTGCACCGTACCTGCACACATGCTTGCTCCAAATGTGCAAAACTGGACCAGTGAAATGCAAGAGCGCCCTCAACTGGTGAAAATTAGATAATTCACTTCCCGCCCTGAACAAGTAAGAACGTTTCTGATTGGTTGATTGGTCGAGGAAACTTTCTGCTTCTCCGCTTCTGATTGGTCGAACAAAGAGGAAACTTGCTCTTCCATTTCCAGGGTGTTACTTGACTGGTACCCTGAGACACATTTCTTCATAATTATTTCTTAATCTTGTCAGCTTTGGATATTTGGATGATTATAAATATGCAAATATTTATTAAAACGAAAAGAGAAAAAAAAAAGAATGTCCACTGCTAAATATGCAATGAGAGAAAACTATACATCATTTTGACTGGTTCTTTGCACATTACGCATACATGCAGGTTTGTACATTTTGTCTGGTTAATAAATTATTTTACCAAATTTCCATCAATTCACATAATGATTTTGAAATAAGACAATTAAAAAAAAAATATTTTTAAGTCAGGAAAGTGAAGTCTGTTGTCCTTACAATCTACACATCTATAATTTACAACCCTAGAGTGATGCTAGTTCTACGCTGCGCTACCGTTGATCCAACGCTTTGTCTCTGGCAAGAACTGAATCTTCAAACTTGATCATGTAAGTTGTCCCTTTGTGCCAATGTGCTGTTACTTTGGCCGGCTGAAAGAAAAAAGTAGGGGTTGATAAATGCTTAGAACAAAATCTCTTGAACGTTATTTCTCCTGAAGATTTATAACAAGCATTATTAAGATGCTGAGCTGCTTAATTGACAATGTTCATTAGCAATTTAAGAAATAACTTGAAACTTTTTCCTGAATCAACTTATCCTGGTGACGGTGAGAAAAAAGTTGTGACTTACAAAGTTGCATCCAGTGAGAATAGCCTCCAGAATCCCTGCTGTAAACGCAGCACAGTTCAAACTACCTGTAACAAACCAAGAATGATAAAGAGATTGGAATGAGGTTTAACTTGTTTGGACTTCAAAAGCAAAAAAAACAATGTCCAATTCAAAACTTGTAAGAACTTTATTTGGAAGAAACAGGGAGGAGATTGTCATATTTTTTAAAAGTCTGAAAATCGGAAAAATGTTCTTAACCAGTTCGCGTTGGCTGTATTTATACACAGGCACGGCTGCCGGTTAAAATGTCAAGCGTGCCTTGACCCGCCTCCAGATGCATTCTAAACACACTAATCCCTCATTTGTTTTGTACACACACACAAAGTCCGAGAAGTCTGTGGAGTCGAACCGTGAATTGATCTTGGCCGCTGGACCTATTGTTCTACAATTAACACTCCGTTGCACACCCCAGAGTGTTGACAAATTGAGGTTTCGGCAAGAAATATCATACAAATACTGTTGAAATGAATCTTGCGAATCAGTATTTGTGGCATTTGGCTGTATATCAGAAGCTAGCTGGTATATTTCTTCACTTCTTTCTATACTTATCATGTCTTTCTCTCAGATTCAAAAAGTCTGATTTCAGAGAAAACTCTGAACAAATCTCATGCCTGAAGAAGTTTATCCCAAACCCTGAAAAACCAATGGGGCAAGAAATCATGAAAGTGGGCTTTTTGAGTTGATACGCCAAGAATAAGGCTTTCTTATTAGCAAGAATTTTTCACATTTTCTTTATGGGTGTATGGCTTTCAATTCCCAAGAGTTGCTTAATAATTATTGCAAAATGTTTTCACTGTGCGTGAAAATGCCCTGATATGTAAAAAAAAATTATTACATGTAAAAGAAAAATATGCCTTCTCAAACATTAAATTGTAACCTTATTGTTCATAGGTTCAACGACCGACTATCGATGACCTGAAATTCAGAACTTATTAGTAACCACTTCAGATTCCACCTGTTATAATTTATTAGTATCGCGTGCAAGGGTGGTAAACCTGGCCAAGTAGGTATGTCGGCCACGAGACAGATGCAATGATGGATTGGAATAGTTCTCAGTATTCACTTACAATGCCAAATACACTCCAGGATGCTCAATTCCGACGCAGAAATCTACGTGGGTTAACCACGCCACATGACTTATTCAGTCAGGAAAACATTTAAGGAGAAAACATATGTGGGTCACACTTTTCGAAGAGCTTTACAGAACCACAAATCTGCTAATTAACCACAGATGGAATGAGTCATATTTTGTGGTAAATATTACAAAGGTCTTTGATCACTAAGTAAATAACTGTAATATTTCTGCCAGGATGATGGAAATTTTTATTTTTTTTATCTGCCCTTTACTGACATATTGACTCAAAGTCTCAACCCAACTTTGAGTTTAAATTTTCAAAACAAAACTTTAGAAAGCATTGAGCACAGAATGTATTTACACAATGTCACACTGTGAAGGGCCAATTTACAAAGAGTATTTTATCATTAATATATTCTTATTTCTAACCATAAGGCTATATTACTTAACTGTACAAACTAATGCCTGCTGGGCGTATCCATGTTTGTGCACAAACCAATGGAAAATGCAAAATTGAGTATGGCTTTAGTACGGCTATTTGCATATGCGTTTGTATTCTATACCGACGCATTATCGAAGCCGATATGCCCAAAACCAAAACACACAATCAGTAAAAGAGCATTTCATTTTGCCCTGCACAAACATCGTCAACGCAAACGCGTATGTCATACTCATAGAAAACGAGCTTGCATTGTTTGTGTATGTTAGACTTCTGCGTTGCATTTAGAGTACATTTATTCAAAATTCATTCCATCTAATTTCATTATGTTCTACAAACAAGCATATTAATTCAAAATGCCTGTACTTAAGGATGGCTGCGATGAATATGTCCACAGGGGAGGAGTTAGGGCTCTAGTATACAGCTCTATGGTTCTAACCAAAATATTTATTTGTAATGTCCTCAAATTGTTCATAAATCGCCTACAACTTGGTGATTACATTCGTCACGGCAACGGACGACTATATCTCCGTTTTCATCTCTAGTTTGACTCTTGGCGTTCTGCCAAACCATCAAGTCATAATATTTGTCCAAGCCTGACCAGACATTGCCATCCTGACGTTAAGTGATACTTCCTGAACTGGTTGACTTCTTGTTCAACCACTGCCAAGGGTATGTCCACTCTAGTCTGGAGAGACCGGAACCCCCCTCCCCCTAGTCACCCCCACCCTCCACAATCTGCCCTCGCTGTAGTAAAATATCAAATCACACACTAGGGGTGAACCCTGGAGCCAAGTAATGAAAATAAGTCATGCAACAAAATACATAAAAATAATTATCCGTTTTTTCCCTTTTATTTTTGGGAGAAGGGGTTTGTGGTATTGCATGTAATAGCACAATCTACTTTTAAACATCAATGATGTGTGCTAGACAGTCAGTAGAACTAAGTTTCCAGAGTCCCCATTAATTAATTAATAATATTTCTCCTCCAACCCTTTTTGCACATTCTCAAGACCTTCTAAACTCAGTTTAACCAATCAATTTCCTGGCACTAGTGATAATCAACAGACACCCATTTACTTGGAAACAGGACTTGGTCTATTTTGGATGAGCTGAACCACTAGGAAGTGGTCAAAATGAAATCATGGGTGTCTAGTTTTGTGTCGCTTTAAATGAGCTTAATAGCCACTAGGAAATTTCAATTTAATAATTGATTCAGGTTCAGGTAAAATAGGTCATTGCGGCTTATGGCTGCTAAATAACGAAGTGCCGTGATCATGATAATTAGCGATGGAGTGAATGGCTCAGTTTCGTAAAATGAGTAGCTAAATATTCTAAAATGTATCACAGTGACTTAAAAGCTGGTGCTGACTGTTCCTTCAGATGCAAAGTATGCGATTACACAATCCTAGACTGATGATGCAATCCAAACGAGGGTCGCACTAGCCAAAAGGACAAACTTCTCTTGGAAGAAACACAGCAGGGGTAACAGGGGGCCAAGGCAAGAAAAGAAGGCACAACAAACGGTCTATTGTCACCCCTCCAAACTCCCTAGGTTTTTTTCCCTTTAACCAACACAAGAGAAGAAAGTGTCCTACAGACAATACCATAGTACCAGGTCGAGCAAGTCAGTGTTATTTTCCATGAAGCCTTTTTAGTGACTGGCAAAGCTGTGAGTATCGTCAAGTTTTGAGGGCTTTAGCCTAATAAAAACTCAACAGACTTTTGAACAATTGGGAAATTGCCAACTCCCCGTTTATTTACAGTGTTGAAATTGAGGGATGGACAAATGTCTCCCAAGAATGTCTACATTAATGTTACATAAGAGGCTGATACAAATGTGGTAAGATTATATCTTTTTTTTTTCACTTGCAAGTTATTGAAGTTCTATCTAGGAGCCTGCCAAAGTTAAACAGGTCAAAGTTTTATATTTTCTTGAATGATAGATTTAGATTTAGTGCGGTACAGATAGGCAACTGTCAAATTGTTCACATAATATGGAACTGTGTTGAATTTTAAAACAGTGTGTAAGTAATGTAGGCCTGACAGTGGCTGGCTTGTGCAGTCACAAACAAACGAGGGCCAAGCCCCCCCCCCCCCCCCAATTTTTAAAAAAATTGTTTAAGTTACATTGCAAAAAGTGCAGCCACTGCATACAGCATTAAAATTGCGCCGCCATGCACCAATGCCATGAAAAGTCCTAGTGCCCCCCTCCCCCCTTGCTTTTCATATTAAAGTTGGGGCGCAACTGTTTTAGACCCACTTTTTCGGTGAACAAAACAAAATTTGGCCCCAAAAATTGTTTCTGGATCCAGTTTTGGTCGCAAATTTTATCAAAGTAACACAAAACCGTGCTTTAGACTTTGATGGATAAAGGAAGATTGGGTTTATTCTGGCTTGTGCTCTAGAACTCGGCTCAAGTTATAGAGTATCTGTAAGTTTTTGATCTAAATACTGTTTCAACTTTGTCTCATCTTTTGTATGCATAAATTGTAGGCTGGTCCAAGTTGTAGGCTGAAAAAAGGGTTATTGAATTCAGGAAATCTTGTTTTCCAGACAAGTTGGGCTTCAAATTAGGTTTTCCGAAACAGATGCAATTCAAATCCATTGTTCTTCAATTTATCACCCTTTGCCCAATGGATACTTTTTCTCACAGCAGCTTGTTTTATGTTACACATGAAGTCAACGTACAGCAAGGACGGACAACAGTTTCTTGGCCGTTTGTCCGTGAAAACAAGGGACTGCCTGTGCCACAACAAAACACATCGGCACACAGATCCAACCAAACAACAAAGAGAAGGCGCTGAATAAACGCCACCTTGCCCGTGGCATATCTTTGTTGTCTTTTTACTCCTTTTAAAAGGAAGAGGAAAAAATGAAGCCGCGATGGAACGACTTATCAAAAAGAAGAAACTTTTTCCCACAAAACGGCATTGTTGTCTAAGTCCTGAAAATTCACCACATATCAGGGCCTGTTGGTGTTATACAGACAATGGGGGACCACTCGTCTCTCAGTAAGTCTAGTGCAAAAAGAAGAAAAAAAGACGGAAGAGAAGAGAGGAAACCATTCTAGCAATAAATTATAATGCTGTCCACTTGTCAATTGGTGCGCAGTTGCTGTGAATAAAGTTAATTGATTGACTGCTTGAAGAATGGCGTCAGTTGGCAATAAATTATAAACTTTAAGCATCGGGAAGAATTGATACGACAGGTTGGTTTAGTTTCCCCTTTTTTCCACCCTCCTTCAGGAAATAACTGTGAGAAAATGCTGACGTGCCACTTGTTAACAAAGGATTTGATGGGTTGAAAGCTGAGTCCCAATTGAGGAGAGTACTTCTCGGAAATGTTGTCTTATCGTTACTACTTTTGCTCCACAGAAAAGAGAAGTGGGAGGGGAGGAAGACTAAAGCAGAACTGTTTTAGAGTGTTGTGCATTCTCAAGAGATGGAAGAAAACCTTGAGGATTGGATCATAGGGGTGCAGAAAATTAAAGAGGATTTCAAAAGGGCTAA